CGAAATCAATACTTAAAGCAGCAATATGTTGATCATCTCCTTCTCGAACATTATGTTTTTGATTCAACTCATATCTGACCTTTTGAACCAAGTTGATGCCTTGGTCTATATTTCTCTGTTTCACAAAACCAAATTGTGTATCCCCAACTATATGTGGTATAACTTCAACAATCCTATTATTGATGCAAGCAGCAATGATCTTTGTTGATGTATTCATTAACGAAATTGGCCTCCAATTCTTTAAATTTGTCAAATTATTCTTTTTAGGTAAGAGTTTGATCATTACTTCAGTCATTGTTTTTGGTAATTTTCTTTTCTTCCCAATGAAGTTGAGAATCTGAAGCAAAAAAGGGTCTAAAGCATCTCTTGATAGAAACAAATATGCATATGTAATACCATCTTTTCCAGCAGCTCTTCTCAACTTTTTATATTGTCAAAAAAAAACATGAACTGACCGGGGATTGAACCCGGGACCTTCGCCGTGTAAAGGCGACGTCCTAACCTCTGGACCATCAGTCCGCAATTACCCAAATTTAGGGCGTTGAACAGCCTGATCGAGAAACTAGCCCAAACATCCGAACACCAGTTTGGTTATTCCTGCCAATATTTCAATCAATAATCAATCAATTTGAACTTGAATTATGCTAAAAGGTTTCTAAACAGTCTCTCATACTGCTAAGCTCTTTTATTTTTGGTTTGCAGCTGTTTTGAAGTTTTTTCCCTGAACTTGTATTTTTCAACGCCAATTTAAACTTGAAATAAAAAGTATCAGGTCAATAAAATTCTTAAATTTTAACAAAAATTCAAAACTTGAGAAATTTCATTGAAATAAAGTCTCTTATAGCATTAAACGGAGTTTTAAACACGATTATGACTTTTTTGATCTGTGTTATCTTTCAAAAATGTGAAATAAATATGCTTTTTATGTTTCTGCACAAGTGTCAAGCCTCGTCGCGGCATTTGTGCTCCTTCAATTTTTTTTTTCTCGTGTCATGAAAATTCAAGTCAAAGCTTTGGATATCAAAGGGTAAAAAATAATTATATCTTTGAAAAAAGGTTTTCCCAAAGACTACATCCAGTAAAAATGTTAGATATCACCCAATTTATTGAAGAAAAAGGTGGTAACCCAGAAGCCATCAGAAAATCACAAAAAGCTCGTTATGCTTCAGTTGAACTTGTTGATGAAATTATTGCAGACTATAAAGAATGGACAAAAATTAGATTTGATTTAGATGCTTTAAACAAAGAACAAAACAAAATTCAAAAGGAAATTGGTTTGAAATTCAAAGCTAAGGAAGATGCTTCAGAATTAGTTAAAAAGAAAGATGAAATTGTTGAACAAAAGAAACAGTTGACTCAAAAAGAACAAGATGCTGATAAACAATTGAAATTCAAGGTTAACCAAATTGGTAACATTGTTCATGAATCAGTTGTTATTTCAAATGATGAAGATAACAATGAATTAGTCAGAACTTGGAAACCAGAAGGCTCAGCTGAAATTGGTAAGGTTGCAACTGCTACTGGTAAAGAAGCTAAATTGTCCCATCATGAAGTTTTATTACGTTTAGATGGTTACGATCCAGAACGTGGTGTTCGTATTGTCGGTCATCGTGGTTATTTCTTAAGAAACTATGGTGTTTTCTTAAATCAAGCTTTGATTAACTATGGTTTATCATTCTTGGCTAAAAATGAATACACTCCATTACAAGCTCCAGTTATGATGAACAAAGATGTTATGGCTAAGACCGCTCAATTATCACAATTCGATGAAGAATTATATAAAGTCATTGATGGTGAAGATGAAAAATATTTGATTGCCACTTCAGAACAACCAATTTCTGCTTATCACGCTGGTGAATGGTTTGAAAGTCCTGCTGAACAATTACCAGTTCGTTATGCTGGTTATTCTTCATGTTTCAGAAGAGAAGCTGGTTCACATGGTAAAGATGCTTGGGGTATCTTCCGTGTTCATGCTTTTGAAAAAATTGAACAATTTGTCTTAACTGAACCTGAAAAATCATGGACTGAATTTGATCGTATGATTGGTTTATCTGAAGAATTTTACAAATCATTAGGTTTACCATACAGAGTTGTTGGTATTGTTTCTGGTGAATTAAACAATGCTGCTGCAAAGAAATACGATTTAGAAGCTTGGTTCCCATTTCAACAAGAATATAAAGAACTTGTTTCTTGTTCAAACTGTACCGATTACCAATCAAGAAATTTGGAAATCAGATCAGGTATTAAGAAAATGAATGACAGAGAAAAGAAATACGTTCATTGTTTGAATTCAACTTTATGTGCCACTGAACGTGCTTTATGTTGTATTTTGGAAAATTACCAAACTGAAGATGGTTTAGTTATCCCAGAAGTTTTAAGAAAATACATTCCAGGTGAACCTGAATTTATCCCATTCTTGAAAGAATTACCAAAGAACTCAACTTCTCAAAAGAAAAAATAAGCTGTTTGAATGTTATATATATTAATTATGAGCTGAATATATGATTAGAGTTGAAGGTTTTTGAAACTCATTAATAATTCTTTGTAAAAAGCGACAAGTCATTAAAGTGATATTGATTGTGTACTTTGTTGCCAATTTAAATGATGTAGATAGAGACCGTCCTCAAAATGTATGAACGTCCAAAACTTGGAAGCACTAGTCAAACTATCATATTCAAGTTATGAATCTACACAAAATATCCAATTGAATCTTGAAAATTCATATTGATTATGGAACTGGATAATTAACATGTTGGGTTTTAGCGCGTTATGAAGATGCTCTACACCAAAAATCAATTACGAATAAAGACTTGACCAAGTCGAGCAAATTTTATGGAGCGATAAACATTTTACAAGTGGGATATAACCAGGCTCAAAATCCCAAGCCTCTTTTCATAATCAAGATTTCAAAATTTGTGAACCTTTATTGTATCCTCGGGGTTTAACGGCCTTTCGTGATTTCCAGGTTTTTGTGTCATTTCCATGAATTTGCTTTCTACAAAAAAAGACAAAAGTGAAGCGAGACTCACTAGCTTAACGATACCAGATTTCATGTTGAAAGCTTAAAGTGCTTTTGATTCATAGATATACGCTATTCATTTCCAATTCTGTTTTATTTTGGCTATTTATTAGGTCTTCACAATTTCAACTAGCGTCAAAACATTTAGAAAGCTCAATATCTCTCACAGTCATGGCCACAGAATGCATTGAAAAAACCGAAGCTTCTTCAACATCACCTATTTCAGCAAAAGTTCTAATGAAAAGGAGGTTTAGAGCGTCAACCGATAGTTTCCAACCAAACAAGAGACACTATGTTTCCTCAGCTCTCTTTGGTAAAAATTTAAGAAGATCAAATCAGCCACCAACTTCAAAAGATGAATCTAGGTTAGGGAGTGGTGATATTCAATTTCCTTCGGTTGAACTTGCTGAATATTCTAATGATGCTTTTGATGCAACAATTCATTCAACATTGACATCTGATCTGTGCAGCTTTCAACAAGCCACTCCAGTTTCTAAAACTAAAAGATTCAACCATGGAATCCAAGCTTGGCTCAACAAGATTCAATATTACAGAAGTCCATTTCATAAATTGAGACCTGAAAGAGATCACAGCTTCATCGATAGAAATATTTTGACTTCCCCAGTTGAAGATTTACCTGAAGATGCTTATACCTGTTATAATAAATTTAGAACTCAAAATTTCAGTGATTTTTTTGACACATTTAAAATTCAAAAGGCAAATTTATCCATTAATAACGTTGACATTACTGCTTTCCCCCCTTTGAATGAATTATCTTATGAAAATCTTCAAGATTTAAGAGACCAACTCTTTGCTTTACCACCATTTTCAGCTGGCTCCGTTAATACTATTAGCAAAGAAGTCACCACAAGTTGTAAAATATCGGAATTTTTAGGTGACGATGGTGAAGAGACCAAACAAAACGATACAAAAGCAATTGGTACAGATTCTGATTCTCCCAAATTAGAGATCCAGGATTTTGAAGCAGCCCAATTCCCTTCTAGCGAGCTTGAAAACATTGTTGAAGATGAAAAGTCATCTAAAAGTGAACCTAAAAAAGCATCATCTCCACCACCTCTGAACTCAACTGAAAGTGAAATAGAAAGCCCAACAGACAGTCAAGTGGTTATCAGTTCCATAGATCAAGAGACCCCGACATCAACCCCAACCCCAGAAATCATTAGACACTTGGTCAATGATACAATTGAAAGTGGTGACCAATTCGAGTTAGATTCAACACAGTTTAGGCAGGTGGATAGCTTATCCGTCAACGAGCATGTATTGACTCCAATTGAACGTAAGTGAAACCACTCAATACTTTCAAAACCAACATCATACTGACAAAAATGAAACATAGCAAACAGTTCCCTATCACTTCAAAGATCAAGATCCATGTTGCAAAGAGTTATATCTGTCTTCAAAGGAGAACCATCACCAAATTGTAAGTTCAATTATTTATTTCAAGTATTTTTGTATCTAACAAACCTTCAAGATGAAACTCTGTCAATGAGTAGTAACTCAACATATTCACCAATTTCAGTTGTTGTACCAGCATTGAAGCAAAACCATAGCATTATTTCTGACATTGCTGAAAATCTAACCGGTGGACAACCTATAGATCCAATTTATCATCCAGATGACTTTTATTCTCAATCAGCTCAAGAGGAAGATAGTGATAATTTCGATATAAGAGACCCACAGTCATATGAAATATCTCATGAAAATCCTTCATCTTCTCCAACCTCACCAGAATCTCCAAATACCTTTGAATCAAGAATTGCAACAATTAAATTTGATAAATTTGCACACCTTTTATTGTATGATGGTTCCAGACGTTCTAGATATAGCAGGGTTAAAAACCAATTGCAGTCATACAATCAGTCAAAATTAGATTCATTTGAAGGTATAAAAAGAGAAAATCTTTATAAAAATAGAGGTTCCCTTTCCTTAAGTCCAACTTTATCACCAAACTCATTGGGGAAATTTAGAACCAGAACGTTGAAGCTTGCCAAATTTTCTAAATTCACCACAATTAATGCGTGTCCAAGTATCGATGAGATTGTTGAATGTCCAAATGATGATGATATCTTGATCCCTGTTAGACCGATTTTGAAATCAAAACACAACAAAAACGCTGATTTGGAATCTATCAGAGCTAGGTATTGTGATGAAGTTGCAGTTGATGATTTTATGGATTTCTTTGAAAATCACGAGCAGCAACGACTGGAGAGTGAAGTGTATTTGGAAAGAGTCAGGGAAAGGCAACTAATGACTTATTATTCAAGTGAAGAGTCTTCTCCAACAACCAATGACACCATGTTTAGTGACTGATTTAGGAAAACAACAGCAGAGTTATAATCAACCTCATCACAACCAGCCAAAGGCGACACATTTGTTATCCAGCTCTGTTTCCATGAAAACAACAACCAATTGATCCTCAAAGATTTTCCCACTTTAAATAGCGACGTGACATTTCAAGACTAATAAAACATTTAATAATCTGAACTTTTTTAACTCTCTTTCTTGTTTTGCAAAAATGTCGATTGCCCAAACGTGTATTTGATTTTTGATGTTCCGCGAAAATTTCAGAAGCTTGACGATTCTGAAAAAACCATCGAGCTTCTCCTTGTAACAAAACTTCAAAGGCAAAAGGCAACTTTAACTACCGAAGGATTCATCGCCAATGATCAATGCAATCTCATCTTTTGGATAGGCAGCTGGGTAAGATATCCACAAGGAGCTTTGAACTGCTTGCCACCGAATCGTTATACTATAATCTAGAGTCTCAAGACTATCCAAAGTTTACTCAAAAGAAGAAAACAATAGGATCGATCAATGCATTGGATTTCGACAAGATTGATCACAAGTTTCTTTTATCAGGTGGAGCTGATAGCACAATAAAGATATGGAAAGTTGGTTCTCAAAAAGCTGAATTGGTTGGTGATTTGAACAAGAGTAATGGAGGCCATGAATTTGGTGTGACTGATGTTAAATGGTGGCCTTTTGACACTGGAATGTTTTTATCAAGTTCTTATGATATGAATCTAAAAGTTTGGGATACAAATACTATGGAGGAAGCCTTTAACTTCAATCTTGATTCTAAAGTTAATTGTTTTGATGTTTCAAGTACTGGTGCTCATTCATTAATTGCCACTGGTGCTGATAGTTCGCATGTGAGACTTTTGGATTTGAAAACTACATCAGCTATTCATAGTTTAACAGGTCATAACGGGTGTATTGTTAGTACGAAATGGAGCCCAAATAATGCTAATGTGCTGGCCACAGGAAGCTCAGAAGGTGAAGTTAGAATATGGGATATTAGGAGAACTGACTCATGTTTGGTGCAATTGGACCTTTATAGAACGGACGAAAAAGCGCCATTGAGTAGTAATGATAGCAGGAAAGTTGGTGTTTTGAAATCGTCTGTAAAAGCTCATGCTAGAGGTGCTAATGGGCTATGTTGGCTTGAGAGTGGCAAGACATTGATTACCACAGGAAACGATGAAAAGATTAGAGTTTGGAACCTCGAGGCGACTGGCGGTGTTAATACTCTCTTGAATTTTGGTCCATTTGTGAGAAATAGGTACTCAAGCTATAAATCTATTCTTTTAAGTCCAATGGAAGAAACCGAGTTACAATATTTATGGTATCCTTCAGATAATGGTGAAATCTTAGTTTTCAGAATTGTTGATGGAAAGTTAGTCGCCAGACTAAGGAAAAACCTACAAGAGAATAGTCGAAGTTGTTGTATTGCTTATGCTGGTAATAACAGTGCAACTTATTATTCAGGAACTGTTGATGGGAAAATAAATGTTTGGGGTCCTAAAGATGAAAGAAGTTTCGAGGAAGATGAAGATGATTTCTTTTGATTCGTATGATTGAAAGAGGATAAGGCCAGAAAGAAACGCTTGAGGAACTCAATTTGTTAGAAATTGACCAAAAACTTATGGTTTAACATGAACGTTATTGATAGAGTTTTGATACTCTGTAGCCATTATGAATCATGATCTTGACTTTTGTAACCTCTCAAAGATAAGCATAACAAATACTATTGCACTTTCAGTAGAGCTTCGATCTTGGTTTTAAAGAGCATGGTACTTCAAAGCCCCGGTAACATTCATGTTCATAAATCTGCTGATCTATCCATGACCTTCCCCAGGTTTCAATGCTTCATCAAGCTTCAACGGTCGTTTCCTTTGTTTCGTGTTAGGGTCTTCTGAATTTTCCGGATCTGCGCTCCAGTTTAAAAAACCGTTTTTTCCTGCCGATTTTAATTTCAGTGCAGCGCAAAAAAAAATTGAATCTGGGGAAGAAAATTCAAGCGCAAAAAGACACAACGAAAATGGATTATAACGATGAGCTGCAAACTCTTCTATGATACAGAGCAAACTGTTAGTATAGAAATTGCCATCATACTTGCTTTATTCTATTCACCCAGAATTGCTAAGTGTCACTTTAACTTTTCCGCATCTCTTTTTGTGACGTTTCCGGTTTGTGCAAAAAAATGCTGTTTCGCCATTTTGTTTTTCGTTTTTCGGGTTTGTCATAAAGATAAAAAACAGAGCCAATCACCAACATGACAATTACGCACAACATATACGAATAAACTAGCTAATATAATTTGCTACACACAAAGAAGTTGATCTTAAAGCAGAAAGCAATTGAAAATACACTACAGTGGGAATTTAATTTGGAGAAGGTTTTAACAGCTCAAGTTTGTCAATCCGCTACAGTATCAAATTTCAAACTCGTTCACTCCGCTAAAATAGAAGTCACAAATATTCAAATTAGATATTATCTGTACAAAAATTGCCGAAGAAATATTGGCTTTTCCAAGATTTATAAGTTGTGGTCAAGTTTCATGTTTCGTTTTCTTTTTCATAAAATTTTCTTTTGCAAGAATTTTTTTTCTCTTTTGCGCAAAAACTTGAAACATACTAAATCGGGAAGAAGTGGCAAAAAAAGTGGCACAAAGATCATACTACAAATATTACTGATCAAAGAGTTATGAAGTAGTGATGACTACAATATAAAGCTTGCGGATAGATTAAGAAACGTGATGGAGTGATCAGCTATTTTGCCTGTTGCTCAATTGATGTCGCTATGTAAAAAGCAAACGATTGCAGAGATGCTATTGACACAACTTTCTCTATTTGCTTGCAAAGTCCACTCTAATCTAGCTTTCTAGAAAGAATGGAATGGATGAACTGGATAATTATCAACATGAGTGATGAGACTATCTGTACAGTATTTACGCGTGCTCAATTATTATATCACCGGCATCATCATAAGTTGACAATCTTGAATCGTAACCATCCGGTGAGCTGACACAATCCCAGCCATATCATGACACATACTTATCGTGATGAATCAATGACTTGTGGGGGCAATATCAATCACTCAATTAATCCATCAACTTCACAACCACACCATGATGGTGAAAAGCCGTCACCATTTTGAAATGATGGGTGTGATGAAATGAAATTTATGTGTACGGTAATGACTTAAAACAGGAAAGAGGATATGCTATTTAAAAAAATCTAGCACTTTAAATTTTTTTTTTTCGTTTTCGCAACAGTCGGATTTGCGCTTTTTCGCTTCTGATACGGCGCACGACGCGAGTCAGTTTTTTTGAAATGTATCAAGTTGTTACAGCAACGGTCCTTATCAAGCCAACACTCCGCGAAAAGAAGTTTTAAACAGAAACACATTGAAAATTCAATTGATGGGACATATCGACAATTCCTAGAAACGATACACATCCAAAAGAATTGATTCGAATTGAGTGTTTACTAAGAAACATTGTGTCTTAACGAGGTATCTCGAAAATCCACTTTTTGCGCAATTGTCGTTTTTTCCACAAGTTTTGAGGCAAAGAATGCATAACAATACATATTTTTTTCTTTTTCCAGCTTGGAATCGCGTTGATTAGGATAAAAAAAAAAAGAAAAGAAAGTCACAAAAAAAATTTTTATATATGTAAACAGAATCTCAAAATATTTGTCTTTTTTTACAATTCTTTAACATTTACCATATACTTTAAAAGAAAAATTCCAATCAAGAGTGTTTTTATACGCTTCAAATCAACAAGTTTTACAAAGAATTACTACAAAGTCTCAACAGTTATAAAGTCCGCGAAAAGCTTCAAACCAGATCTTGTACCAATTTTAGATTAATAATGTCTTCTGAGTTTTCATTTGGAGCAATGACTCCAGAAATCAATTCCAATGAAGCTCCAATAATTGAAAGAAAATCATCTAAATCCCACTTCATTGGTCCTAAACAATTTCATGAAGATCAATCAATTCCTTCACCTCCATTATCTCCTTATCATAGTGCAGAATCATCTGCAAGCCATAATAATGTCTTGAGAGATATTCAATTGAAACAACAAAACAAGTTATTTAACCAAGGTGATGATAAAATTGACACATTTGTTGTGTTATCCAACAATAAAACTGAATTGAGAGAATTCCCATTAGATAAATTTGAAAATTATCAATTGAATGTTAATGCATGGAGTAACTTGGGTTCTAAAAATTTCAAGAGAGCACAAATCAATTTCATTAGACAATATACTAATCGTGCAGCAATTAAGAATGGTCATCATATCTCAAAAATTGCCACAAGAAAATATGCACCAAGAAGAATCATTAGAAATGTTCATGATCATGTTAACGGTGGTGGTTCATCTTACAATAGTGATTCAGATAACAGTTCATATGAAAAAGTTAGAACACGTCGTTTGGTTAGAGAATCTTCTCAAGCTTTAGAATATTCAGATGTTTCAAGAGTTTCCACACCACCTCCAGTGAAGAGAAGAAAACCAGTTTCATCACCAAGTGTTCAACCAATGGTTATTGATTGGGAATCAATTCCAGATTATTCACCAGATGTTTCATTATTGCCAAATAACTCTAGATGTTTGAAAGTTGAATGGAAAGGTCAACCAATGAGCTTGGCTGATGATCCATTAGTTGGTAAATTACATCCAGCAGAAGTCACATTAGCTTCAGTTTTAAGATTACCATGTAATTTATATTTGGATTCAAAGAGAAGATTATTTGCTGAAAAAGTTTCAAGATTAAAGAAAGGCTTACCATTCAGAAGAACAGATGCCCAAAAATCATGCAGAATTGATGTTAATAAAGCAAGTAGATTATTTGCAGCATTTGAAAAAATTGGTTGGTTAAATGATGATAAATTTGACAGATTTATGTGAAATATAAGAAAATGCATTCAAGAGAAAGGTTATAAGGATGGGGTTCAAAGGAAAGATTAGAAAAGATAGATAAGAATTGGCATCATCATTATCATGTAAATAGTAAGGAAAAAGGATAGCATATCATGTTAATAATAGTACTATAAGGAAAGGAATAAAGATTAGGTTAGATAAATGGAATTTATCATATTAATGGGTATTCACAGATTGGGGGAATCACATTCATTAATCATTAATAATAATAGTTACATTATGCATTTTTCATCATTAAAGGTTTTTTTTATACTATACATTTGGGTTTTTTTTAAGGGTTTTTTATTATATTATAGTTTTTTATGTTTATTTTATATGTGCGATATTTTGGGACGTGTTAATATTATGGGATTAAATTTATGTTTGAACTACAAGTTGTAGATAATTATATCAACCTTTTTACATTAATGATCCTTCATACATTACGGGGCTTCCAACTTTAGTTCACACTTTCAATATTTCAAAGAGCTGATCCATAACAAAAAGAGCTGATCCCATCTTGTCCCGTTTCTTTAACCAACAAAACAGCTTTCTTGAAAGACTTGATATCTTTATCCCATAACCTAGCAGCAGTTCCATTCAATGGGGACTTTGTGTTAGGTTCACCAAGTAATGACTGTAAAGAGACCAACAATGTTTGAACATTTAAGATTGGTGACCAAGAATCTTTCAATATATCAAGACATATGTCACCTTTTGAACCAACATTTGGATGGAAAATAGGTGTGGTGAATTTAACTATTGGAGCTTGATAAGGATAATTCGTGGGGAACTTTAAGATAATTTTGAAAACCAAACCTTCATAAGGTGTATCTTTTGCACCAATGATTGTACCACACCATCTTGTGAAATCTGATTCGGATTCTGGGAAAGCTGTTACACCATCAATTGGGTTCATCATTAAATGATGTAATTCATTTTGTAATCTTGAAGTGAGGCTGCCAAATTTGGAACAGGTGTTTGAGTTGATAGCTCTTGAAAATTTAGGAGTATTTGATTTGATGATATTAGCATTGGAGGATGTAAATGATTTCATTATTAAAGGATTATTTTTTTTGTGTCTTTTGTAGCAAATGGAATGTTTTTATTGACTTGGAGTCAACAAGGGGGGCACCTCAATTGAATAACAATATGAAAACTGTTCTTACACCTCTTTCTGGAAACATAGTGAATTGGAAGATCGTGTCTATGAGCAACTTTTTAAAAGAATGTGTCTTTTGTGGTTGTGCAAATTTGTTCACTTTTGAAAAATAATGGTTGATATTTGCACCAAAATCAGGGGTTGTTGTATCCTGTAGGACGTGTACGTGTAACTTGGAGAATGGGTTGCTGTAGAAATAGGAGTTAAATGCCATAGTACTGGAATGTAGTTGTAGGGTACTCTTCTGATTCCCACCAGCCATGTTAATGTTTTCCTCGACACTTTATACCCAATCTGCCACACCGTCCCGTGTCACCACTGACGTAATCATTTTGGTTTTTCAGGAAGTCAACCAGCGCAAAAAAATTGGAAAAACACACACCAAATTTCAAAAAACGTCAAATGCTCTGAGAAGTGAGAATCAGATAAAGATTGTTTTGTTTCCCTCCGTTTGACTTTTAACGCCAACAGTTGAACAGCAGAAAGAACACCCACACTCGCTAGAGAACATCTCATTTACAAGGACTACATCCACAGTCTATTGCCACGTCACATAGTTCTTTCCAGATTGAAGCGCCCTGTTGAATTTTTGTTTGTTTTCTATAATTCTCAGGCTAATCTTGCTTATTTTTAGATATCACCACCAAAAGAGGAACATCCATCAACCAACAACCGTGGTAAACTCTTTGGAACTCATCGAAAGAGAAAGCTGACACACCTCAGAGAAGCATCAACTGCTTTGGCAAAAGATATCCACGCTTTTGCTCTAGAGATCATCCAACTAGTCAAAAAGTGTGCCTGCGGCGGTATAAGCGCCCCATAAAAGAAGAACATTAGCTACAAATCAAGTCAAGCAAAAGGACCGAACTCATTTCAACTTTGCTGGATCAACAGGTACTTTTAACCACACTCGCTAGGATCTTTACAAAGAATTTCTCCATTTGTCGGTTTTTTTTTGATTTAAGACGCGATTCCTGGTACTAAATATTGCTTTGAGTGGGTCGGGTTTATTATATCAACAAAACACGGTGCAAAAAAATTTCTATTCATTTGGAAATCAACATATCCAACAACAATAACAAATACACCTATTTCAATATAATAGTGCCAGCGTGGGCTTCATACACGTTTTCATTCGCTACAAAGATAAGCACAGTCATTCGTTTCAGAAGTTGTCTCTAGATATCAACAATAACAATGAAGATTAAACACGAATCAGGTGCTGATTTCACTTTTGCTCCTCCACAACATAATAATACTTTACAACAACAACAAATGATGCATTCTGCTGGCTATGATACATCATTTAATGATTCAGTTGTTGCTGAGAATTTTTATAACCAAATAATGACCCCAGTTACTGATGAGACTTCACCTCCTTCAACTCAAAATAGTTATTCCCAACCAACTGGTCATCCACAGAACTCATTTTATCAACAACAAAGCTATTCACAACCTGAGCTACAACATATTTCACACTTCAATATGTCAAGTCAAAGTATAAATCATATTAAGGAAGAACCGGAAGAAGAAGTTACAATTGAAAGTATTCTTGATGACGATCCATTATTATCATTCACAACCACTTTGGATAGACAAGAATCTAATGATACCATTTTACAAAGTTCTTCGCCAATTAAAGGGCCTGACGATGGTGTTTATAATGATATTGAACACTTGAATTTGAACCATCATAACCATAGTCATGCTAGTTTGGTCAAACAGGAATCACCAGAACATATTAGTGTTCCACCTCCAATGACAAATTTCCCAACACCTGCTAATTCAACTTCTGGTTCAGGTGTTAATAGCACACAGTCACCAATTAACAATTCTACACTACAATTTCAACAACAACAGCAACAGTTTCCTCCACACTATTCCTCTCAACCACAGTTTCAACAACCACACATTATTGCAATTACAAACAATAAAGTACCTTTGGTTTCAAGGAATGAACCTTTTGTGCCGGCAAATACAACACCAAATGGCTCTCATTTGATGATGAAGATGGATCAATCTCAACAACAGCTTCCAATCCAAAACTTTCGAATGCAGATTCAGAATCAAGCATTTTTTCAACCTCAGTTTAGAAACCCATTGGGTCAACAGCAAACGTTTGGTGAAGGGCAAATAAAGATACAACCTCCTCCTCCTCAAATGCCTCCTCAACATATACTGCCTCAACAACAACAGCAGCAACAACCATCATTTATGGCTGGACGCCCAGCTCCAATCAGAGTTCAAACATCATCAAGTATTCCATTGAAAACTTCATCTGTCCAGACTATAAACACACCTGTCACAATTAGATCACAAGAGTTAAAACTTCCTCCAACACCTCCATCTGCTTCACAACCTCCATTGAACAAATCTAGCTCCACTACAAGGTTGAGTAAAGTGAAGAAAAACTCTGTATCTGGTCCAAGTACAAGTACCTTGAAGCTGAAAAAATCAAAGAGCTTTCTAAATTCCTCACCTTCAGTGAAAGATCCCAAACCATTCTTTACAACTTTGGATTTTTCAAAACAGTTAAATGGGAGTCATAACACTTTTATAAATAAAGATAAAAAGTTCCCAAAGTCTAATCCAATAAAGGGTAATGTTATCAAAAATTATGAATTTGTTATAGAACAAGGTCATGAAAAAGTTAAAAATTCCTCTGCTGCAAATAGTGCTAAGTCTACACCAAGAAGACCTTCAACAGCTGGTACACCTACATCTACAACATCAATCAAATTCCCAAAATTACCAAAACCTCCATCAATTGAAAAAAGTTCATTTGCATTGTATTCACCAACCAACCCAAATTCATCACCAACCAATTCAGATGCTTCAGGTCATTCACCTTTGAATTCTTCACAACAATATCCCTATGTTAATCCATCTCCTATCCCTTCATCTATTGCTAGATTTGATAATGGTGATGGACCATTAAACATTACTTCAAGTCCAATTACAGGTGAACAGGTTTTCTTTAAACCTTCTTCCCAAAGATCTTCAGTTTCTCAAAATTCTCCTGAAAAACATCCATCACCTCCTTATCAAAAAGACATGAAATCTGGGATGAATGAATTTAGAGCTCGTATACACAAGTGATTTTATTTTTATTTTCATGTTCTCCAAAAAAAGAATATCAACACCAGCGAGAAAAAAAATGCATATATTTGTTTTCATTTGGGTGCATTGTGTTGTTTTGTCATGCTAGATTCACTATCTGGTGTTTTCTCATTATTATTATTTATTTTTATGTTCCTCCTCATCATCATCATTATCATTAATGTTTTCGTTTTTTTTTATCAGTTTCTACAATCAATCCAATCATTGCCTGGTTATCTAAATTGTTTTATGTTTCTTAGAGTTTCCATATTATCAGTTGGTGGGTGCGTGTGTCATGGTTTTATTTTATCTTTCCACTTTTTTTTTAAAATATGTTACAATTTTAGGGTTAAATATCATTTGTTCAAATATTATGGGTTTTTATATCACTGGGATAATCATTTTGATTAGCTTGTAGATGCTCTTGTAGTTTAATATCAAGCATGATTATCACCCAACACAGAACATGCTCATGTACATCGAATAGCGACAAGGTTCAGGTGAACGAAGACCAACAAAATTTCTGTAGCCTGAATCTACCAAAGATCAAAAGTTAAGCCCAATCAAGGTGTTGCTGATAAATAAATAACATGTATAAATAAATAGTAGTCAATAAATAAATAAATAATGAATAAATAGCTTGTCGCTTCAAGATCAAATGTCAAAACTCGGAGCAACTCAATACCACCACCTCATATTTCATTCGAGTTTAAAATCTCTTTCATGAATCTGGGTGGTTCTTCTTTTTGGTTGTCTTTCAACCCAACCCTATTTTGAGTTAATTTCCAATTCCCTTTCTAATGCTAACGTAAACTTACCTGTGATTGATAACCCAAATAACAAAGTCCAACAGGAACAACAAGACCCAATAATAACACAGAAGGTATATTTTTAGCTGTGAATTTGAAACGATATTGTGCAGTTCCATAAAATTCTGCATTTAAAAGTGTTAGTTTAGATCTCAATTTCTAAGGAGGATTTAATGACATACTGTTGTATTGCTCGAATGCATTATCTATTTTCAAAGCTGGTGAAAGGGGTTAGTCAATTTTTAATAAGTTGCTTGAATAGCTGATAACATACGCCCAGGGCCATGTCCATGTCCTCCCATCTTGATTGTTTAGTGCTTTCGAATGTTGACGTTATAGTAGAATGGTGAATCAGTTTTTGTGTTTTTCTATGGGGGATGCAAATTTCGCAGGTAACGTCGACTTCCCGATTGGGTAATAAAATAGCGAGAAAACAGTAATTTTCGACAATCGTCAAAGTTACAAAATCAAGTCCAAAATCTATGATAAAATCCTTAAAAAACAGTATACAAAATAACCAAAAGCTGAATCAAATAAAACAAAGAAATCAAACCCACCAGAATGACTTTATCTTATAGTTTTTTATTTTGCTTCTTCTTCTTGAGGTTCGATAACAACTAATAAATCACTAGCATCAACGTTATCACCTTCTTTGACCAAAACATCAGCAACTAGACCAGCAGTTGGAGCAGAGATAACCATTTCCATCTTCATAGCACTCAAGACAGCAACAGCATCACCTTTCTTAACTTCTGAACCTTTGTGAACTTTAACTTCAACCAGGACACCAGCCATTGGAGCACCAACTTGGTTTGGATTATGAGCATCAGCTTTTGGTCTTGAAACAGTTTCAACATTTGATTTTTTATCAGTAACTGAAACTTTACGTAATTCACCATTCAATTCAAAGTAAACTTCTCTGATACCAGTTTCTTTGTTCAAATCACCAACAGCATTACATTTGATGATCAAAGTTTTACCTTGTTCAATGGTAACTATGATTTCTTCACCAATCTTTGGTGGAGCTAAAAAGTTCTTAGTTGGTAAGACTGATAAATCACCATATTGTTCTTGAATCTTTCTGAAATCTTCATAAACTTTTGGATACATATTGTATGAAGCAACATCACATTCAGTAATTTTGTTAAATCTTGAAGATAAATCTTCTCTAATTTTTTCAAAATCAAATGGAGCTAATTCTAAACCTGGTCTAACATTTAATTTTCTTCTCTTTCCTCTCAAGATATCAGTTCTTAATGGTTCTGGGAATCCACCATATGGTTGACCAATTAAACCTTCAAAGAAATCTAAAACAGAATCTGGGAAATCTAATGAACCAGCTAATCTCTTGACATCTTCTGGAGTTAATTTGTTTGAAACCATAAATTGAGCCAAGTCACCAACAACTTTTGAAGTTGGAGTAACTTTAACTAAATCACCCAATAAATAGTTGGCTTCTCTATAGGCTCTCTTAGTTTCAATCCATTTTTCACCTAAACCAACTTGTTGAGCTTGGAATAATAAGTTAGTCAATTGACCACCTGGGATTTCATGTTGGTAAACTTCTGGATCTGGACCTTTCAAATCAGCTTCAAAGACAGAGTATAATAATCTCATTTCAGCCCAGTAAGCATCAATATCTCTAGCATGACCAACGTTGATGTTGGTGTCAATTTCACCATCTAATGAGGCTAATAAAGCAGAAACTGATGGTTGAGAAGTTAAACCAGATAAAGAGTTTGTAGCGACATCAACAACATCTGCACCAGCTTTAGCACATGCAGCCATTGAAGCAACACCAGTACCAGCTGAATCATGGGTATGAACATGGATTGGTAAGTTTGGATATTTAGCTCTAATAGAACCAATCAATAATCTAGCAGCACTTGGTTTCAAAGTACCAGCCATATCTTTAATACCCAAGATATGAGTACCTGCAGCAACAATTTTATCAGTGATTTCCAAGTAGTAATCCAAGTTGTATTTCTTACCTGGTTGTAACATATCACCTGAATAACAAACAGTGGCTTCAACAACACCACCAGCTTTCTTAACAGCTTCAACACCAACTTTCAATTGTTCAAGATCGTTCAAAGCATCAAAGACTCTAAAGATATCAACACCATTTTCTTTAGCTTGTTTAACGAAATGATCAATAGCATTATCTGGTAATGAAGAATAAGCAACACCATTAGCACCTCTCAACAACATTTGGAATGGAATGTTTGGAACTAATTTTCTCAATTTTCTTAATCTTGCCCATGGATCTTCATGTAAGAATCTCATTGCAACATCAAAAGTAGCACCACCCCAACATTCAAGAGCAAAGGCACCAGCATAACCATGTGCGGTAGTTTGTGCAATAGCTAACAAATCATGAGTACGAACTCTGGTTGCTAATAAAGATTGATGAGCATCTCTCCAAGTGGTGTCCATGATTAAAGTACCGTCAAATTCACGAACTTTTTGAGCAAACTTTTCTGGACCTTCAGCCAACAAGACATCTCTCCAACCTTTTGGTGGTGGTTGAGCAACATTGATAACTTCACCTTTAGCATCATGGATTTCTGGAACTGTTGGTTCTTTATCTAATTTTGGTAAACCAACTTGACCTTTAATTGATGAACCATTAACAGCCAAATCAGCCAAGTAAGCCAATAATTTTTGGGCTCTGTTTTGAGATGAAACCATTTCAAATAATTTTGGAGTATCATCAATAAATGTTGTCCAGTAAAGACCTTCAACAAAGACATCATTAGTTAACAAAGTTAACAAGAATGGAATGTTAGTTTTAACACCTCTAATTCTAAATTCAATTAAAGATCTAATCATTTTTCTTCTAGCAATTTCATAAGTTGAACCAGAACATGAACATTTAACCAACATGGAATCATAATGAGGAGAAATGATGGCACCTGCAAACCCGTTACCACCATCTAATCTAACACCATTACCACCTGCAGATCTATAAACTTCAATTTTACCAGTATCTGGTTGGAAATTTTTAGAAGGATCTTCTGTAGTGATACGACATTGGATAGCAAAACCTCTAGTAGTGATTCTATCTTGTAATAAACCTAATTGTTCTAATGAAGCACCTGCAGCTATTTGAATTTGAGCAGCAACGATATCAACACCAGTGATTTCTTCAGTGATGGTATGTTCAACTTGGATTCTTGGGTTGATTTCAATGAAATAATGTCTATTTTGATTATCAACCAAGAATTCAGCAGTACCTGCATTTCTATAGTTTGCAGTTCTAGCTAATTTAACAGCATCAGTTAAGATAGCATCACGAACTTCTTTTGGTAAAGTTTTAGCTGGAGCAACTTCAACAACTTTTTGATGTCTTCTTTGAACAGAACAATCTCTTTCAAATAAATGAATAACATTACCATAGTTATCAGCTAATAATTGAACTTCAATATGTTTTGGTCTGTCCAAGAATCTTTCAATGAAACAGGTACCATTACCGAAGGCAGTGACGGCTTCAGATCTAGCTCTGGTGAAGGCATCAGCAATATCATCACCTTCTCTAACAACTCTCATACCACGACCACCACCACCGAAAGCAGCTTTGATGATGACTGGGAAACCATATTTGTTGACGAAATCTTGAGCTTGTTCAACTGAATCAATTGGACCATCAGTACCTGGAACAGTTGGAACGTCAGCAGCAGCAGCTAAGTTTCTGGCAGAAACTTTATCACCAACTGAATCAATGATATCATGAGATGGACCAATCCAAGTAATACCACTAGCTTCAACTTTTTTAGCAAATTCAGAATTTTCTGAAAGGAAACCATAACCAGGATGGATCATGTTAACACCATGTTCTTTAGCAATTTTGATGATTTCATCAATTTGTAAATAAGCTTGAACAGGAGAAAATTGACCTTTATAACCAATGGCATAAGCTTCATCAGCTTTTAATCTATGCATTGATAATCTATCTTCATGAGAATAGATGGCAACGGTTTGCATTGACAATTCATGGGCAGTTCTGAAAATTCTGATTGGAATTTCACCTCTGTTGGCAACAAGGATTTTGTTTGTTGTTGAACTCATTAATAGAGAGTTTCTTCTAATTTTGTTGATATCACCACTATCTGGGACACGAACAGGTTCAAAAGACATGATGGATAGACAATTCTTTCTTAAATCACTTTTAACTGAGTATAATTGTTATTCAAACTGATTAAAGACCAGCGTTATCAGCAAAAATAATATAAATCAAATTGAATCTAGTATTGCTAAAAGGGGATACGTTTCAAAAGGTTGGTGGGATTCTTTAGAAACAGTAAGGATAGCAAAGGCAACAGGGATTCAGCAAGTAGTAAGTTCAATCGAAAAGTGTGTTCTTGAGGAAAGAATTGAATAGTAATTGATAAAACAAATCAATTGGGCGGTTAGAGAAAAGGATATCAACTTGTTTATAACTTTTTTGCCCAAGCTACTTCAAAAAAAATGATGAGCATCCAAAAAAAAATAAAAAAAAACTGAACATCCACCGAATGACTAATTTTTTTTTCAATTGGTGAATTCGCGCTGGACAAAAAAAAATTAGGCGAGCTAGGCAGAGCAGGAAGTCTGTGCGTGTCTATACCATATCTCAGCTTAGGCAGAGAATCACAAAATTTCTAGGCAGAGCAGGCCGTTCCGGCTGTCTGTGGGCAGAGAGCACAGAACGCGTGGGCTTTCCAAAAGTACGTGGGGGACAAAATCTGGGGTATGAGGACAAAAATTGGAACAATAGAACAAAGTTGAAAGAGTGGGACCATAAAAGAGAGGAAAGTGAGGAGCTTTGAGTATTTATAGGTTCCTTGGTGAGTGTTGTGGTTTGTGCGACTCATTCATTTGAATCATCTTGCTTGATGTAGGTTGAGCTAGTTTATATGGGCCTGAATCATATGAATCATATAGTCTATGGTTACCTGAATTAGACGGCCTTTTTACCCCGGATCCTGCCTCCTTTTCCAATCAGAAAACCTTCAATAGCCAGAGATCAGAAGCTGAAGGTACCCGAAATCAGTTCGTTATGGCAATAACAGGCTAGCTTGTTCACAGGATGAATGGACTCGTACCCGGGAGTTGAATTGACATATACGTCAGGGAGAAAGCGTGGAAATGTCGCACCAATATGAACATAAAGGGAACCAAGCAATAGAATATAGAAGCAAGGAACTGATACGTCATAGCCTTGAGTATAGATCTCAAAGAAAAGGATTCATCTTGTAAATTTGATGTCTTCAACTCTTTAAAACTCTTCAACATGATGAATTCGCGAACCCAGTACATGTTTTAAATCCGAAACACACAGAGCACTAAAAACCAGAGAGACAAATGCAATTGTTCGAATTGTGACTGGTTGAATTTTAGCATAGCTTGTTGATTGTTTGAGCTGTCTTTTAAGGGTCTTCTAAAGTCTTTTTATAAGGCGTAAAGACTTTGTTTCGGTACTGTTCTATGTCCAGATCTTGTATCTCTGTCCCAAGCTTGTAATTTTGTCTCCTTCTGTAGTCTGGTCAACGTCACCTAGAAAATTTTCAAACTTCATGATCAAAAATTTGATAACTTTGACGAATTGACCAATCATTGCAAATTTCATGACCAAAATGAACATCATAAACGGTGAGATCATTTGGGAAACGATAAACGCATTCATTCAACCAGCGCTAAGTTCTTCCAATAATAGTAATAAAAATGATACAAGGTTCAAAGTTCAAACGTCCAACGTACTCCTTCAACGGCCGTAGACTACAATTGAAGTTTGAATCTCTTCTAGGGTCCAACTACAGCTACGATATCATCAAGCTAACAACAAACAACACAGTACCAATTCACCCTATACCTTTAGCTAGACATGATGGTTATTGATAGATGCGTCTCAAGAATAGTGTGGAAAAACTAGTTAATCCACCGGATAAACCTCAATTGATTGACAACCCTTCATGTATCCACTGACAGCAAGATGGGAGCAGACAAAGCTCATGGCACTGGACCCTTGTAAAATTATAATTGACACTTACTACACATTGATGTTGCAATTGAGTTACGAATGGTCCAGAGAACCGAAGTGAAGTTGATACAAAACAGAGTAGAGTGAAATAGCACCAACTCTTTACTATTGATCAAATTTTGAGAAATACTAGCTTAGATACAGATAGCACAAGAAAATTGAAATTGATTGATTTTCAAGTTTTTATCACTTGGTCATGAACTTGCACCTTGTTGTTGATACAGCGGTTTATAGGCTATAGCCCACCGGAGATTGGTTTGAGGTGTACCTAGATCTACAGAATGAAGATTGACACCTGTCAAACTAATTTCAGTACAAGCTGTACATAAACTTCCAAGGGTTCAAAAAACACTGGTCCACAACTAAAACTTCGATTTAACCTGATAAACTTGACCTTCTTGATCTAACGTGCTCAATAACATCATCTTTTTTATCTACGGATCCACTAAATCCACGATCTTCTTCATCTTTAGAGTCATCACCTTCTTGATCATCTTCGAAATCCAGTTTTTGTGACACTTCAACATCATCAGATTGAAAAGCTAGATATGTTACTGATGGAATAGATAAAAAGAATGCACCAGCTGCAACCGCAAGATTAACCATATCACTATCATTAACAGCACCAATAAGGAAAGAAAAGCATTGACCCAAACTTTCAAAAGATCTAATCAATCCAGAGACATAAGCAATTTCAGAATGATGGAAATGATAAGCTCCTATAACCCAATAAACCCAATTAAATACCAACTCACCAGATATTTTGAAAATTTGAAAAGGGACATAAGATCTATAATATCTTGGATTACCTGTCCAGTCAATACCACTTTCAGGTGTAACATCAAATTCATGTTGAATGATTAAGCTGTAAATGAAAAAGGAGACCATCAATACAACGGTTATTAACCATGAGATTTTGACTTTTAATGATTTCTTCATCTTGACATCAAATAAATAACCAGCTATAACATCTGTTGCACCATTAATAATTGCAGTTAATAGAGAATTTAGAGCTCTAACTCTCACGGTGAAATGATGGGTAACATAATTTGATTGCCAAGTTAAAAACCAAACATTTGACATGAATAAAGGTAATAAAAATAATACTTCCTTTTTCAGGAAAACATTTTTCAGATTAATAAATCTTTGTTTCCATGATTCATCTTTAGTAACATTACTTTTCAATTCTTTACCATCTTTTCTAATCAATTTCTCAGGTGGTGATAATAGAAATGAAGCAGGAAACCCTAAGCATTGAATAGCGATCAAGACAATATAAGTATTTAATGAAATACCACCAGATTTCTGGGTCTTGTAGTTCATAGCTAAAGTGATAGACCCACTAATTATACCACCGAATTTATTCCATAATTGCCAAGTCCCAATAAATCTACCTCTTTGGCCATCTTCTGGATATAAAATAGCCACAGTAGCCTCACCGGTCCATAAAGCAGCAGCACTAATACCACAAGTTGCAGCACCAAATAAAACTAACCATTGTGTACCATCTTTTGAATTTTGATATAATCCAGCACTCCAAAATACATAACCAATCGTACCTATTATAACAACTGGTTTAATCCCAATTTTATTGACCAGTATTGCATACAAAGGAGAGAGGACAAACATAATTGCAAATAAAAGTGTATTGGCAACATTTGATGTTGTAACGGTTTGTAACCCACCAGCACCCTATAGGAGACAATATTAGCAAAACATAGATCATAGGATAAAAGACAAGAGGTAAACACTCACTGTATTCATAATTGATGTCCATAGACCTGGTTGAGTAAAACATATAAACCCAATGATATGAGCTTGTGTAGCTGTTGATCTATAAATTCTTTGTACAATCCCCATTGTTGAACGTGTGCAATTAAACAAAACCAGTATGTAGGGTTAAATTGATAGATCACAAAGAGACTGACACTTTATCTCTTCTTTTATACGATTTCAAAATGGGCGATGTTATATAGATCCACATCTTTGATAATTTTAATAAGACCGCCCCGTCTGGTGTTGTACGTGTAGCGTGTACCTGCTTAGAGCGAAAATAGTGGCTCAAATGACTTCAAATGATGAATTGATAGCGGCTCGGGCCGTGAAACATGAAGATAGGGATGGTGAAATGTGAAGCTAGCATGAAAGTTGAAGCCATACAATTTTAAAGGTTGTAAGTGGGCTTGGATTCTGGAATATCAAATTGAACATATTTGTGGCGTCCTCTTGTTGTGGCGGTTGGGTTGCTGCTGTTGTTTTGGTTCAGCTTTTGATGATTTTTATCAAAGGTCTGAGTCTTTTGAAGATAGAAAGTAGCATTTTAACTTTTGACCAACAATTGTATGATCAATGAGTTGAATTGAAGGTTTCAAGAAGTTTTGAAATGCTCAAAAGTGATTTTATTTTTAGTGTGGAAACCAAAGACACGGTTCATATGGCAGAAATTTGGCTACGCATAGCTTATTCGGAATCCTCAAAACGTCAAATAAGCCAGAAGAAAGTAGATGAAAAGCACAAGAGTCTTGGGGAATTAACTATATATGTACTCTGGACTGATGATATTTTAGGAAAATACTAGACTAGTTCACTAAACTTTAACGCGTAAACAGATCACGTGACATCGCTATAAAGTATTCTTGGAAACCTCATCAATGATCCATACAATCACTACAACAAACAGAATGATGTATGTTGCCCATGGAATCTCAGGAATTACACAATTCCCAGCTCTCAACTTGGTTAAATGAAGCATCATCTCGACGACGTATGTACTTCATAATTAAGCTTACGAAATACGGTCCTTGCGTACCTGAACAGAGTTAACGTTTAGTCCCGTGACTCTAAAACTCTTGGGATCTTGATGATGATGAGTTGGACCCAAAGGGCTATAATTGGATTGAACTAAAATGGACTAAGAGTATAGCAATCAAATGTAGATCTAACCGTTAGCTACGTCAAAAATCAACGAAGAACCTTCCAAAAACTGCTTTAATACTACGCACAGAAAGATGAAACTCGTACGCAGCCAGACTCAACGTGTCAGTAGGGAATTTGGAACTCTAGAAGGAGGAAACCATGAAAGAGCACTTATAAGAATATATAAGCAATAATACTATCATACTCTATCCAAAAACGCTACACAGACACTCTCCAAATCCTAGAGCCTTTCTAATAGTCAATTCAAGTTATTTCGAAAGTACCTTAACTCTGAAAAATCTCGATTCTCGACCAAAGCCAAAAAAAAAAATAACAAAAAAAAAAAAAAAAGACCCATAACGTCAAAAATTATCAACAACAACATCGATTTCAATTTCAATCGATCCAAGCTCATTAACCGACCACATACAAAATGTCACAGCTGCAGAGGTATTTCAGCAGGATAAAGAACAGAGCAACAGCCAATATCTACCTCACCTTAACCATTGCAATCCTATCCTTATATTTCGTAAAGACGGTATTAATTGATGAAGATTCAAGTTATTTGTTTGATCTAAGTGATGGTCCTGGTACTTCTGGATTTGGGATAACAAAAGGTGGTACAGGTAATCAAGGATATCAAAAAGATCATAGAACTGGTGGGTTACCACCTACTGCTAGAAAAATATATGAAAATAAAGATATAACAACATATGAAGAATATGGAATTGATGGAAATCAACAACATAATGAATTTTTCAATAAAGATAAGAATAAAATCATCATCATATTGGGTGCTAACATTGAAGGTGGTGTTAATAAATGGAAGGGACCAAATGAATGGTCAATTGAACGTTCTTCAATTCTAAACAAGAAACATTATGCAAAGAAACATGGGTATGAATTAATTATTAAAGATTATACAAAATCTAAGAAATATTCGAATGATTATAGAGAAGGGTGGCAAAAATTTGATATTATTAAGCATGCATTTGATCAATATAGTAGTGGAGATTGGTTTTGGTATATTGATTTATATACTCTAGTGATGGAACCTCAAATTAGTTTGGAAAATTTGATTTTCAAAAAAATTAATGAAACAATAGAGAGAGATTTAAATTATTTTAATCCAAATCAATTGGAATTAGATGTCCCTTTTACAAATTATGATGAACCATTGAATTTGATCTTGACTCAAGATTGTGGTGGGTTTAATTTACAATCATTTTTAATCAAAAAAACTGAATGGTCAATAACTTTACTGGATATATTATTTGATCCTGTTCATTATTTACAAAACATTGCAACTTGGAAAAATGGTGAAAAAAATGCATTGGAATATTATTACAACAAGTTTGGTTGGATTAGATCAAGAGTTGGGTTTTTACCAACAAGAACTATAAGTAGTTTACCAAAAGGTGCATGTCCGGATTTTGAAGGTGATGAAAGGTTTTTCTATAATGAATCTTCAAGAGATTTCCTTGTAAACATGATGGGTTGTGAATATAATAGAAATTGTTGGGATGAAATGGAATTTTTCAAACAATTGAGTAAAGATTTACATGAAAAATGGTATCAAAAATGGTTTTAATCTATATATCTTGAGTTCTTTCCACTCTTGCAATGACTTCTTCAATTGGTTTGTTACCTTGTTGAACTTGTAGTAATTCTTTCTCCAATTGTTGTTCAAATTTTTTATTTCTCTTGTGTTTTTCATCTCTCAAAACGTTATACAATAAGAAATTGATCCAAATTTCCAAGAATGAATAAACAAATACCAAATCATTATGTAACGCTGAGGTTTTAACACAATATGAATATGCACTTATACCGAAAAATATGGTTAATCTAGTTGGAACAATAGATTCAAAATATTTATGATTATCAATAAATAATTGTAATAGATCAATACCACCTAATGAAATAAAAAACGCACCAAGAGCACCCAACAACCCTTTATTATTTTCATTAATGAACCCCTTTTCCTAAAACCGCCATAGTTAGTACCATAATCCTTCACATGAACTTTAAATCCCAATACTTACCACACCCATAGCTTGACCAACTAGTATAACCATTGGTTGATCAATGAGCACAGTGACATCTTTGAAAATGTAGAATGCAATGGTGAATAAGAGACAGCATCTTAGATAGATCGCAGTGTTTGATGATATCATGAAGAACATGGTTGAAGAGGATACGTGCTTGTTTGGATCAAAGACTAATTCAGTGATGAGGGCAAATACAAATCTTTTGACTAGATCTTGTATTTTTTTTTTCGCGGCTATACACAAAATTAGAAAGGCTGAAAAATTGATTCGAAAGTAGCTTATTTGATTCGAAAAATGTGATTTAGGTGGGATCTCATGAATTGATCCCTTTTTCTTCAACGTAAAACCTTCATATTTAACCATGCTTTTATTCTAGCGTTAGTACTTGATTTGTAAACTGGATCATTAATATGTACCGAATAGTCGCGAAAATCGCGACATCTTAAGGTCTACAATATCAAGATAACTAATTACACCTCAATATTCTTGTCCATATGAGAGAAAAGTGCGCTATTTACCAATACTAAGTACGCATATTGACCTATTCATGAGATAAAAATGGTGTTTTCTGCTCATTAAGCATCAGCTATCATGAAAAGTACATGAGGTCATAATCATCTCAACAGAAAAAATAATGAATCTCTAAAAACTATATAAAGGGAAGCAGAATCGCAAAACTACAACATTGAGTTTGTCGACAAAATAGGGATTGTGCTATAAAAACATCTCACCCTCACCCTTGTGCAATGATGATTTCTTTCCGGCCAGATTCATCATCATCATTGTATAGTTTCCGGGGCCAGAGAACACAAGACCAAAAAAAGACAATGGGATAAAAGCTTTCAAAAGCTACTTCAATGGTTCCACACATTTTCTTAAATTTTAATGTGAAGTGGATCCCAATGCCAGCACAACTAAGAACTCAACAAAAAATACTTTTCAGCATTTAGAAAAGCTTCCCAATAATAGGACAGAAAATACCTAAAACCTTTAGTCTTCACCACCAAGGAATTAACTGAAAGAATAAAGTGGTATAATGGGAACATTTCAGCATCTAGAAAAGATTCCCAATAATAGGACAGAAAATACCTAATACCTTTAGTCTTCACCATCAAAAAATTTTCTGAAAGAATGAAGGGGTATAATGGAAGCTTTTCATCATCCCAAACCCAATAACTTATCTTCAACCTTAAAGTATAACAATTAACTGTCTTTAATACAATTTGAAATGCAAGAGAACCCTTGGTGGAATTTAAACCTTCATTGAACATTTCTGAAATTACTTGACCAGCTAAATTATGGAGCTTTACTGAAAATGAGTTTAAATTTTCATTACCTCCTGGATCAAACATGATGAATAGTGGCTTTGGTAACACCACAAAATGTTGAAAACCATCAATAACAATAGATACCATTTTCAAATTTATCACATCTTTATTAGAAGAATTGACCAATTTAATTTCAAAAAAACTAGTGTCTGGATATTCATTAATCATGCCAGCATCAAATGAGTCGAAATCATTTATTTGAATAGACTCCGGCCAGTTGATATTATTCAGCCTTTTATCAGCACTGTTTGGGTTGTCTTGTTCTTCAAAATTGGAAACTTGGTGATAAGAAGCAGTATCTTGAGATTGGTGGTGGAGGTGATTGGTTTGGATTTGGGAATGTTGAGTCTTTGTGTTGTCTTTTTTGCGTTTCTTCTTTCTCATCTTTTCAAATAGGATGAGTGAATTGTTGTTTAGCTAGTTTCTTTCTAGTTGAGGAAATTGAAAATAAAGAAAGTTTTAACCCATTGGAGATGATTTCAGCTTTATGTAGTTTTCTCAGTTGATTCATCTTTGTGTAACACTTCTCCAATCTGTCCACAAAAGCAACTTGTAACCGGCTCAATCTGTTAACCACCAACACCATTTCATTGAATCATCACAACATTAATGTCCATCTCATAAGTCATAAAAGAGAGTCCTGTAGCAAGCGCCTGCTTGGTAGTAGCCACTGTTGTTCAACTTGTATCCTTTCTTTGACGTTGTCTTTGTTGTTTGAGATTGTGTTTTTGTTGATGATGAATCTTTAGCACAAGTTTCGCGAATGCTTAAATTAGGCACTATTGGTTGTAGGTTACCACATTTTAACATGTAATTGCAACGTTATATCAATACTTTCAATGGCATTTCTAAATGGCCGGATGATGCTGCAAGGACTTGGAAGTCGGTGAATACAAATTTAAGTAGATTTTTGCTTATTTATAGTTGAATTGATCGCCAAATTAGGTGTGCACTGATGCCGTTATGACACTTATGCAGAGATTCAAAATTAATATCAACGAGGCTTTCTGTTTGAATAGCAATAGACAACCTACAGTTCTACGGTAAGTATTACGCCAAAAGTAAACAAGATAAAAGCCTCGATTCTGTATCATCTCTTTCTCAAGAGGACATCAATATTTATCCACAATAGTTTCATTATTTTTTCATTATTTGGGTTCATTGATTCTGGCATCTGAATCGAATTGTCAATTTGATAGGGCAAAAGTAGCAGCCAAGGATATCTAGAAGCCAATAAATTTATATCTTAGAGTAATAAACATCTTCTATGGACAGCTTTCATCAAAGTCCACGATGAATTCCATTATAATTTTCTTCTCTCAAAAATCAATCATCATCAATCCATTAACAATTGCTTCTAAGATTGAATATCCTAAAACCAAAGGACTATTCAATAGTGCGAAATCACCAAGGTATGAAACAACAGCCAGTATAAAGAACGCAAAGAATCTGATTGGAACAACACTATCAAAATAATCAGAATTGTCTTCCAAATACGGCACAAGATCAGTAACACCAATGACTGCCAATAACACTGCAAAAAGACTTGATTCTGACTCTGTAAAGATGATTTTACTTCCCTAAATTGCGTTAGTATTGACTTCTTGAAAGTATTAGCTTTTCATAACGTACCGTGTATGACGAGATCAAACGACCAAGTTCTCTTGAATCATATATCAGCTTGTAAACCAAGTATGCAATACCTGCAATCCTCACTAGAGCAGTATAGTTTCCCATCGTTAATTGGTGCTGTTTTGGCCAATTTTTAATTGTTGTTGATGTTGATCTAGTTTCTCGCCTTCATCAAATTTTCAATTTCTACGGGTTCAAGAAAATCAAAACATTAACAGCGTCTACAACAAATCAACCTAGATTGAAAGAAAATGGTTACATCAGGAATGGGTTCGATACTTGATAAGCTTTGGAGCGCTGCTTAGATTATATGATTTCAGGAATTGGGAATGGTTATATTGGTTATGTGCCAAAATAAAGGTTTTTGTTATATTGTTGTTACATTTGGAGGTCGTGATGATGAACTAATTGGCGCCAAAAACTGTAACAAAGCATGAGAGAACTGAGTCACATCGAGCTGAATCTTTTCAGAGAAGTCAAATATTTTGTATGATGTTTCTTGCAGAGTCACAAAAAGTTCAGAATTGATGATTTTGTGAAGTTCAACTTTCAATTTTTGAGAAATCAGACTCAGATTTCATTGAGATCCAGATACAAAGTGAATGATGTCATCGTTATCACTGGACTGTACTACTGCTCAAGTGTTACAAGTTCTTTGTGTTGTTAAACACAAAAATCGTGGTACAAAAACGAATCCCAAGTTACACAAAGTGATATCTTTTTGTGTCAAAAACGGTTTTTGTGTAAACAGTGGTTTTGTGTCAAGAACGGTTTTTGTAACCAGGTTCACAAATGAAATTTGTTTTTGTGTCAGGGGTTACAAAAGGAAACTCCAATATGAGCTCTTTGTTTGGTTTTGTGTCACAGTTACTAGTGTTTTCAACAATAAACTGTTTGGTTTTTGTGTCTGGAGTTACAAAAAGAAGATGTAAAGTGTTTCTGTGGCAGAGGACCCCAAAATCTATTTAGATAGCAGCAAATCCCCAAATCTTTTATCCATCTACCATTCACTTTAGATCCTCATCTTTCATCATTCATCATCAGGTATTCATCACGTTGGTACATGTTTTGGTTGGTTGTCAGAGCTGGTGGTTTGGTTCCCCATGTGTTGTTGGTCTCATCTTCCATTGTTGTTGGTTGCTGCTTTCTATTCCAGAGGCTTGTTTGAAATTAGAGTTATTCACTGTGTTTGGTTATGATTGGTTGGTACTAGGGACTTGGGTAACTTTGAGTTCGCTGCTTATATTCTTTTCTGAAAGTTCTTGAAACTTGTTTTCTCTAACTGGATGATTAATCATTTGATGGATCTGATTTTCAATACGCCACCTTTGATTTATCAAAGTTTGAATTTCGTTGAAGTCTTTTGAAGGTATGACCCTTACTCTTAACCTCCCATTATAAGTCTGAGTGATTGGTCTGGATGATTTGATTTTGAAGTTTTGAACTTTTGTGGGATTCTGAGATTTCAATGATTCAATTTAAGGATTTATTCATTCTACCCTCCAAGATTAGTCTGCACATACTCCTAGTGATAATTCTTTGGGATGACAAGTGCTCCTAGGGCTGTTTTTGGTTTTTGGTTTGTTGTTGATGATGAGTTGTGTTGCTGTTCAATTTGCCAGGTTGTTTCTTGCTCATTTACTTTTGGTGTTCCATTGAGACTTTGGTGATGATGATGGTTGTCTATGTTCATGTTTTGTTGAATCCAATATGATGTTTTACCCAGTGCAATTCATCATTGTACTTTGGATCCATCTTCTGATGGTACTTTTGATGTTTCAGTTGTTTCAGTTGCTCCATTCTGTTTTGTTTTATTTGATTCTGTTTCTCAGTTGACTTGCCTTATGTGTTTTTGTTGTTTTGAACTTTTCAAGTTGATGGTTCTTTTGTGCTTGCCAATGTTGTTGTTGAAGCTTCATTTGTCACTGGTTTCTCGTTGATTAGGGCCCAATCAACTTTAATAGAGTAAATCCAGGTTCTTTCTAAGAATAGTTTGACATTTGAAGATTGGTGGATTTTGATTTCCATTTGTTGTGCCATTTTTTTTTGATCCTAGTGTTGTTTTCATTGGCATTTGAGCTGGTTTGTTGTTTGAGTTGTTGTTCCTATGCTATTCATTCATTTGTCCCTGTTGTTTCATTTTGATTTTCCATTTGTTCTTTTGTTGTTCCAGTTGTTGTTGTTCGTTCTTTTGTTCATGTGATACATTATTGTTGTTTCATTTTCCAGTTGTTGATCTCCATTGTTGTTCCACTTTTTTGTTTTATTCCTTCTGTTGTTTTCCCATTTTTGCTGTATTTGTTGTTCCATTTGTTGTTCCATTTTTTCATTTTTGTTCCAGTTGTTTTTTCCATCTTTGTCCCATTTGTTGTTTCCATTTTTGATCCATTTGTTGATCCATTTGATTCCAGTTGTTGCTTTATTTCATGTTCCTATGATTGTCCCCAGTGTTGTTCCATTTTTTGTTACTCCATTTCTTCTGTTGTTTTTTCCATTTTATTTTCAGTTGATGTTTCCATCTTTGTTCCATTTGTTTTTCCATTTGTTGTTATTGTCCATCTGATCTATTATTGTCCTTTCATGTTCCAGTTATTGTTCCAGTTGGGTTTTCCATCTTTGTTCCATTTGTTGTTTCCATTTGTTGTTTCCATTGTTGTTTCCATTGTTGTTTCCATTGTTGTTTCCATTGTTGTTCCATTTATTGTTCCAGTTGTTTCCCATTTGTCGTTCCATTTGTTTTTGCTCGTTCATTTGTTCATTTGATCTATTGGTCTATTATTGTCGCTTCATGTTCCGGTTGTTGTTCCATTTTTGGTTCTCCATTGTTGTTCCTGTTGTTTTTTTTGCATCTTTGTTCTTTTTGTTGTTTCCATTGTTGTTTCATGTTTCAGTTGTTGTTCCATCTGTTGTCCATTTGGGTTTTCCGTTCTTAGAGTTGTTGTTGTTCCATTTTGGTTTCTATTGTTCCCAGTGTTGTTGTTCCCATTGTTGTTCCAAGTTTTGTTCCCATTGTTGTTCCAAGTTTTGTTCCCATTGTTGTGTCATGTGTTGTTCCAATTGTTGTGTCATGTGTTGTTTTATTTGTTCCATCTGTTTGTTGACTTTTTTCCAATTGTCATGTGCTGGTGGGTTTCCAAGCTGATCTTGTTCTGATATTTTCCTGTTGTTGTTGTTGTTGCCATTTGGATGTGTGCTTTATCAGTGTTGATGTTTCCGTTTGTTTCAGGTGTTCCATGTTGTTTTGTTGTTGTGTTCCAGTCCAGTTGGGATTCATGGTTGATGTTTGGTAATTGATAGTTGATTGATTGATTGATAGTCTCTGGTTTCTACATTGTTTTAGGAGTGAACAGTTTTACAGAATAAATCCAGCTGTTTTTTCAACAGAATGACTTGAGATTGGTTAATAGGAGGAGAAGATACAAGAGAGTATAAAAAAAGAGTTTTTTTATCTTGTTGTTATTACCATTGAGATTTCAATAGCATTAGGATTTCATTAGTCACTGGTTTCTCGTTGATTAGGGCCCAATCAACTTTAATAGAATAAATCCAGGTTCATTTTATGAATAGTTTGACTTTTGAAGGTTGGAGGTTACTGGTTTCTACATTGTTTTAGGAGTGAGCAATTTTACAGAGTAAATCCAGGTTCGTTTATGAACAGTTTAACTTTTGACTTGATGCCTATATATCGCTAGCCAGGTTTCCAAAAAAGATTCTTCAAACATATGAATTTGCTTTTCAAGCTTACAATTCTTGTTGTTGATATCTAAATAAACTGGTTTGAAATCTCAATGAATTATTTTGGATAATAAGTGGAGGGAAAGAAGGGTAGGATGGCGGGCTCTTTCTCTTCAATATGATTTATGTTTTTTGTTTATTAAAGATAGATGAGTTAGAGATTAATGATTATGTGGACCTGTGTTTTGTCTGTTGTGAAATTTTTTGATTGTCTACTGTAGTATTAGCCTTTCTGCTCTTGGGTTCAACAAAAAGCCATCTGCCAAATAAGAAGGTGAACTAAGTGGTATAATAACTATTAACACATACAGTATGATCTCTTAATCGGCCTTATAGAGTAAGACTTAAATATCATGAATGTAGACCTCCAAAGCACCTGTTTACAATTGAGAAATTGTATCACTTGTACAAAACCTATCTTTAACTGGGTTCTGCAAATGAAGTTCATAGCTTTGTGACTTGACGGACTTTCACGCTCTGCGAACCTGAGATCTACAGAATCAACACGTGACAACTCAGTACAATGTGATGGCAGTCCAGAGTTAAATCTGATGACTCTGTTCGTAGAAGTCAAAAGTTTTGTATGTAAAATTCAACAGAGTCACAAAAAGTTCGAAATTGATGGTTTTTCGAAGTTGTTTCATGAGTTTCCTCAGACCTCTGCTCTTTTTTAGTGTGGATTAGTAAATGATTACGTAATTTGCCTTTGTGGTACACAAATACTCTGAATTTTGGTTTTGTGGTTTTGTTATTTTGAAGTAGAAGTTTTGGTTGCGTCTCTGTGTGCTTTTGTGCTGATGCTGTTCGGTTTTGTGTCAGGTTGGCTGGTTGTCTGGTTGGTGGGCAATCGACTAAGTTATCGAAGACACCGAAACGTCAGTATCGATTATTCGTTCTTTTAAACGGTATCTACAGGTATTTTTTCTTGAAAAGCACATGTATTAGTATCAAATTAAATAAAAAGAGTATACCCAAATAGAGCCTAGCATAATAACTTGTAGTATAAATTATTGGGACAACAATTTCTCAGCATGAGCATTGTATCTTAATCCATGAACAGTAACACCTTTGAGGAAATTATTAGCTTCATCAAACTCGTCTTGAGTCAAAACAATATCTGAAAAGTTTTCTTCAACTCTTTTGACACTTGAAGTACTTGGAATATCAATGATTTTTGGGAACTTAATACCATCAATTGTTTTTTCACTCCAATATCTGACCCAAGCCAATGAGTATTGAGCAGGGGTGATGTTTTTCTTTGCAGCAGCTTTTTCAACAAACTCAATAATTGGAGCATTCTTCTTCAAATTCTCATCAGTGAATCTATCAAAAGTTTTACGGAAATCATTTTCAAATAGATCTGATGTACTTTTAATAGAACAAGACAATAAACCTCTTGATAATGGACTATAAGCAATGATTGGAATATCCAATTCACCAGCAGCTTGAGCCAATCCATTGGTTAAAATGTCTCTTGAAAAAATTGAAAATTCAAGCTCAGCACAAACAATCTTATGTTTTGAGATTTTAGCGAGCTTTCTTAAAGTATTTGCGTTCACTTCTGAGACACTAATTCCTTTGATCTTACCACTATCAACGTTATCATTAATGGCAGCAATGGTCACTTCAACTGGAACTGTAGGATCAAGTCTAGCTGCTTCAAAGAGGTCCAAATCAGGGATATAACTGGTGATATTGTCGATAGATTTTTGAATACCTTCTTTGGTTCCATGGGGAGTAAAAGTAGCAATATCTGTTGCACCTTTGATTGAAATGATCAAATGTTGGCGTTGGTCAGGGTATGAATCGATAAATGACTTGACATATTTCACATTGATATCATTTGGACCATAAAATTCACCACCATTGATAAAAGTCTTGTTCGGTAAATTCTTCTTGATAGTGGCCAAAAGGGTTTCATTTAAAGCTGATTGAGGATATGGATCAGGTCTTGCAGTGAAACTGAGTAAACCTAAACCAAACTTAGTGGCTTTCAATTCATTTAAAATTTGTTCAGAAGACATGGTGAGTATTGTAGTTGATGTTGATTAATTGGCGACATCTGTATTGAACCATTGGGATTATCATGAAGTATTTATAGTGATTTGTTGATGCGGTATCAACTGTTCATTGTTCAATCATCCTTCCTTTCAGTGTACTCGATTGAGATGATGTTGTTGTACAACTTCCTCGATCTGGTAATGATTCGGATTATTAAGCGTCTAAATCACGATTATTCAAAATGTTTGAATAGACGCTTATGGCATCTCGCAACGGCCGTAGTCGGTTTCGCTGGAATAGACAGCTTATTCCCGAAAGCCGTTATAGAATGGCAGTTTTGGCAGAAGACGGGTCAGTATTGCTAAAGTAGCCAGGGCATAAACCATTTATATTGTAGTGGAAATAGAGAATAGACCAATAGCACCAAAAATTAATGACAAGTGTGTATTAGAAACGCAGTATACTATTTATAAGCGTGGTCAGATTATTATATGGCTGGGGTGAGTTTATTTTCGACAGAGGAAAACAGATATCTAGTTATACCAGAATGTGATTATTAGCGTCACAAAAACAACGAGCAATTAATAAGAAAGACAACCCAGGCTAGTGAGAGTTAGGTAATAAGTTGATTGATCGGTGGACAAACCCCAAATATTTGGTTTGGGAGGCCCCACAGAGTCAGAAAATACTGGAAATTAACGATTTTGTGATCACAAAAGTTGACTTCAATGAGATCCTGCAGTCTGCTTAGAATAGTGAAGCGAGATGTAGGATGTAGCCAAAGAATACTTAAAGCATTACGTCACTTGCAGTTTAAGAAGAGGTTATATTTGAATTGGCACATGGCTTTCAGCCACGAACAGCTTCTTTATTCCAAACTTTTGAAGAGTGATTATTAGTACACCGAGACCTTTCATAAACTGGTTCCATAGTCTTCCACAATAATGCTACATATAGCTTGGCACTATACCAGAAAAACTACTAGGTTTTGACAAAGCTCCAGTATGGAGGGCGATCTGTGTGGAACAATACACCTCTCTAGCATAATTACAGCATCTAGAAACGATCTTTATAGTTCATTAACCTAATCAAAAGTAATTTTTTTCAATATTCTATACCAGTAACATCACAAGCTAACACGGATACCCATGAAAATATTCATAATCCTAATAAAGCCTCAGCATGGACATTGTATCTGTAACCATGAGCAGTAACACCTTTAATGAATTCATTAACTTGATCAAACTCTTCTTGAGTCAAGACAACATCTGAAAAGTTTTCTTCAACTCTTTTAAGACTTGAAGTACTTGGAATGTCAATGATCTTTGGGAACTTAATACCTTCGATTGTTTTCTCACTCCAATATCTGACCCAAGCCAAAGAATATTGAGCAGGTGTAGCATTTTTCTTAGCAGCAGCTTTTTCAACAAATTCAACAATTGCAGCATTTTTTTTCAAATTTTCATCAGTAAATCTATCAAAGTGCTTACGATAATCATCATCTGGAATATCAGCTGAAGATTTGATTTCACCAGTTAAAATCCCTCTTGACAATGGACTATAAGCAATGATTGGAATATCTAATTCACCAGCAGTTTTAGCTAATCCATTCTCCAAAATTTCTCTAGCGAAAATAGAAAATTCAATTTCAACACCAACAATTTTGTGTTTTGAAACTTTAGCAATCTTGGCTAAAGTATTAGCATTGACTTCTGAAACACTAATAGCTTTGATCTTACCACTATCAACGTTATCATTCAAAGCAGCAACTGTTTCTTCAATTGGCACTTTTGGATCAACTCTAGCAGCTTCAAAAATATCCAAATCTGGAATATAACTAGTAACATTGTCAATTGATTTTTGGACCCCTTCTTTGTCCCCAGTTGGAGTAAATGTTGAGAAATCAAAAGCACCTTTAATTGAGATGATCAAATGTTGACGTTGTTCAGGATAAGTATCAACGAATGATTTGATATATTTCAAATTGATGTCATTTGGACCATAAAATTCACCACCATTGATAAAAGTCTTATTTGGCAAATTTTTCTTGATAGTGGCCAGGATGGTTTCATTGAAAGCAGATTGAGGATATGGATCTGGTCTACCAGTGAAACTCATTAGACCTAAACCAAATGTTGAGGCTTTCAAATCTTTTAAAACTTGTTCTGATGACATGGTTGCTGTTGTAATAATAGTTGTAACTGTTGTATAATAGTTGATGATACTTTGAACAAACAAGTTTCTATCTCAAAAAGTTGAAGAACTCCAGATTATTTATACTTATTCTCTCACCACTTCCTTCAGTATTGTGTACAAGGTGTCAATTACATCAAACTCCCTTAAATCCTCTAGAATCCCAATTACATAATCGGTATTACCTATTGAAGAGCTCGGGCGAGACTGAAATTTCGGAAATTCTATTGTTGAAGCAGTCTGGCTTGTGAGTATTGTTCACAGCTGCTCAGAGTATTTGGCTGGAAATTACAGGCTTTCTACGTTATACGATTTCAATTGATTTACAGCTTGAAAAAGAGTCTGTCGGGAAAATCCTTCATAATTCTTGGCCAATCAAAACGCGTTCGTCTTTAACGGCTCTCGAAAACCCAAACTAGGAGAGGCTACTGGCACGCAAGAAACGACAGAGACCAATACACAAACATTTCTACGTTTAGTAATAGTTGAAAAGATTATTAATTCATGAGGTTATACAGGAATGTTTCTCTGAATCATTAAAGAAAGGGATCGAAATCATAATCAAAATCGTCATATTCATGATAGACTTGTTCTACCCATCTCACTGACAAAATCACCAATGCTTGTACAAATCTCCTCAAAACTGTCCAAAGAGTCTTCAGAGCTGCTTTCATACTTTGGTAATGTTGTAACATCGAGCCTTTCATCATTCTGGTGTATTTCAATAGCCATATTCTCCAATTCAACAACATCATCGTAAGCTGGTGGTGCATCTTGAACAAGAACAAAACTGAACTCGGTACTGAAAAACTTCTTTGTCAACAAATCATAACAATCATCCAAAAATGGATGTTCCAAACTAATCTTTTCACCAAGGATTGGCTCTTCTTGATCTTGAACATTTGTGAACACAGGTGGGAAAAGTTCGTGATCAGTGTTTTGCAAAAGATAAAAGAGTGTTTGTGAAAACATCAATGGAGATTCTTCACGTCTTTCTGGTAGGGATGAGCTTTCAACATGATGAGCATTTTTAAAACGAGCATTTCCAATTTCATTCAAGAATGGAATGATTTCATGAAAGTCATAATTGGTTCTGTTATCGACAATGAAATCGGGAAGTTGATTTCCAGCTATATGATTATTACTTTGAGTATGTGGTGGTTTAACCAAAAGATGTCCATTGTTTGTAATCACTGCACCATTTGGCTTTTGAACTTCAGAGAGGACATATGAAATATCAACATCAAGCTTCTTGTGGATATAAACATTACAGACGGTATCGGGTTTCATGAGTTCTTTAGGTGCATTGGGTGTGCTGGTAACTTGTTCAAGCTCATTTGGATGGCTCTTATAAACATGTGGTTTTATCTTCATTTCAATTTGGAATGTTTGATAAACAAATTTTCCCTTGAACCTAAATAAGTTTTGCTTTTGGTGAAATTCAAAACTAAGAAGTTCCTCAATTTCTTTTAAATGGGTTTCTGGGTTAAATTCATATGTGCATCTGAGTTTGGAGTACTCATAAATGTTGATAACCTCATATTTGTCACTGAGTTTGAATTCCTTTCTTGGTTCAGCTGGTATAATCATATTCTTGATGAATTCTTTGAGCTATAAAACTAAGAAGGAGTTGAAACTTGAAAGTTTTCAGACAACTGCTTCGATTTAAAAGAACAACCTACATGTGAGATGTTTGAAAGGAAAAAGTTCTCTATATGCTACTTAATAGTGAGACGTTTATAGTCTATTTTGTTCACTCTCTTCCACACTTCTCTAACAATACGTTCTTGAGACTCTCTTGCAGTTTCATTCAGATTATCACTAGTGGTGGCTCTGATAGCCAAATACTGTCTTGAACCGAGATGAGCAGGTCCAATATCCGAGAGTTCATGATCCAAAGGTGGGTTGCCATTTGTAACTAGGCCACCACTCTCTTCAACCAATATAACACCAGCAGCTATATCCCATTCCCAGCATCCAAGCTCCCAAAATATATCTGTGGATCCCATCGCAATAAACGCCATATCCAAAGCCGCACTTCCTAAAGATCTCACCCCGTGAACCATTCCACCGCCTTCATTTTTCTTTGCCATGTTTATGAAGCTTTCAATCTTTAGTTTCAAATCTCCATTGTAATCTCTATTCTTCCCCCATTCACAACTGAATAGTAATCCTTTCGGGGCCTCTTGTGGGAATGGAGGTATTGGGTCATGTATTGGTAGTTTTGTAGATTTGTTCAACCAAGCACCACCACCTTTATAAGCTGAGAATGTTTGATTCAGGAAAGGGGCATTGATAACACCAACAACAGGTTTACCATCTATTAAGAACGCAATTGAAGTACAAACCATTGGAAACATATGGACAAAGTTGACAGTCCCATCTAAAGGATCAACACACCATGTTGGTTCGTTTCCTATTATGTAACGATCTTTTGGCTCGTCTTTTCCATATGATTCTTCACCAACAAATTTATGAGTAGGGTATTTGGACAAGACTTCTTTTTTGATAAAAGCTTCAACAGCTTCATCAACTTCTGTAACTATATCAACTGAATTTTGTTTCAACTTGTGATCTGAACTAGTTCTCGAATGAGATGATTTCAATAATATGGAGCCTGCTTCTTCGGCAACCTTGATGGCGAACTCATATATCTCTTTCAAATCAATTGACATGCTTAATACCTTCCCTTATGCTTCATCCTGATGAAATGTCACAAGGAGACTCGTCCAAAATTGTTTATCTTTATTGAAATCTTGATCAGGGCCTTAAATGTGGAGGTGATTATGTCATCTTACTAAAGGTTATTCGCGAGTCCGCTTTTTTACGCCTGTTGTCAAATTTTGTCGGTTTAAGACCAGCAAAATTCGACAAAGTACATAGATACGGTTACCTTATGAAGATAACAGCCATTCCAAAGGTCAAATATCAAACTACACCTATAAAATAGAAATCCTATTTTACTGCTTTCATCTTGTTTCGCGAATTTACTCTCTAATTGCTGCCCCAACCAGCGGACTTTCTGCTTTTGGAGTAGAATCCAGATTTTGCGGTTAATCCAATAACCAAAAGCTGAACAAAGCAGGAACATTAAATGGGGGAATCGACTTAGTATCATAGTTTGATTAGATCGATTGGTGGTGGTGCATTTTTCCACAATAAGTTTAATTTGGGATTGGTATAAATATGCTTAAACAGCGTATTAACTTTTTCAAAGTACAAAGTTAAAACCATTGACTGATGTACACTCAAAATCAAAACATCTCAGGTCTATAATGATTTCTCAACAACAACATTCCACAGATCATTTAAAATATAGTCACAATCAGATGCTTGAGTTGAAACATTACTTGCCTTATGAGAATTCAATTGCCTCTTTCATCACTTTGCCAAAAGCATCTGTTTATTCAAGAGTTAAGAGCGTGAAGGATGCTGGTTTTGATAGTTTTGAATTGATGGAAAATGACTTGCCAGATATCATGGATGATCTACCAAGATTTAAAAAATATTTGGATGATATTGGATTGAAAATTTCTATATTTCAACCATTTAGAGATCTTGAAGGTTCTTGGAATGGATTTGAGAATCGATTGGCTAGTTTCTCTAAAAGACTTGATGTTATGAAGGTATTGGATATTGATCTCATATTGGTTTGTTCGAATTGTCAGCTTCCAAAATCCGAAATCCCACAGAGCGCCTTTGTTGAACAATTACAAATAGCTAGTGATTTGGCTCTTGGTAAAGGAATAAAGATTGCTTATGAGGCTTTGTCATGGGGTACTTACATCAGCAAATTTGAGCAGAATTGGGAAATTGTCAAACTCGTGAATAGACCAAATCTTGGGATTTGTATTGATTCATTTCATTTGTTCATTCATGGTTCCAAGCTGGATATCATTGATGAAATGGCTGGTAAGATTTTCTTTGTTCAACTTAGTGATTCAATGAAATTGAAAATGCCAAAGCTAATTGACCATGCAAGAAACTTTAGATATCTACCAGGCCAAGGCTCTTTTGATATTGCTGAGCTGGTGAAAAAGATTCATGATGTTGGTTATGATGGACCAATGTCTCTCGAATGCTTTTGTCGTCCTTTTAAGTCTTTTAATGACCTTGGTTATGTTTCTAGAGAAGCATTGGCTTCTCTATACAACGTGCAGTTGGATTTGATTAAAGATGGTGGTATCCAAGCTGATATTCCAAGACAATTGAATTTTCAAAACTGTCATGTCAAAGGCTTCAAAAGCTCAAGGCAACACATTGTATTCAAGAATCCAAATGCAGATTTAGATCTTGAGATCTTGGTAACCCCAGCTGACACATTCAAGACTAGACACTATCTATTTCAATATGGCATGTTTTTGGATTGTTTTAAGGAATATGAACCATTGGATAAAGATATACGGAAATCCATAACCTTTCATTGCAGCAGATTAACTTTCAATAGTCTGTTGATTTACATCAAGAGTGTTTTGGGATTAAAAGAAGAGAACAACAAAAACAGCTACTTTGGATTACCAGAATACAAAACATTCACTAATGGTGTTGTATCTATTAATTTGGAGTGTGATGATAATCAAATGCCTTTGAAGAGCTTTTTTTAGATGTAAATAGGAAATACAGGTTTGTTCAATTATCCAGGTAGTTTTATTACCAACCACGTTCAGCATGGGTCGTTCCAGGAGCTACACTTCAGCTGCAGGATGAAGGGAGGGATGAAATTTAAGAATAGCAAGGTTTCATAGATACTTATATATTCATTTCAAAAACTTAAACACTATTATTCTTGATAAAGATTAAATCAACTGATGGAGTCAACAGATTTAACAGTTTGGGGTCCAGTCTCCAAGCTTTCAACAATAGCTTCCACAACTAACAAGACAGAGATTCCATCATCAACAGTGCACTTAGGTGCCTCTTCATCTTTCATCATCTTGAGGAAATGACTCAATTGTAAAGCAAATGGAATTCCTTCGATATCCTCACCAATACTTAGTTCTTCACATTGGATGATTTCATACCAACCTTTCTCTTTACCTTCATTCTCCAAATAACCTTGATTATATAGTTTCAAGTTTGGAATCGTCATGGTACCATTAGTTCCAAAGATTCTATAAAAGATACCATCTGTAGTTGATTCAACTTTTGGAACGATAGGGTTTTCACCAGTACCCATTTCAAAGTTGAACGGTGAAATAACGTTATCAGAGACAATGAATGTCCCCTTTGCACCTGACTGGAAACTCAAAGTGCATACACAACCTTCATCAACTTGATCCGCAGTTGAAGCAGCTGCTCGATTTTTAGGCAAATAATCAGCATAAACTTTTGTAATTGGACCCAATAGGTATTGCAAAAGATCTAAATCATGAACCAAGTTAATCATGATAGCACCACCACCTTGGCTCTTGAGATTTCTCCATTCAACTTGTTTAAAATAAGTATCATTCTTCTTCAGGGTCCAAACACCATCAATTGCAACAACTTGGCCTAATCTCTCAAGATTTTCCTTTGCAATAAGGATATATGGATTGAATCTTCTATGATGACCAACCAAAATCTTGACACCTTTAGACACTGCGTAATTTTTCAACAACACAGCTTCTTGAAGATTTGTGCTCAATGGTTTCTCAATAAGCATATGAATCCCGTTTGATGCCAGTTCCATTGCAACTTTGATATGTAAACTGTTTGGAGTGCAAACATAAGCAGCATCAGGTTTTAGACCTGAATCCAACAATTGTAAAAGACTCTCATATAAAGGGACTTTGAATCTTTTCGCAATGACACCAGCTTTTGGTGAAGGGTCAACAAAACCAATCAGTTCTGCATCTGGGTTTAATTGGATCTGTTCAGCATGACGAGGTCCAATAAGCCCTAGACCGACAACAATGAGTTTCAACGGTGAAGATGAATTTTTAGAAGGCATTTTTCTGGGATGTCTGATAGTATAGCTAGTAGCATGGTGACGCTGTATCAAAAGGAGCGCGCCTCTATCTTAAATAAGAGCCATATTGGTCAGCCATGCACCAGATTTCAGCTTCTCTAATCAACGTGTGTACAGTCGTTACATGTTTTTCTCCATGAGATCTTGATCGAGATTACAAACTTTGTTTTTTGTCGCACATTTCGGATAATACTTTTCGCAAAATTATCTGGGGTAATATTAGGCTACATCAGTTTTATTAGACCTTTCCAAGATCAATTATTTATAGAGCTATACACTTGTTCCTTGATCTTTTTTGTTGGGATCTTATCTATTGGGATACCTGTCCAAAGCACTTGTTGAGCGATTCCTTGATAAATCATCGCCTCAACACCACTAATAACTTTCCAACCAGCGTTCAAGAAATTATGAAACAATTGGGTTTCAATAACTGGATGATAACACATTTCAAGCACAATTCCTGGTGATTTTTGATTGATGAAAACATCCAGTGTATTTCTGGCGATTTTTTCCTCGGTTGTTTGTGGTTCAAAGTTTGGAACAGTTAAAACAACAAGTTTTGGAGGATCCATTTCTCTAGCTTGTTCTGCAGTTTTAACGTGAATAATTTCACCTTCAAAGCCATTCAATTTCATTGATACCTTAACCTCTTCCACTTCACTCTCATATCTATTAATGATGTAAACTTTTGGAACGTTTAACAACTTGTATAATGCAAAAATGGCTGATCTGCAAGCACCACCTCCACCATAAACTAAACCAGGTGATGAAGATAATTGTTCAGTTTCAATTGGGAAGTTTTGAACAAAGCTTTCTTTTATACCAACTGTGTCTGTATTTGTTCCAATTTTGAGTGCTCTGCCATTGTTTGGATCAGTTCGTGTATAGATGGTATTGATGGATCCACAACCTTTCCCGATATCATCAAGCAAATCAACAAGTTCAACAGCTTTTACCTTATTTGGCATAGTGACTGCACTTCCAAAAAGTTTTTCACTGTTTATTTTATGAGATATTTCTGAAATGTATGAAGTTTCATAGATTTTGTAATCCCATTCATCATAGCCTAGTGATTTAAACAAAGCATTGTGTAGAAATGGTGCTTTAGATTTTGATAAATGTTCACCAAAAAGATAAAATGTGTGAGGTTGAGATTTTTGCTCTTCAAAGTTGGGAGCCAAAAGAGTTTTGGAAATAGTCATGATAACGAGCTTGGATCTTTGGAAGGTTGTACAGTTGTTTTCGTGTTTCTTGTCACAATGAAGCTTATGTGGTCATCTTAAATAACAAACCTTGACAATATTTTGTACTTCCTTTGAGCTATTATTTGAATTTTAGAACCAAAGACTTGTAAAAGTTTAGCCGGTAATCTTTTCTTGTTCTCAACAACGATACGACGACTAAGATCTCCTACTTTGGTGTGTATGACTTTTGCGGGTCAATAATCATGATGATGTTTTTGTTGATCTTCGAGACTAAATTGGATTATGCTTGTCATTCGAACAAATGGGGTCTTTGGTAAAGTGATTTCCCAGAACATTGATCCACATAGGTAAAGGAGATACTAGGAGCAAAAGGTGAGAACAGAGTAGATAGAATGGTAGGATTGTTATGATGGAATCTTTAGATTCAAAATACTGGGTTGAATTTTGCACTCGAGGACTTTTCCGCAATTCGCAATTTGCGCAAAAAAGCGAAACTTTTTTCGGAAATATCTACATTCGGAAATTTCGCCAAAACAACTGATATAGATGAAGATACGATAAACTAAACAATAAGGCATAATTTATTCAGTAGCTATACAATTTGTGCTCATTCATCAACCATTCTTACTAGCGGCATCTCCTTGTGATGATCCAACCATACTCACTATTTCAACATCTGGCTTTTCAATTCCTTTAGATTCCAAATCTCTACTACTAGCATTAACACCCATCAATACATTTTGGCCCTCTTCCAAGTCATTTTCTTTTCCCTCTGCAATAAGTTTCATAACTTCACCATGTGCTCTCCAAGCTTTATGTCTAAACAATTCATCAACATATTCAACTGGAATGTTTTTGGTCTCTGGATATAGTAGGAAGAAAATTGGTAGACAAACTGTCATCATGGCCGCAAAGAAAAAGAAGATACCATATTTCATCTTATCAATCATTTGATTTGTGAACCTTGCCATAATGAAAGCCCAAAACCAATTAGATGCTGCGTTGACTGAAGAGGTTGCTGATTTCAAGTTTGAAGGGAATACCTCAGTATTCCAAACCCATGGTGTACCACTCCAAGATACAGCATAAGCAATTGTCCAGATATAGAATAAGGCCAACGATGCTTTACCACCAGCATCAAGCCCAGCATCTTCACCTCTAGATGTTGGTTTCCCAATTTTGATGTATCCACCGATATACCACATGCATAAAGAGCACACAACTAAACCAAATATGAATGAAGGTCTTCTACCAAATCTATCCACAATGAATAATGACCAGACAAGACAGAAAACACCCTTTAGGATACCAAAGATACCAGTTGACAACAAAGACGAGTCTAATGAGGATATACCCATAGTTTGGAAAATTCTTGGTGAGTAATAATTGACAGCATTAACAGCTAATGTGTTTTGAATAATAAAAGTTGAAGTACTTAAAAGTAATCTGTATCTTAATGAAGATGAACGAAATAACTTAATAAATGGATCCCACAACCCAAGACCAATTTTCGCTCTCTTTTGTTCAACTTCTTCCTCCATAATGGCCACTTCATATTTGATATATTCATCTTCTGGATCCAACTGTCTCAAATAACATAAATTTTTGAGTGCTTGTTCTCTTTTTCCCACAGTGAACAACCAACGAGGAGACTCAACTAGTGTATACAACCCTATACCAAATATTCCAGCAGGTATTAATTGCAAAGCGACGGGTATTTGCCATTGTTTAGCTTCATCATCTGGAATGTTAACTGAAGTTCCATAATTTATCCAAAACCCGATGGTTCCACCGATTTGCCATGAAATTTCAAATAACCCAACAAGACGACCTCTAATAGCATCTGGTGAGACTTCTGCACTATACATTGGAGCCAAATTTGACACTGCACCAATTCCTAAGCCAGTCAAGACACGTCCAGCATACATTGCAGCCAATCCAGTTTTAGAGTTGGAAGCCAATTGGATAGCAGACCCAACAATAAGTAGCACAGAAGCAACAGCTAATGAAATCTTTCTACCATATTTAGAACCTAATGGATAGATCAAGAAGGCACCAAAAAAAGCACCAGCTTGGAATAATGATACAACTGTTTCAGAGACCCATGATTGTTCAGAAGGCGTCATCTTATCAAACCCAAACTCCTTCTTGAACGACTTTAAGGCAATCATCCCACCAACAAACCCAGCATCATAACCAATAATTACAGCAACCCATGAAGCCAAACAGGCTGCCCAATAGATACGCCAATTATAAACAACTTGAGGTGTTGGTCTAGTTTCGTGTTTCGCGAACATGTTCTGTATTTTTTGTTTGTACCACCGAAACGAGTACCCAATTGAAACCAAATGATTCAGAAATTTAAAAGGCTACGTTACGTGCTTTATAAAGATCGAAACGAGCAGTCTTACAACCCAGAAATACGCTTCCATTTGGAAACGTTGATATACATTTATCCATCGCAGAAGCTCTTGAGTCTTGGTGAGTCTAAACCATGACTTTCCCCAGATCTCGAAACCAATCCCCACAAGACGTATTCAGTCTCCTCCGAAATCACAACCATCATAACCATCACACGTACGCTTTTACACGTTCTTCTGCGATAGGATTACAAGCATTCTAAAGATCAGAGATTAGCGGAGCAGCATTACGATTAGATTACTATGCAATGACACTAATTTCACGCCAGGCACGACCGGTTATACACGGACAGTAGAAATCAGCTTTTTGCTATTGTATTGCTAGTACACTTTCCAGCTTTAGAATCTAATTTTGCAAACTTTTCTTGAAGAAAGACTTCTCTCTATCCATATAGCTAGTCATTGTGACCTCCTAGAGCAAGATTTGGACCTTTTTTCCGAGATTCTTTTTGATTGTACTACAGAGGTGTGATCCCAAGCTAAACATTGTTTGCATTATTCAAGAATCAACAAAACAACAATGTCTTCAGGTCCTCCGGTCATAGCAGAATTAGACACATCGATACCAAACATGGTTTCACATCTCCCAATCTCATCCACAACTTGGATTGGAGTATTCTGAATGAATGGATGAAACCAAACAACTAACTGTCTCTGTATTATTATCTTGGTCTTAAGTTTCGTGGAAAAGCATTTATCAAGTTTCCCACTCTTGAACTTGATGGTTCGTGTCTCTAATCTTTATTTACATCACACTTAGTAACAAACACTCCTATTCAGCTATCTACTCATAACTCTGGAAGAAAATATTGTGATCGATTCTTGTAGTTGGACTTTGTTTCTTCATGAGTGGGTGCCATAATAGTCTGGTTACCAGCTGTTAGAGTCAGTGTGTTTGTGTATCTTTCATTTCCTTTGTTCGCTGCAGTATATTGAGCTTTAGCTAAAAATTTTAACACATTATCGTTCAACTAGGTAGCAAGTCAAATTTAGATTCAACGTAACAAATACTCATCAGTTCTTTCATGAACTCCCAGAAGATTCAGTCAATACTTCCTGAGACTCGATCAATGTTTTCAAAGTACTATTACAGGAGGAAGTAACAGCAGTCCAATCATCCCTACCCAAACAACTTACAATCAGTGACTTAATCCAACAAAATAATACAATTAACAAACTAAAAATTTCCCAAAATCAAATCTTAAACCTTTCCCAAAGTTGCTTCAGCATCAATAATCAATTGTTTAACAATTTCTTTATCCTTAACCTGGAAAAACTCATCTTTTTCTTTATTAGCATCCTTTTTCAAATAATCCTCCAAACATAACACACTTGATTTATAAACTTCACTATCCTTCATCAACTTTATTCTTTTAGAACTTCTTCTTTTAGACTCGCTTGATTCCTCAGGGGAAGATCTTGGTGATGGTAAATATCCAACTGTTTTTGGTCCTTGAGTATTGACTAATTCATAGTGTTTGACATATGCAAATGAACAAAAACCTTTACACTGTGAACATAAAACCCCATCTTCTTCAACATCTTCATCTGATCCATTCTTCTGGATCTTTATTTTCTTGTGTTTTTGAACTTTCACATCAAGTCTTTCCAATATTGTAGATTGTAAAGAATACTCATCAGTTAATCTTGGTTTCAACAATTCTAAGCATTTATGAATCAATCTTTTATCACTTGCTTCCTCATTATTAATGAAAGCTGTCAATATATTTGTAATCATTTCATAGATATCAAAAACTGAGATTTTGTCCACATTTTTCTTGTAGTTATTAGTTGCCAAAACACCAAAATCTAACCAATCAACCATTGTGAAATTAACAGCTTCATTAAAATTAAAACCAGCATTAAAACCAGCATGATAAACTCTTGGATATGTCACAACATATTCCCCTGGTTGTTGATTCGTGGTAAAACACTTGATTCCATGCTTCACAAGATCATAAGGTGAAACTAAAGTAATCAATTGATGTAAAATATCTGGTTGCTTTGCGAAAAGATCAGGTGCTAAATTTTTCATATAGCTTTCAAATTCTTCAGCAAAAACAGATGGGATTGAATACCATTTCTTTGTTGCACCCAGATGTTGATAATTTGCACTTAAAGTGTATTGATCTTCAACATGCCAACAAAACGTACTAAAAGTGTTACCGATATAAATCCATGGAATAGTCATCCCTGAGATATCAACATCTAGATAATTCAAAAGTGAACTTTTATCAAACGGTAGATTGTTTAAATTCATTGGATGTTGTGCATATGAATTATACTGTTCCTTGTTGAGTGTTTGAGACTTGGGTATGTATTCTCTTGTTGGGAATCCAGAGACTTCACCTTTTTTCAAATTATGAATGTCAGCACCATAATTCACTTTCAATTCATTGTCAATATCATCCACCAGTCCCCAAAACATTTGTTCTAAAACATTTATGCCTGGTTTATGTCCCTTAAAATAATCCTTGTCAAAATCATCTGATAAGCTCTTGAAGTCTTCCAATGAATATCTAATTGACGAGTCCTTGAAGCCATAATACCCATTTCCAATAACACAATTGTCACAATACCAATTATCATTGGGAATCTTGCTCAATGGGGGTGAAAGGCATTGTCTATGGAAAGGCTTATCACAAGAATCACACAGAAGAGTATTATCTGGGTCATCATTTTTTTTGCAAACAAGACAAGCACCTTCATCACTTTCATTATCAGATTCACTGTCAGATTCATGGTCACTCAATAATGAAGTTGGATATTTTTCCTCGATCAAAGTGTTTGTAAACTCGGGTTTCTGGCTCAAAAAATCAAAATAATCTCTCATTTTACCAACATACATATGCTGTAGTAAGGGTATAATAACTTTGAAATGTAGTGACAATGCGTTCCAAAGATTTGAATCATTAAGTATTATATGGCTTGATAGATTTGGTAATGTTTTCCCAGAATACTTATTTGGTTCCAAATTTTTGTAATATTTCACAACTTCAATGAAAAAATCATAATAATGGACTTTAGCACCTTGGAATTCTTCAAAACTTTCCCTTGGTAATGGTTTCCTATTCATCTTGTTGAAATTCAACAACTGTTTGAAAAAGAACAATCTGCATCTATTCACAATATTCAACTCTTTCAATTTCTGTACTCTTGGAACAAATGAGAATCTGGACTCATTTATAGACAATGGAGGCTTGAAACTTGAAGGGGGGACAATCTTCACCATACCATATTCAACACCAAGTTTAGCAATTGCCGGGGTGGAAAGATATTCAATTGGATTTCTGAATTCTTCATCAGAAGGATACAACGCTGGAACTTCCGGTAATTGTGTAGTCATCTTAACTTAGCTTTAGATAATAGACTGAGAACCAATATAAGGCACAAATAGTTAATAATTCACCAATTTTGAGAATTTCATGTAACACCAGCACACAAAGCACAAAAACCGACAATTAGCAACCGAATTGTTCGAAAATAGTTGGAAAAGCAGTTGAAAAAAGCAGTAGTAAAAGTTATCAAAGCTTTTGAGCACAAAGCAGCAATCCGTCAAAGGTAATAACAAGCTATTGTAACAATTTTTTTTCACAATATTGGGGGAAAAAGGTGAACTTTTGCAAAGTACTAAAATCCTAATCTCAGCTCATGATTTTTGGGTATCTGTCAGGGGACACAGTGTCATAAAGGCGCTTGTCATTAGACTTCCTAAACCGGCAAAAACATCAAGGGAAAAGCAATTGTTTGGTAGTAAAAATTAAATGAGCTCAATATCTCAATAAATTTATAGCAACATATGGCCTTAAAATCGTATACATCCCATTTAAATCCCAATGTTTATCAAGTTTAAAGTGGTTTAAATTTTCCGTCAAAGTTACCCCCAACTCCAAGATGCAAAACAGATTCGCGGATCGTCAAAAATGAATCATTTTGGAATCGCGGAGTTGGAAATCCAACGACCAGTTCACGATAAAACGAATAGTTTTAATTTTAGTTCAATTGTTTTTTGATTTAGCTATTTATTTTAAATAGTCATGTCCTACAAAAAAGGCGAAGCCTACACTTTGACCATTTTGGGTGCTGGTACCATTGGTCAAGCTCTTTTATCAGCTTATCTAGCATCTGAAAAAGCTGAAGCAGCACCATCCAAAATCATTGCATGTGTTAGATCAGAAGAATCAGCAAAGAAATTAGAGACCCAATACTCCAGTGCATCATCTATTCAATTTGAAACCAGTTTTGGTGAGGAATCCAACAATAAGGCTGTTGAAGAAGCTGCTGTTGTGGTCATTGGTACTAAACCATATATTACAGAAGCTGCCCTAAGTCCAGTCAAAGACAAATTACAAGGGAAATTATTGATATCCATGGTTGCAGGATGGACAATTGAACAATTTCAAACATACTCTAGTAAAATCAGTAGAGTTATGACAAACACACCAGCTAAATATCAGTATGGTACTGCTGTTATTGCCAACTCTTCAGATATCACCGAGGATGAACGTCAATTGATCCTAGAATTAGTTTCACCAATTGGTAAAGTTGTTGAATTGCCTGAAAAGAATATGGATGCAGCTACTGCTTTAGTTGGTAGTGGTCCAGCATTCGTGTTGAGTATGTTGGAAGGTTTAGTAGAAAGTGGTATAAGTCTTGGGATCCCATTCAAAGAATCCTTGGAATGCTCCATCAAAGTCATGGAGGGTACTGCAAAGATGGTTGAATTATCAGGCACACATCCTGGTGAATTGAAACACAAGGTGTGTACTCCTGGGGGAACCACTATTGCCGGTTTAGTTGAGATGGAGAGCCAAGGTGTGAAGTCTGGTATCATCAAAGGTGTCCAAGCTGCAGCACATAGAGCCAGTGAACTAGGAAAGAAGTAGAAATATGAAGAACTAGTGTTGATTGAGTTGAATTTGTAGAGATGTATTCATATACTAATAATATATATCACATGACCAGTCACGTGCCTACCCTAGTATCCCACCCGGGTAACACCCCCTGTGCTGCCTCGCCCAACTTCTTCATCCAATCGAATTCGTCGTGGATTTTCATTGGACTGTCCAGCGAATTCTCGATCATCCCTTTAAAAAATTTGTTCAGTTTCTCACTTTTCCAACCTTTCCAAGTACTAAAACACAACAGGAATTAACTAACTCCTTCTATTGAATTCAACTCGAATCCATAAAGTTCAGTTATTCTTTATTACAATATGGTCTTACCAAGATTATACAACGCTGCCTCAAAAGCTGCTTTCAAAGCTGCTAAGAGTCAATTGGTTTTCAACAGAGGTTTAGCTACTTCTCCAGCTTCTACTGGTAAAGTTAGGTAAGTTAAGATTAAAACAAATAAAGCAATCATGATTTGGATCTGAAATCAATTGCATTATCCAATTGAGTCAATGGATATTCATTCTATACTTGATTAGAGATCAATTGGTTGTTGTTGGTTGTTGTTGAGATTTATTGGGATCAAGGGGCAAGGGGTGTTTTTCAAAGTGAACATTGGCCATCAAATCAAAACAAGAAAAGTACAATTGAACAAGATCATTACAAAGACCATTTACTGCCTCAATTGATTCGTTTACTCAATTGAAGTTTTTGTCGGTTTGAATTGTTTTTGTTGACCGTGTTTTTGTTTTTAACCCTTTTTCACCTTTTTTTTTGCTGAACGATCCCGAGCTTTTTTTTTCAACATCCTCGAGGAAAAAAAACTTCAACAACCAAAACAACATCAACAAGGTCCCTGCAATGATTGTTTCTTATTCTATTATGAAAATATACTAACTAAATTAAAATAGAGCTGTTATTGGTGCTATTGTCGATGTCCAATTCGAACAAGGTAACTTACCAGCTATCTTGAATGCTTTAGAAATCAAAACCCCAAGTGGTACTCCATTAGTTTTAGAAGTTGCTCAACATTTAGGTGAAAACACTGTCAGAACTATTGCTATGGATGGTACTGAAGGTTTAGTTCGTGGTGAACAAGTTACTGATACTGGTTCTCCAATCACTGTCCCAGTTGGTCGTGAAACTTTAGGTCGTATTATCAACGTTGTTGGTGAACCAATTGATGAACGTGGTCCAATTAACACCAAACAAAGAAACCCAATTCACGCTGAACCACCTTCATTCAGTGAACAATCAACTGCTGCTGAAGTTTTAGAAACTGGTATCAAAGTTGTTGATTTATTAGCTCCATACGCTAGAGGTGGTAAAATTGGTTTATTCGGTGGTGCCGGTGTCGGTAAAACTGTCTTTATCCAAGAATTGATTAACAACATTGCTAAAGCTCATGGTGGTTTCTCAGTTTTCACCGGTGTTGGTGAAAGAACCAGAGAAGGTAACGATTTATACCGTGAAATGAAAGAAACTGGTGTTATTAACTTGGAAGGTGATTCTAAGGTCGCTTTAGTTTTCGGTCAAATGAATGAACCACCAGGTGCTAGAGCTCGTGTTGCTTTAACTGGTTTGACCATTGCTGAATACTTCAGAGATGAAGAAGGTCAAGATGTCTTGTTATTCGTTGATAACATTTTCAGATTCACCCAAGCCGGTTCTGAAGTTTCTGCCTTATTAGGTCGTATTCCATCTGCTGTCGGTTATCAACCAACTTTAGCAACTGATATGGGTTTGTTACAAGAACGTATTACCACCACACAAAAAGGTTCAGTTACTTCTGTCCAAGCTGTTTATGTCCCAGCTGATGATTTAACAGATCCTGCTCCAGCTACCACTTTCGCCCATTTGGATGCTACTACTGTCTTGTCTCGTGGTATTTCAGAATTAGGTATCTACCCAGCTGTCGATCCATTAGATTCTAAATCAAGATTATTAGATGCTTCAGTTGTTGGTCAAGAACATTATGATGTTGCTACCAACGTTCAACAAACTTTACAAGCTTACAAATCTTTACAAGATATTATTGCTATTTTAGGTATGGATGAATTGTCTGAACAAGATAAATTGACTGTCGAAAGAGCAAGAAAAATCCAAAGATTCTTATCTCAACCATTTGCTGTTGCCGAAGTTTTCACTGGTATCCCAGGTAGATTGGTTAGATTAAAAGACACTATCAAATCATTCAAAGATGTTTTGGAAGGTAAATATGATCACTTACCAGAAAATGCTTTCTATATGGTTGGTGGTATTGAAGATGTTGTTGCTAAAGCTGAAAAATTAGCTTCTGAAGCTAAATAGATGAATTGAAAAAGAATATTTGTTTGAATATTTGCTTAAATCTAGTTCTCTTCGAAAGAGAAAATTGTTTTTATCCATATTCCATCATCATATTATGATTTTATAAATTATTATTATTTTTTTTTTAATTCGTTTATGAAGAAAAAAAAGTTTTTGCAATCAATGAAACAAGAAAAATTAACACACATACACATTCCAAATTTAAAGAGTCATATAACAAAGTAAAAAAATGAAATAAATGTTTAGATAATGTTTTAGAATTTAGTTCTCAATCGACTAGGTAAGCTATATCTCACTCAATTTGTAAAAGAATCTGTCTTTCTTTTATGAAACATTAAATTTAATAAAAGAGCATAATGATCTTAACAAAACTCCAATCACTGATTGCAACTCATAAATCATAGTGTTGAACACTATTTCATTTTGCCGATTATCAAACGTTTGTGGTTTCTAACTTTAGATTTCGCGATATGTCTATCAAATTTCCAAAAGCCGCATTCTATATGAAAGAAGAACAAAGAACGATGAGATCTATTAATAATAAAATCTAGTGTACCGGATTGGAAGCTTAAAAATGTCAAAAACTCATACTTGTTCTCTTTTTTCAAATCTTTGTTTCCATGGTTATATTGGTTGAGACATAAACCCACATTATAACTAAATGACGTCTTTCCAAGATAGAGAATTCCCTAATGCATTGATTTTGTTTGATGCTGACAATTGTTTAACACTTCCTGAAAAGCCGGTCTGTGAGGAGCTAAAGATGTTACTATGTCAACTAAGAATAAAAGTGGCCATTGGATTTGTGAGTGGTAGTGATTTAAGTGTACAAGTTGAACATTTGGGACCAACCATTTTAAAAGATTTTGATTTTTGCTTCAGTGAGAATGGGTTGGTTGCTTATAAACTTGGTCAATTGATCTCTTCCCAATCTTTTATTAGTTGGATCGGCGATGAAAATTATAATGAGTTGGTCAGTTTCATTTTGAGTTATTTAGCACATCTAGATCTTCCAAAGAGACGTGGAACCTTTATTGAATTTAGCAATGGAATGATTAAGGTATCACCAATTGGCAAAAATTCTACGATAGAAGAAAGAATTGAATTTGAAAGACATGATAAAGAGTTTCTCATAAGAGAAAGTTTTATTAAAGCATTGCAAGCAAAATTTCAAAGTCTTGGTTTATCCTATTTAATTAGTGGATCAATCTCATTCGACATCTTTCCCAGTGGTTGGGACAAAAGCTATGCTTTAAGACATCTTGAGAATGAAGGGTTTGATGAAGTTTATTTCTTTGGTGATAAGTGTATTAAATGTGATAATTCTTGGACTTTTGGTGATTCAGGAATCATTCACTGCCCTGTCCAAGGGCCAGAAGATACATTTATCAAACTACGAGACATTTTCCAGGGCTTATAATTAACTTAGAGGATACAGTTAGAGTTATAATGATTGATTAATGTCGACAGCTGGAGCTTAAAAGCTAGGTGTTTTTTTTAAATATATAAATATTTATTAATATTTATTTTATTTTTAATATTAATTAATTATTTATTTTATATTAGACGTCGTAATTAATATCATATTAAATTTGATATTGAACATCTTGGATGAGGATTAATGCAATTAATTATTATATATTTATTACGCACGAGCCGCTTGCAGGTTTGTATACAAGGCTTCTCGTTATTAATATAAATCAAATTAAATAATTAGAAAAAAATCATGACTACGTCTAATTATTATAGTATTATAAGTATTAATCGAACTTCCGGCCGCGTGGACCTAGACTAGAATAGGTTTCTCAGTTGGCTGATCAGAAGGATATTATAAGGTCGAAGCCTGAATTATTTCAACAATATAGAGAGAAGCCTGCAATATTCCAAGCGGTTCGTGCGTAAATATATAATTTGCGCCATAATTCCTCATGATGATCATCGGCCATGAATTAGTTGATCATATTAATCATGAAATTATACATTTATAATTAGACGACGTCGTACTTATATACAGCTATATAATATTTATTAAAATTAATTATTAAATTAAAAAAAAACATGTACTGCTGGCCGCTACTTAATTTTAATCCAAATATTATATATATCAAAACTATTAAGCTAGCTAGTGTACATGGTCGACAATATTCACGTCGCTAAGTGAATATAATAAATAAATATCATGAGCGCCTGATCATCATGAGCTGCTGATATTGTATATAGCGGTCAGGTGTTAGTTTAGCGTTCGTTGTCTTAGCCTTAGCTAAGTTGCAACTTGAATTCTCAACATAGAATAGGGAAAATTTGTAAAATTACCCAGTAATTTGAAGTGGTTTTGATATAATCAGATCTCAAGTCTGCCATTTGTTTCGGTCGAACAAGACATCATGAAAAAAATCGCGAATTAATTAATACAACAAATTCCTTTGTTTGTTATGATATCGCTGTACGATATGTAGCAGTATATGCTTTGAATTAATAGTCAGAATACCAAGCTGTATTAATAAAGTCTAAAGAATAGTAAAAGTATAAAGTGTAGAAGGAATGGTGGAAAGCCATTCCTATATAAGATGAATAGCAAAGTGTAGATCAGGTAAATCTAGTATGCATAATTAAGTAATGTATGTGTAATACTCTTTAGGGCATACTAGTATAACCTACTCTATAACATCCCCCCCCCCTTCTAGCATGGATACACCATAGACTTTCAATCAATGATAGAAAGAATTGTTGATCTTTCTGTAACATTCTAAAATGAGTGAAATATCTAAGTCCATCTTAAGTGTTTGGTCTTTATAATTTCCGAAGTATGTGTGCCTTAATATTTGGAATTGATCCACAATTGTGGAAGATAGTTTTCGTTTTGGATGTTAGATTGCCATTCTTTGTCAATAGATTCGTATCCTTGGAAAGCTTCTTCATCTTTATAGATCTCCGATTCAGCAATTTTTGATTGTAGGTTTGAGCTTACAACGTCATTCTCAATAGTACCTTCTGAGGTTGTGGACATAGTATCGTCAGCGACAATAGCTTCCCATAATTGTTCTGCTAACTTCTCATTAATGACTTTACCATCTGAACATATGATCTCAGTATCTAATGATTGCCTTGACAGATTTTCCTTATGTTGATACCTATCCTTCACTCGCCGGACGACTTCTTTGCTAAAGACTGTAAGCCTAGTGTGGTATATTCTGTGGTGTTGGATTCTTTCTGGTTCATTAGTAACTGATGACGGTGTAGAACTTTGAGTTATAACATTACCATTGCCATCATTTCTGTTTTCTAAACTATAAGAGCCTCTTGGTTGATCAGTATTAGCTTCCTCTTTAACGGTTGCCTGCTCTTTTGCAAAAGGTTCAGGTTGTTGGACTTGATGTGCTTTTGGACGTCTTGAGATGCAATGTTGTTTCAATTGAAGTTCATTGAATTGTGATAGTAACTGCTCAGCAAATTCATTTATATCTAAGCTTGTCAGCTTGGCTCTAAGTTGTTCCAATAATGCTTTTTCTTTGAGTGTTCTTAAACAACCAATGGTCAATAAGGCAGAAAGCAACCTAGTGCTGTCCAAGTAAGATAAATAATAAGCTTCAGATAGTTTAACTAAAAACAACTTGAATTCTTCAACTGTATAAACCGGCTCATGTGTCAATAATTGATTAACTGCATCCTCACGATGTTGGTTAAATTCTTTTGTATGAACGCTGAATGATAGGATAAAATCTTTAGCTTGGTGAAATGATTGGAATTCTCTGTCTTCCAATTCATTTAGGACCTGAGCATTTGAGCCTTCACCAGCCGCTCTGAATACCGCATCAATGAAGCTGTCGTTGTTGAATTGTTTGTGTTTTGTTGCTGTTGAGACTTTTTTCCACACAGTTGCTCTATCACCATTCAATGTTATTGTTGGAATGAAGTATCTAATTGGTTTTCTGCGAGATTGTGCTTGATTCGTTCTATTGAACTGGAAAAATGATCTGTCAAATAAAGTGGATGAGTTATTTGCCACTTGAGTAATCTGCTTGTTGTGATTGTGAACGTGAACATCAACTTTCACCTGTTTATTTGATTTTCTTGATTTAACTCCGAATCTGAATAAGCACCAGCTTCCAATTAGTGTTACCACAGTAAGTTCTCTGATAGATAAAGGCAGTATTGAAAAAGTTTGATGCGTTTTTCCAATGATGTTACCTCCAGTGCTCAGCAGCTTGAAAGAATGGTTGATGATGATGGCTGCCGTCGCAATATATGGTGAAATTGCTGAAATGGCCAATTTGAATGATGCGTAAAACATGTTAACCCATGAGTTGATGATTTGATAAAAAACTTCAACAGGAGCATCTGGTGAAGGAGTACCTAACGTCGAACCTTCCACAGGCCCTGGAGAATGAAAAAAAATGTTAAGCACCATGTTTAACATTTCAATTAATTTTGGTACGACCTCCATGTTATGATATCGCTGTACGATATGTAGCAGTATATGCTTTGAATTAATAGTCAGAATACCAAGCTGTATTAATAAAGTCTAAAGAATAGTAAAAGTATAAAGTGTAGAAGGAATGGTGGAAAGCCATTCCTATATAAGATGAATAGCAAAGTGTAGATCAGGTAAATCTAGTATGCATAATTAAGTAATGTATGTGTAATACTCTTTAGGGCATACTAGTATAACCTACTCTATAACATTGTTTTAACTAAACAACAAGAAAAGAATGAGCAAATTATCATACCAAAGAATGCTAAAAGAGGCTTCATTTTGAAGGTAATATTTAAGTTCTGGCTTGCGAGCCCTTTGGAGGATTGTTCCGGAAGATAAGTGCCTCATATAGTGCTGGTATACGTGCGTTTGTCCATGTTGTATTTACAAGTCATCATGATTCATTTGGTGTTCAATGTTCATTCGTGAGCCGTTGCCAGATCAATCTATAAGAAGACAGAGTCATTTAGAGATGACTCTTAACGAAGAAGTCAAATATTTTGTATGGTGTTTTCCACAGAGTCACAAAAAGCTCAGAATTGATGATTTTGTGAAGTTCAACTTTCAATTTTTGAGAAATCAGACTCAGATTTCATAGAGATACAGATACAAAGTGGATGATGTCATCGCTATCATTGACACCGCTACTCAAGTGTTACAAGTTCTTTGTGTTGTTAAACACAAAAATCGTGGTACAAAAACGAATCCCAAGTTACACAAAGTGATGTCTTTGTGTCAAAATCGATTTTGTGTAAACAGTGTTTTTTTTTTTGTGTCAGCAACGGTTTTTGTAACCAGATTAATTTAAATCTGCTACTAAACTTTGTTTTTGTGTCAAGAGTTACAAAAGGAAAATTGATCGTAATATGAGTTGTATGTCTGGTTTTGTGTCACAGTTACTATTGTTTTCAACAATAAACTGTTTGGTTTTTGTGTCTGGAGTTACAAAAAGACTATGTAAAGTGTTTCTGTGGCAGAAGGCCCCAAAAACTATTTAGATAGCACTAAATCCCCAATTCGTTTATCCATCTACCATTCACTTTAGATCCTCATCTTTTATCATTCCTCATCAGGTATTCATCACGTTGGTTCATTGGCTGGTTGTTTGGTTTCCCATATGTTGTTGGTTTCATCTTCCATTGTTGGTGGTTGCTGCTTTCTATTCCAGAGGCTTGTTTGAAATTAGGGTTATTCACTGTGTTTGGCTTTGATTGGTTGGTACTAGGGACTTGGGTAACTTTGAGTTCGCTGCTTATATTCTTTTTTGAAGGTTCTTGAAACTTGTTTTCTTTAACTGGATAATTAATCATTTGATGGATCTGATTTTCAATACGCCACCTTTGATTTATCAAAGTTTGAATTTCGTTGAAGTCTTTTGAAGGTATGACCCTTACTCTTAACCTCCCATTATAAGTCTGGATGATTGGTCTGGATGATTTGATTTTGAAGTTTTGAACATTTGTGAGATTCTGAGATTTCAATGATTCAATTTAAGGATTTATTCATTCTGCCTTCCAAGATTAGCCTGCACATACTCCTAGTGATAATTCTTTGGGATGACAAGTGCTCCTAGGGCTGTTTTTGGTTTTTGGTTTGTTGTTGATGATGAGTTGTGTTGCTGTTCAATTTGCCAGGTTGTTTCTTGCTCATTTACTTTTGGTGTTTCATTCATGTTTCAGACTTTGATGATGATGATAGTTTATTTTCATGTTTTGTTGAATCCAATACGAGGTTTTATCCAGTGCAATTCATTACCGTACTTTGGATCCATCTTCTGATGTTACTTTTGATGTTGCTGTTGATTCATTTTGTTTTCCAGTTGGTTTTGCTTCTCAGTTGGTTTACCTGATGTGTTTTCTTCTTGTTGTTTTGAACTTTTCAAGTTGATGGTTCTTTTGTTGTTGCCAATGTTGTTGTTGAAGCTTCATTTGTCACTGGTTTCTCGTTGATTAGGGCCCAATCAACTTTAATAGAGTAAATCCAGGTTCTTTCTAAGAATAGTTTGACATTTGAAGATTGGTGGATTTTGATTTCCATTTGTTGTGCCTTTTTGTTTGATCCTAGTGTTGTTTCATTGGCATTTGACCTGGTTTGTTGTTTGAGTTGTTGTTCCTATGCTATTCATTCATTTGTCCCTGTTGTTTCATTTTGAGTTTCCATTTGTTCTTTTGTTGTTCCAGTTGTTGTTGTTCATTCTTTTGTTCATGTGATACATTATTGTTGTTTCACTTTCCAGTTGTTGATCTCCATTGTTGTTCCATTTGTTCCAGTTTTTTTCTATCTTTGTTCAAGTTGTCGTTCCATTTGTTGTTGTACATTGTTTTGTTCATTTTATCCATCGTTTTGTTCGTTGTCCCAGTTGTTCCATTTTTGATGTCCATTTGTTGATCCATTTGATTTCAGTTGTTGTTTTATTTCATGTCCTATTGTTGTCCCCAGTGTTGTTCCATTTCCTCTGTTGTTTTTTCCATCTTTATTTCTGTTGTTGATTCCATCTTTGTTCCATCTTTATTCCATTTGTTGTTGTCCATTTGTTATTGTTGTTACTCATGATTTTGTCCATTTGATCTGTTTTTGCCCTTTCAAGTTCCAGTTGTTGTTCCATTGTTGTTCCAAGTGTTGTTCCATTTTTTGATCACCATTGTTGTTCCCATTGTTGTTTGATCTTTGTTCCATCTGTTCTTTCCATTTGTTGTTCCAGTTGTTGCTGTTCAATCTTTCGTCCATGTGATATATTGTTGTCGTTTCATTTCCCAGGTGTTGTTCCATTTGCTGTTTCCATTGTTATTTTAGTTGTGTTTCCATCAGTGTTCCATTTGATCCATTATTATCAATCCATGTTCCAGTTGTTGTCCCCTGTTTTGATCTCCATTGTTGTTCCATTGTGTTGTTCCATTTATTCTGTTGTCTTTTTCCATTTATTGTTCTAGTTGTTTTCCCCATTTGTTGTTCCATTTGTTGTTGTGTTCGTTGATTTGTCCATTTGATCTATTATGTTCCAGTTGTTGTTCCATTTTTGGTTCTCCATTGTTTTTCCAGTTTTTTTATTTCATCTTTGTTCCTTTTGTTGTTTCCATCTTTGTTCCTTTTGTTGTTTCCATTGTTGTTTCATGTTCCAGTTATTGTTCCATCTGTTGCCCATTTGGGTTTTCCGTTCTTAGAGTTGCTGTTGTTCAGTTTTTGATTTTTGTTGTTCCCATTGTTATTCCAAGTTTTGTTCCAATTGTTGTGTCATGTGTTGTTTTATTTGTTCCATTAGTTTGTTGACTTTTTTCCAATTGTGGTTTGCTGGTGGGTTTCCAAGCTGATCTTGTTGTGATATTTTCCTGTTGTTGTTGTTGTTGTTGTGTTGTTGTTGCTGTTGCCATTTGGATGTGTGCTTTATCGGTGTTGACGCTTTTTTCATGCTTTGGTTTTGTTTCAGGTGTTCCATGTTGTTTTGTTGTTGTGTTCCAGTCCAGTTGAGGATTCATGGTTGATGTTTGGTAGTTGATAGTTGATTGATTGATTGATTGTCTCTGGTTTCTACATTGTTTTAGGAGTGAACAGTTTTACAGAGTAAATCCAGCTGTTTTTTTAACAGAATGACTTGAGATTGATTGATAGGAGGAGAAGATACAAGAGAGTATAAAAAAAGAGTTTTTTTATTTTGTTGTTATTATCATTGAGATTTCAATAGCATTAGGATTTCATTAGTCACTGGTTTTTCGTTGATTAGGGCCCAATCAACTTTAATAGAATAAATCCAGGTTCATTTTATGAATAGATTGACTTTTGAAGGTTGGAGGTTACTGGTTTCTACATTGTTTTAGGGGTAAGGAATTTTACAGAGTAAATCCAGGTTCGTTTATGAACAGTTTAACTTTTGACTTGATGCCTATATATTGCTAGCCATATTTCCAAAAAAGATTCTTCAAACATATGAATTTGCTTTTCAAGCTTACAATTCTTGTTGTTGATATCCAAACGAACTGGTTTGAAATCTCAAATATTTTATTCTTTCATTGGTTTTGGTAATTAAGTGGAGGGAAAGAAGGGTAGGATGGCGGGCTCTTTCTCTTCAGTATGATTTATATTGTTTATTGTTTATTAAGGATGGATGAGTTAGAGATTAATGATTATGTTGACCTGTGTTTTGTTTGTTAAGAATGTTTGTAGCTATACTTGATTAATTGACGTTGTATTAGTTGTTGTTAACTTCAGTTTTGGGTAGAGACCATTAAATATGAAGGACTATGTATTGAAACCAAGAGATATCGGTACATATTTACAAGTCGGAGAAACCAGTGATTCAATATGTTGAGCCATGTGTATTTGGATGGTGCTTTATTGTCTTTTGCAGCGGACATGAAGTGAAGTGAAAATGCTTAAACAGGTTGCAGAAATCATTATTTTTGAAGGGCGGAGCTAGTTGGAAATGAAAATTATTTCTCCTAGTTTAGTTATATCATATATGTGCTCATGATTAGATACATCCTAGGGTGTTGAATTGAAAAGAAGGCATTGCACATACTTTTGAAGTTCAAAAGCCGGACGGAGTATACCTTAGAACAGCAGAATTAAGTGATGAAGGTGAATAAGGATCCAGAGAGTACATTAGCTGACTTTGGAAGAGAAGAATGTGAGTTAAAAGTGTTGCAATTGGATCCATTCAATCAGGGTCCAAGATCTTGAACAGAGATTTTGAGATGATCTCGATAATCTAGGATCTCGAAGGGTGAATGTTAATTATGTCCCACAAGGCCACACCAAAAGGCTTTTAAGCAGAGCTGCTAATTATTAATCCATGAATACCACAACTATAGACTGATACCCTAGGGCCTCTTCTTTATACACTGCCAGATCCAGCTTACACTCTGCTAACCTTTAAATACTCCTGCCCACTGCCAGCCCATGGACGGATTTAGACGTTTCCTAACGGAGCAAAGTCCTGTCTGGAGATGCTCGTCGCTTTACAGTTTGAAGCAAGAAAAAAAAATTTTCACCTTGAGCCTTGAGCCAATGAGACATTCAAATTCAAACTCTTGATAATATTTTCATGCGTTAAGCTTTAATTGACAATCTGAAATCTCATTGACGTTCACTGTGGTTAACTTTTCTTACCGTGGAGCTGGCTAATTGCTTATGAATCTTTTTATTTTTCACCCATGACCAAATAAATAATTGCTCTTTCTACGTTTAAAAGGTACTGAAAATAAACTTTTCGCAAGTTCAACTCTAGTAATGAAATCTTTCAAAAGGGCATCAACCAACTCATTCGGTCCCCTTTGTAGTCAAGCTCTTTGGTAGATGCGGGTAGGATAATGGATTATGTATTTTGGGCTCTTTGGGCCTCGTGAAGAAGATGAAGACGTTGTGCCAAAAACGAAAATTTCCCGTATAGTGCATTCCATTGCGTTTAAGAGAAATGAAGTTACATACGACGATTTCTTGAGGTTCAGTCGAAGAGAAGCAATTCATATTAATGCTGATCAGTTGTAATTTGTGTATCTTCAAAAGTTCAGGTGTTTTCAAGGATTTGTACGTTCTTTAACAGAGAATGGGCTTAATTTGATGGAAAAGATAACTGTAAAGCAAAGTGTTTCATTCCGACAATAGCTAGCCAATTGAATCCATTTATACCTAGTCATTCTACTATTCAACAAACAGTCAAAGCAGGCCAAGGAATGGCCAACTTGAGCCCTCTTCTTTCAGCAATTTGTTCAAAGTGTATACAATTTCTGTGTATGTATCGGCAATCCAGATGGAATAGATTACAGCAGGAAAAAGAAAAGAGTCTTTGCTCATCCGTTTCTGCAAAAGATTTTTCACACTGATGAAGCAGATAATTTGATGCCCCCATATATAAGCGTCCTACAATCCTTGAATTCTTTATTTCACCTTAATTATCTATTCAATCACTGGAGGTGCTATTTAAAAAATGTCAACTTCGGCAACTGACAAAGCTGGTAACCCAGAACCTCAAATCGTTCGTGAATTGAGTTCTGAAAACATCAATAACCAAAATACCACCAATAATAACTATTCACCAGATGAAGAAAAATCAACTGGTTTATACAATGATGAATCTGCTAGTCAAAACAAAACATTGGATGATTATTCAGGTACAAAGCAAATCGCTTTAAGAAAAGCTGAAATCTTGGCTGATCAATATAATTCAATCACATATAGAATCATTTTATTATTCAGTGCCTTTTTAATTGGTTATGGTTATGGGTTAGATTCAAACATTCGTTATGTTTATACAGGTTATGCCTCAAGTTCATATTCTACACATTCTTTGATTTCAACAATTGGTGTTGTTAATGCTGTTATCGGTGCTGCTTCACAAATTGTTTATGCAAGATTATCAGATGTTTTCGGTCGTTTAGAATTGTTATTAGTCTCTGTTGTTTTCTATGTCGTGGGTACTATTATCCAATCCCAGGCTCATGATATTCAGCGTTATTGTGCCGGTGCTGTCTTCTATAATTTGGGTTATGTTGGTGTTTTATTGATTGTTTATTTAATCTTGTCAGATTTTTCAAGTTTAAGATATAGATTATTTTACCAATTCGTTCCAACTTTACCTTTTATTATTAATACTTGGATCAGTGGTAATATCACTGAAAGTCTTAACCCTGTTAAACGTTGGTCTTGGGGTATTGGTATGTGGGCTTTTATTTTCCCATTAAGTGCCATCCCATTCATCTGTTGTATTTTACACATGAGATTTAAAGCTAGAAACACACCAGAATGGAGAGCTATTAAACAACAGAAAACTTTCTATCAATTGAATGGTGGCTGGAGTTTCATCAAGGAATTATACTGGAGAGTTGATATCACTGGTGTCTTGTTATTGATTGCCTTATTGGGTTGTTTATTAGTTCCATTGACTTTAGCTGGTGGGTTAAGTTCCAAATGGAAAAGTGGTAAGATTATTGGTCCTCTAGTTTTAGGTTTTGTTTTGGTTCCAATTTTCATTGCTTATGAAACTTATATTGCTAAGTTCCCATTAGCTCCTTTTAAATTATTAAAAGATCGTGGTGTTTGGGCTGCTTTGGCTATTTCAATCTTTTTCGATTTTATTTATTACATGTATGCTGATTATTTATATACTGTGTTGATTGTTGGTATGAACCAATCAGTTAAATCAGCTACAAGAATCACTTCAATTGCTTCATTCGTTAGTGTTGTTTGGTCTCCATTATTTGCACTTATTGTGGCTTATTTCAGAAGATTAAAAGGGTTTATCCTTTTAGGTACTGCATTATGGTTAGTCGGACTTGGAGTTCTTTATCATTTCAGAGGTGGTGAAGGTTCAAAAGATGGTGTTATCGGTGCTTTGGTTGTTATTGGGTTAGGTACAACTATGTTTTCATATCCAATCACTGTTTCTGTTCAAAGTGCAACAAGTCATGATAATATGGCTTTAGTTTCAGGTTTAACTTATACTTTCTACAGAATTGGTTCAGCTGCGGGTAATTCAGTTTCAGGTGCTGTTTGGACAAACATTTTACCAGGTCGTTTAGAGAAAAATTTGGCCTCTTTTAATAATGTCACATTATCTTCTTATGCTTATTCACAACCATACAGTTTCATTATTGATTACCCATGGGGTACACCTGAAAGAAGTGCTGTTGTGGAAGCTTATAAACATATCCAAAGAATGGAAACTTTGATTGCTTTATGTTTCTGTGTGTTGTTGGTTGTTTTTGCCCTATTCTTGAGAGATCCTGAATTAACTAATGAACAAGCTCATAATGATTTAGAAGAAGGTGAAATGGTTAACACCAAACACGAAGTTGATGCAGTTGCTGATTGGTTCTCAAGAAAGTTTAAGAGAAATTGAATGATACACAATCTTTTTAATAAATAATATGTTTTTTTATGTCTTTTTGGAAATGAATTTGGTTATATTGTAGTTTCTAATGGCACTTTTGAAAATGGCAGAATTACCCTTTTCGCGAAGAGAATGATTACCTAATCATGGATCTGAGCTTTTCGCGAATTTGTTGTTGTCTTCGAAAACTTGATCAATTTTGAACTTGCCACCAAAAAGTCAACATCAAGAATTCAATTCAATCACATTCAATTGAAGAAAGAACACATAATAAGATGACACAAGAGGAACAAATAGTGGTTGACAACGAACCAACTCCAGAAGAATTGGAGAAATTGACAATCTCTAAAATTGAAGCTGCTTTCCAATTAGTTTCCAAGACTGTTAAAACATTTGATCAACGTTATGTTTTCAAGACTCTTAGAGATTTGGTTTCAGTTAGAAAGCAATTAAATGCTGATGTCTTGTCATACTTGATAAATACTTATCTAAACAATCCATATAGAGAATACTTGTTGGAATTTATTGGTGGTAAAATTACAAATAGTGAGGAAAAAGGTGAAATATTACCAGAGATTAATTTTTTAATCCATTTATTGGTGCAATTTTACCTTTTAGATTCAAATCAATTGGCTAAATTAGATGAGTTGAATACTCAATATATCTTAAAGTTGATTAAAAATTACAATAGACGTTCACTAGATTTAATCAATGCTAAGATTTGGTTTTACATTGCAAGAACAAAAGAATTGATTAATGATTTAATTTCAATTAGACCTGAATTATTATTAGCATTAAGAACTTCAACAATTAAACATGATGATGAAACTTCAGGTTCTTTAATAACATTGATTTTAAGAAATTATATATTAGTTCATGATTATTCTCAAGCTTCAAATTTTATTGAAAAGATTGAATTACCAAAAAATGTTTCAAATTCAATCGAAACAAGATATTATTTCTATTTGGCAAAAATCAATTCAATTCAATTAAATTATTCAGATTCTCATGAATTTGTTATTACAGCAATTAGAAAAGCTCCACAAACTCAAAATGCTATTGGTTTTTTACAAGCTGCTTATAAATTAAATGTTTTAATTGAATTATTAACTGGTGATATTCCAGAATTGTCATTTTTCCAAAAACCTGGATTTGAAAAAGTTTTAAAACCTTATCAAGAATTAACAAAAGCTGTTAAATTGGGTGATTTGAAAATTTTCAATGAAACTTTAATCAACTATCGTGATTCATTAATTAAAGATGATAACTATAGCTTAGTTACAAGATTAAGATCAAATGTTATCAAGACAGGTATTAGAATAATTTCATTATCTTATACAAGAATTTCATTAAAAGATATATGTATAAAATTACATTTAGATAATGAATCATCAGCAGAATATATTGTTTCCAAGGCAATTAGAGATGGTGTTATTGATGCACAAATTAATCATGAAAAAGGTTATGTTGAAAGTAATGAAATTAAGAATGTTTATTCAACAAATCAACCACAAGATCAATTTAATCAACGTATTAATTTTGTTAATTCATTACATAATGATAGTGTGAAGGCAATGAGATATCCACCAAGTGTTAATAGAACAGAAAATTCAGGTAGAAGTAAAGAAATTGAAGATGATGAAGCTGAATTGATCAATGCATTACAAGAAGATTTTGATGAAGATTTCTTTTAGACTATCAAAAAGAATTATATTTTATAAATTGAATTCCTACATTATGTGTGTTTCTATATCATAATATATATTTTGTAGCAGCTTATTAACGTTTACCAGCTAATCTAAGAGATCCAACATAATTTAAAACTTTTGAACCAAAGAAAACAGTTGGACCTAATAAAACAACAACTTTTGCAATAGTTTGGAATATAGTTGAACCTAAATAATATTGGAAAAACACAAATTCATAACTAATAATTAATCCAATGAAGATGAAATGTTGGAAAATGTTACCAGTTGGGAAATTTTTCAAATTAACTAAACCTAATGAAATCCAAACACTGATTAATCCCAATAGTGTAATGATTGAGATTGTACTAAAGATTAAGGCAATTCCTGAATTGACATAAGTTGGAGGATTTTGGAAAATATGATGTATTTCAGGTAATTTACCAAATCTTTGAGGTTTTTCATAATTTTGTAAATTTTTGGAAATTAAATCTTGAGTTAATTCAATTGAACTTATTGTAGTGAAGATTGGATTAGAATCTTGGAAACCTGCAATTATAAGTTTAATTTTCAATAAAGGTGAAATCTTGAATAATGATGGTAATTTTGTGAAAATAATTGAAGTTTTAGCATTATAAACATCATTTTCTGATGTGGATTTGATGATTGGTTTTAAAGAAGTTTCAACATTATCTTCATTAACGATTTTAATAAATACTTGATCAGGTTGTTTTGTACCAATTATTTTGAAAAAAATATCCAATTTTGAATTTGTATCGTTAAATACAATTGGAACTGTTGTTTCTTCATCTTGAGAAAATGTTAATTCACGACCATTAGATTTGATGATACCTTCTGAAATTTGATAAGCTGCACTCAATGCAAAGAATGTGATCACCGATATCAAGAATTGAATCTTCATAGTGGAATTGATGGTGGATTAATGATGTGAATTGAATACGTTTTACATTCATGTTATTGATTGACGTGTTGAGAAATCGAAAAGTTCAAAGGTCCAAAAAAACGCTTCGAGGGTAAAAGTCACGTGTTGCATATAATACGAGGGTTTGAAATTTCCGCGAAAATGTTTTTTTTTATATTTTCAACTTTTATAAACTTAGCAAATACTCCAAATAACACCAAAAATAATGAAATGCAAAGACAAAATAGAACTTGAATAGTTGGAAAACAGGCAGATAATATAGTTAATCCTCATTGCTGTCAACCTCGCTATCTTTAATAGGTTGGTCATCGGTTGGACTTGGGTTTTCCTCTTGATCAACGATAGGTGTTGGTTCAACTAATGGTTCTTCAATTCCATTCTCAAGATTAGGTTCTTCATCATCATAAATAACTGGAACTGCAGAATCAGCTTGCTCAACTTGGAAATCTTGTTTTTCAACGGCAGTGGAATGTGTTTCCAATGCAGGCTTCTTTGTGAATGGATAAGTGATTAAATCATAAAGTTTATTAAATCTTTCACTCAATCTCAATGAAGGTAGGCCAAGATCTTTCCATGGAGACTGTTTAGCTTGTTGAATTTCTTCAAACCCTACTGCTGGTGGGATGTTATCAGCTAATTTTCTTAACAACTTATTCAAAAACAATACAGTATGGTTATATTTTGATGAAGCCAATTTGAAAGTTGTATAGCTTAACCCGCTAAATATCACCACTAGGCCTGAAAAGATGAATGATAAGAATAGCAAAGGTAAGATGAATACTGATGAAACAGCAGAAGCACCAACAAAGATGATTGAGAAGAAAATGAATGATACACTTGACCAAGTGAACAACATATTGGCTTGTAAAGAGTTATAAGTCTATATGAGTTAGCATGGATACGTCACTAGTTCCCTTTCACACATACTTGAGATTCTTTGACTGATTTGATCAATTGGTCTTTTGTCTGAACCGCTGAACTGAACTTGTTGTTAGACGCCCATGAACAAGGAACAGATTCAAAGCTGGTACTCACATGAAGACGGAGCTTAGTGTAGGAGAGTTGTTGATCCAGCGTAGCACGAAACTGTTGTTGCTGTCGTCCACCAAAAGAAGCCTTTCCCAGCTGAGCATTGACCTGATGGTTGTTGTCAAAGGGGGCGTGTACTTGGGCTGATTACTTTTTTGTGTGTTGATCTTGTTGTTCCCAGTTTGGCGCGGTATATAAAGAATCATGTATTGATTAGGATCAGAGAAGGGAATTGTATTGAATGGGAAGTGATTATTGTTAATTGATGGAATAGCCTAATATCAAAACAATCACCAGTTTTAATGGTATTACAACTTCTTTATGCTGAACATTATTTTACTTGTGCTTATTACGTGAAAATTCAGTCACGTGACAGTCCCACCAAATTAAAGATATTTAATGAAATTTAATTCGAGAGATCAGTTTAGTCACAGCGGCAATTCATGAGCATTCCTGGTAGAAGTAAACTTACCATTGATACTATCACAGAAAATTATATGTCCACTTTGAGGTTATGTTGATCTCTATATTGTTACTTTCCAGCAATTCTAAAGAACGTACCGGCTTATCATGCTGTTCAATTTCGATCAAATCAATAGTTAAGGTGTCTTTTTTAGGGTAGTGTCCAGCAGCCTAGAAGCGCCTCTTAATATATTGATATAATTTGTCCTTAGGTACAATTGGATATGATAAGTTGACTAGCATGTCGACTTGTATCCAGCCTATTTGTATATTAATTAATGGATCTTGTTCTTTTCTTCAACAGCGTAGTCATTTGTATTACTTATAAGCCGGTAAATATTCTATTCAATTAGCTGATCAAGAAGATATGTTTATTATTCACGTTCGATCCAGCACTAGTACTAGCTAGTAGCTGATATCTTAGGCGCACTCATGTGTAGACTCGGGAGTAATTCGAAAGAAGAACTGGCTAACTATATAAAATAATACGAAGCTTTTAACAAGCTGAAAAGAAGAACGTCTCCAGTAAGTGACTGACAGTTTGGAATATATTTTTCTTCTGAGAAGCGTCAGAAAACGACAAGCTGTACACAACGTTTCAGCAGCCTTCACATCTAACGACAGTTGCTGTGTCTCGAGAGATGAAATCTATATTAAAAAGACCAAAGATGAGATTCCCAACTTTTAATGAAAAATCTCATTGTGATGGTAGCCAGCTTGCAACTTAAATACAGCTGATATGTATGCGCTTTAAAAGTTTATGAGCCGAACCACCCATGAAGTTAACATCAGTTTAATATTTGAGCTCTCTAAAGTGCTTAAACTTAACTAGCTTCAGCATATTTCACAAATTAAAGTACCCAAACATCACCAAGCGTAATAGTCATCACATTTCAGCATTCTAATTCAATATTAAAATCATACTACCCTACACCACACCGGAACCTCAGTTAATTGGCGTCGAAGCTGATATTAGAACCGTCAAACTCCCGCTGACGCTCACTAGGCAACTGTGCAACAACCTGTTCGTCTAACTTTTGAAGCCTCGATAATTTATATGTTGCAATTTGAAATTTCAACATAGAATAGGGAATATTTGTGAAATTACTCAGTAATTTGAAGTGGTTTTGATATAATCAGATCTCAAGTCTGCCATTTGTATCGGTCGAACAAGACATCATGAAAAAATTCGCGAAATCGATATACAACAAAATACTTTGTTTCAAGTAAACAACAAGAAAAGAATGAGCGAATTATCATACGAAAGGATCCTAAAAGTGGCTCAGGTCGAAAGTGCTATCTGAGTTCTGGGCCGCGAGTTTTTTTTGGGGGTGTTCTGAAAGAAAAGAGCCACATATAATGCTGGTATACGCGTGTTTGTCCCTGTTGTATTTACAAGTCATAATGATTCATTTGGTGTTCAATGTTCTTGCTTCTTACTATGACGTACCAGATCTATCTATGAGAAAGAAGAGTCAACTTCAACTGACTCCTTTTAACGAAGTCAAATATTTTGTATGATGTTTCTTGCAGAGTCACAAAAAGTTCAGAATTGATGATTTTGTGAAGTTCAACTTTCAATTTTTAAGAAATCAGACTCAGATTTCATTGAGATCCAGATACAAAGTGGATGATGTCATCGCTATCATTGATACCGCTGCTCAAGTGTTACAAGTTCTTTGTGTTGTTAAACGCAAAAATCGTGGTACAAAAACGAATCTCAAGTTACACAAAGTGATGTTTTTGTGTCAAAATCGATTTTGTGTAAACAGTGTTTTTGTGTCAGCAACGGTTTTTGTAACCAGATTAATTTAAATCTGCTACTAAAATTTGTTTTTGTGTCAAGGGTTACGCTTTTGTGTCAAGTGTTACAAAAGGAAAATTGATCGTAATATGAGTTTTTTATTTGGTTTTGTGTCACAGTTACTATTGTTTTCAACAATAAACTGGTTGGTTTTTGTGTCTGGAGTTACAAAAAGACTATGTAAAGTGTTTCTGTGGCAGAAGGCCCCAAAAACTATTTAGATAGCACTAAATCCCCAATTCGTTTATCCATCTACCATTCACTTTAGATCCTCATCTTTTATCATTCATCATCAGGTATTCATCACGTTGGTTCATTGGTTGGTTGGTTGTCATCCAGAGCTGGTTGGTTTGATTTCCCATGTGTTGTTGGTTTCATCCTTGATTGTTAGTGGTTGCTGCTTTCTTTTCCAGAGGCTTGTTTGAAATTAGGGTTATTCACTGTGTTTGGTTATGATTGGTTGGTACTAGGGACTTGGGTAACTTTGAGTTCGCTGCTTATATTCTTTTTTGAAGGTTTTTGAAACTTATTTTCTTTAACTGGATAATTAATCATTTGATGGATCTGATTTTCAATACGCCACCTTTGATTTATCAAAGTTTGAATTTCGTTGAAGTCTTTTGAAGGTATGACCCTTACTCTTAACCTCCCATTATAAGTCTGGATGATTGGTCTGGATGATTTGATTTTGAAGTTTTGAACTTTTGTGAGATTCTGAGATTTCAATGATTCAATTTAAGGATTTATTCATTCTACCCTCCAAGATTAGTCTGCACATACTCCTAGTGATAATTCTTTGGGATGACAAGTGCTCCTAGGGCTGTTTTTGATTTTTGGTCAATGATGAGTTGTCTTGTGTTCCTGTACACTTCTCATTTCCTTTTGTAGCTCCATGGAGCTTCCAGACTTTGGTGATGATGATGATTGTCTATGTTCATGTTTTGTTAAATCCAATATGAGGTTTTATCCAGTGCAATTCATCATTGTACTTTGGATCCATCTTCTGATGGTACTTTTGATGTTGCTGTTGTTTCAGTTGTTTCATTCTGTTTCGTTCCATTTGATTCTGTTTCTCAGTTGACTTGCCTTATGTGTTTTTGTTGTTTTGAACTTTTCAAGTTGATAGTTCTTTTGTTGTTTCCAATGTTGTTGTTCAAGCTTCATTTGTCACTGGTTTCTCGTTGATTAGGGCCCAATCAACTTTAATAGAGTAAATCCAGGTTCTTTCTAAGAATAGTTTGACATTTGAAGATTGGTGGATTTTGATTTCCATTTGTTGTGCCATTTTTTTTTTGATCCTAGTGTTGTTTTCATTGGCATTTGAGCTGGTTTGTTGTTTGAGTTGTTGTTCCTATGCTATTCATTCATTTGTCCCTGTTGTTTCATTTTGATTTTCCATTTGTTCTTTTGTTGTTCATTGTTTTGTTCATGTGATACATTATCGTTGTTTCATTTTCCAGTTGTTGATGCCCATTGTTGTTCCATTTTCTTGCTCCATTTCTTCTGTTGTTTTGTTCCATTTGTTTCAGTTGTTTTTTCCCATCTTTGCTGCCTTTGTTGTTTCATTTGTTGCTCCATTTTTTCATTTTTGTTCCAGTTGTTGTTCCATTTGTTGCTGTGTATTCTTTTGTTCCATTCCCCAGTTGTTGTTCCATTTGTTGGTCCATTTGATTCTAGTGGCTGCTTTATTTCATGTTCCTATTATGTCCCCAGTGTTGTTCCATTTTTTGGTGTTCCATTTCTTCTGTTGTTTTTGTTTTTTCCATCTTTTTGTTCAGTTGTTTCCATCTTTGTTCCATTTGTTGTTGTTGTTCATGGTTTTGTCCATCTGATATATTATTGTCCTTTCATGTTCCAGTTGTTTTTCCCATCTTTGTTCCATTTGCTGTTCCATTTGTTGTTCCATTTGCTGTTCCATTTGTTGTTCCATTTGCTGCTTCCATTTGTTCTTTCCATTTGACTTTCCAGTTGTTGTTGTTCAATCTTTCGTCTATGTGATGCATTATTGTTGTTTCATTTTCCAGTTGTTGTTCCATTTTTTGATCTTCATTGTTATTTTAGTTGTGTTTCTACCAGTGTTCCATTTGATCCATTATCATCAATCCATGTTCCAGTTGTTGTCCCATGTTTTGGTCTCCATTGTTGTCCCATTTTGTTGTTCCATTTATTGTTCCAGTTGTTTCCCATTTGTCGTTCCATTTTGTTGATCCATTTATTCTGTTGTTTTGTTCCATTTATTGTTCCAGTTGCTTTCCCATTTGTTGTTGTGTTTGTTGATCTGTCCATTTGATCTATTGGTTTATTATTGTTCTTTCATGTTCCAGTTGTTGTTCCATTTTGGGTTTTCCATTGTTGTCCCAGTTGTTGTTTTTCATCTTTGTTCCTTTTGTTGTCTCCATTTTTGTTCGAGTGGTTGTTTCCGTTGTGGTTTCATGCTCGAGTTGTTGTTCCATCTGTTGTCCTTTTGGTTTTTCGTTCTCAGAGTTGTTGTTGTTCCATTTTTGATTTCTATTGTTCCCATTGTTGTTGTTCCCATTGTTGTTTCAAGTTTTGTTCCCATTGTTGTGTCATGTGTTGTTCTATTTGTTCCATCTGTTTGTTGGCTTTTTTCCAATTGTCATTTGCTGGTGAGTTTCCAAGCTGATCTTGTTGTTGTTGTTGTTGTTGTTGTTGTTGTCATTTGGATGTGTGCTTTATCAGTGTTGATGTTTTCATGCTTTGGTTTTGTTTCAGGCATTCCATGTTGTTTTGTTGTTTTGTTGTTGTGTTCCAGTGCAGTATGGGGATTCATGGTTGATGTTTGGTTGTTGATAGTTGATTGATTGATTGATAGTCTCTGGTTTCTACATTGTTTTAGGAGTGAACAATTTTACAGAATAAATCCAGCTGTTTTTTAAACAGAATGACTTGAGATTGATTAATAGGAGGAGAAGATACAAGAGAGTATAAAAAAAGAGTTTTTTTATCTTGTTGTTATTACCATTGAGATTTCATTAGCATTAGGATTTCATTAGTCACTGGTTTCTCGTTGATTAGGGCCCAATCAACTTTAATAGAATAAATCCAGATTCATTTTATGAATAGTTTGACTTTTGAAGGTGGGATGTTACTGGTTTCTACATTGTTTTAGGAGTGAGCAATTTTACAGTGTAAATCCAGGTTCGTTTATGAACAGTTTAACTTTTGACTTGATGCCTAAATATTGCTAGCCAGGTTTCCAAAAAAGATTCTTCAAACATATGAATTCGCTTTTCAAGCTTAAAATTCTTGTTGTTGATATCCAAACGAACTGGTTTGAAATCTCAATGAATTATTTTGGAAAATAAGTGGAGGGAAAGAAGGGTAGGATGGCGGGCTCTTTCTCTTCAATGTGATTTATGTTTATTGTTTATTCAAGGTGGATGAGTTAGAGATTAATGATTATGTTGTCCTGAGTTTTGTTTGTTGAAAATGTTTGTAGCTATACTTGATTATTTGACGTTATATTCTACTTGGTGATGCAGCTCAAATTTGGAAGGAGAGACCATTGAGCATGAAGGACTTTGGTACTGAAACCAGGAAAGTATTAAAGAAGAATAGAACTAGTACTGATCTTCTTGGTTCGCAGATTATGTAATGATCAATAAAAATTCAGTTGTGATCCATATTATTGATTATATGGCAACCACATCAAATAGTTGCTTGTCCAAGACGTCGTTTGGATCGTGGTTTGAGCTTCATGCTGATACCAGCTCAATCGTGTGAATTGCTGTATAATTGGCTCATGTCGAGCATCCAGTTGGATCTGGTTCTTGATGAATTCAAGGTGTACTATTATACCAAAAAACTGTGGCACAAGAAGCTTCGGCTGGTAAGAACAGATCACACCATTATCAAAAGAGTCTATTGATCTTATAAAAACCATGTTGATAAATTGTTTATTCAATCCTTTCTCTGTTGGAGTTCATCAAGAATGTCGGGTCCTGCTACAAAGAAACAACAAACTACAAAGCCGAAGAAGACATTGATACTCAATGCATTTGAAAATGCTGCTAGTGGTCACCAATTCCGTAAGTATAAACCAGGCTCAGCAATATCATCAACAAACTAACAATTATCAAAGCTGGTCTTTGGAAACATCCAAAAGATCGCTCCAGATCATATAAAGATCTTGATTATTGGATCTACCTTGCCAAATTACTGGAGCGCGGTAAATTTCATTCAGTTTTCATTGGTGATGCTTTAACCATCTATGACGATTATAAAGGTCCAAATAATTTTGGACCAGCTGCTTCTTCAGGTTTGAATGTTCCTAAAAATGAGCCATCTGCTCCAGTTACTGCAATGGCTGCTGTTACTGAAAATTTATCATTTGGATTAACTTTCTCCACAATTAGTGAACATCCTTATCATTTCGCAAGAAGATTAGCAACATTGGATCATTTAACTAAAGGTAGAGTTGGTTGGAATATTGTTTCGAGTTATTTAAATAGTACTGCTAGACAGTTATTGAATGGTGAACCATTGCCTGATCATGATGAAAGATATGTGAAAACTGAAGAATATGTCCAGGTTGTTTATAAATTGTTTCTATCAAGTTGGAGAGATGATGCAGTTAAATTGGATCTAGATAAAGGAATATTTTCGGACCCTGATTTGATTAGAGAAATTAACCATGTTGGTAAATATTTCAATGTTCCTGGTCCTTCAATCTCTGAACCAGTTCCACAAGGATTCCCATTGATTATTCAAGCTGGTACTTCACCAAAGGGGAAACTATTCGCAGCTGAAAATGCAGAAGTTATATTTGTTGGTGGTAGAAATTTCAAAACTATTAAGAAATCAATTGATGATATCAAATACCTTGCAGTGAAAAAATTCAATAGAGATCCAAAACATATCAAATTCCTCACTCAAATCACACCAATCTTGGGTAAAACTCATAAAGAAGCTGAGGAAAAATTTGAAGAAATTGTTAAGTATATTGATTTAGAAGGTTCACAAGCTTTATTTGCCGGCTGGACAGGTATTGACTTAAGTGAATATGAATGGGATGAAGAGTTAAAATATGTTAAATCAAATGGTATGAGATCTTTAGTTGATAATTTGACAAAGAATAACCCAGGCCAAAAAGTTACAAGACGTACACTAGCTGAAGATACTGCAATTGGTGGATCAGCTACTAAAGAGTTCATTGGTACTCCCCAAGAAGTCGCAGATACAATTGAAAAATGGGTTGAAGAAACTGGGTTAGATGGATTTAACTTTGCATATGCTGTTTGGCCAGGTACTTTTGAAGATATTGTGGATTTATTGATTCCTGAATTACAAAAAAGAGGATTAGCACAAACTGAATATAGCGTACCAGGTGGTACTTTTAGAGAAAATGCTTATGGTTTAAAAGGTCAGATTTATTTACCAAAAGATCATCCTTTCTATAAATTGAGATGGCAAGATGGGTTATCAAAGGAAGAATTTGAAACTCAATTGAAAGAATTCTATGAAGAAAGAGATTCTAGGTATGAAAAGATTGTCCAAGAGTTGAAAAAAGAAGGAAAATTATAGATTTTTAAAAAAGTACTTTATACTAGTATCACGTGACTGTAGTGTTCAATGTGGCCTTTACCGTGTTTATAAAAACTATGGCTTCAAGATCAAAAGACGTACTTTTCAATTGTGTAATCGGCTCTATGACTATTCTGGGTATTTGAACCTGGTGATCTATATCAAAGATTCATCAAAAGACCACCTTATAAACAATATGAATATCCTCAAAAAATGGAATTGAAAGTCAACAATTGTTAAGGCAAGGAACATAATGACTGAACCAGTTGAAAAAAAACAAAAACCAAATCCAGTGCCAAAGAAGAAACTTATTTTAAACTTCTTTGAAAACAATTCACCAGGTTTACAAAATAGTGGACAATGGAGAAATCCAAGAGATAGATCCTCAACCTATAAATCATTAGATTATTGGACCCATCTTGCTAAATTAGCTGAACGTGGTAAAATCCATTCAATTTTTGTTGCTGATAGTTTAGTTTATTTTGATGCTTTCAAAGGCCCATTCAATTTCAAACCTGCTTTGAAAGCTGGTTTACAAGCTCCAAAAAATGAACCTGCTGCGTCTATAGCTGCTATGGCCGCCGTTACTAAAAATGTTTCATTTGCTGTCACTTTTAGTACTGTCAGTGAACATCCATATCATTTGGCTAGACGGTTAGCTACTTTGGATCATTTGACTGAAGGTAGAATTGGTTGGAACATTGTTAGTTCATTCTTACCATCTGTTGGTAGACAATTATTAAATGGTGAACCATTGCCTGAACATGATGAAAGATATGTCAAGACTGAAGAATATTTAAAAGTTGTTTATGGATTGTTACTTTCAAGCTGGAGAGATGATGCTTTAGTTTTGGACAGGGAAAATAATATATATGTTGATCCTGATCGTGTTAGAGAGATCAATTTCAAAGGGAAATATTTTGATGTTCCAGGTCCTGCATTGACTGAACCTTCAAAGCAAAGATTGCCAGTCTTGGTTCAAGCGGGCACTTCAACTAAAGGTAAACATTTTGCAGCTCAACATGCTGAAGCTGTTTATACTAATGGTTTAACTCCTGAAAACTTGAGAGAAAAAATTGATGGTATTAGAGATTTAGCAGAGCATTATGGACGTGATAGATACGATATCAAAGTTCTATCATCTGCAATTGTCATCACTGGTGAAACTGAGGAGGAAGCACAGGCCAAATATGAAGAATTGAAAAAGTATGCAGATCCAGATGGTGCACAAGTGTTGTTTGGTGGTTGGACTGGTATTGATTTAAGTCAATGGGATGATGACCAAGAATTAAAATATGTAAAGAATAATGGTATGAGAACTTATGTGGAAAATTTGACAAAGTTTAATCCAGGTAAAACTTTTACTAAAAAAACCATTGTGGAAAGGATTTCAATTAATGGATCAACTAGTGCAACATTTGTTGGTACCCCTGATCAAGTTGCTGATAAAATTGAAGAATTTGTTGAAATTAGCGATGTTGATGGTTTCAATTTCACATATGTTGTTTGGCCAGAAACTTTTGAGAATTTAGTGGATTTGGTTATCCCAAAACTACAAGCAAAAGGATTAGCACAAACTGAATACACTGTGGAAAATGGTACATATAGAGAAAACTTATATTTTCAAAAAGGTCAATCCTTTGTCCCGCAAAGTCATCCAGCATATAATTTAAGATGGACAGATAAAGATTCACAAGAAGAGTTTGAAGCAAAATTAAGCAAAACCTACAAATAATATATATAGTCTAAACCACGTTTTATTCCTCATCTTTTGTTTTGTATTCTTCAATCAACCATTCTAAACATTCTTCAACTTGTCTGTAGTCTTCGAAATCAACATCCAACACTTTTTTCTGATCATCTCCAAATAAATCTTCAGCTTGGAATGCAGTAACATGAATGAATTGATTCAAGAAATCAATTGAATTTAACGAAACTTCAATTTTCAAGGATTCATTTATCAACAAATTGAATTTAGATAAGGGAGGTGTGAAAATTCTTTTGAAAGGATCCTGTTCATTTTCCTTCTTTTTAATATTGGCAAATTTTGTTAATGTGAATGTTGAATTTGATACATTTTTCAATATATCTTTAATCATATGATATAATTTTTTCAAATTTTGTTCATGTTTAAAATGACCAGCCAATGGGCGTAAAACAAGTGTGTATGGTGTGGAGAGTAATCTATTTTGGTTTGAATTCTTGACAACAACTGGTTGTTTTTTAGCTTCAAGATTTTTTTTGTATTTCACAGTCAGCATTAATCTGAGATATGTAGATATTAGTTCAGCTCTTGCATTTGCAGATCTTTCAATAAATGGTTCTTGAGTTGGAGTTTTTCCCTCGTCATACTCCACATACTCAATTTCTATTATCTCATCATTCAGAATGATAGATAGCTTGGTTTCACTCTCAACCTTCACATTATATGCAATTAAAGTACTGGCCTCCTCAATCAGTTGATTGAATAATTCCTCTTCAAAGATAAAATATCTAGCCTTGGCGATTTGAGATCTTATGGAGTCATCATTCCCAAATTTTTCATCAATCTTGGATTCACCAATGATAGAGTATTCATCATCGTTATTCTGTTTAGCCATGATCCTAACTCTCAACAGTTTCTTCTCGGAGCCTGACACATTATTCAATGGAACAAAATCCATTTGTTGATTGTTCTTTGTTGGTTTTAAAACAGCACTACCTTGAACCTTGTAAGTAGACCCAGAATCTTCATACCCATATTTAACTGCAAATATTCTTTTCCCAGTGACTTTATCTCTTGTTTTGTATAATATTTCTTTATTGTTGAAATTTTTCTTGATTGTATCCCAAAAAGTTTTCTCTTTTAAAACTTCTTCACTTAATCTTGCACTTGAATCTCTCAATTTTTGAGCAGAATTTTCAAGACTTGTTAGTTTCCAGCCCTGTCCAACAATTTTCTCCTCTTTGAATTGTGCTTCTCTTTCTTGTGGAGAGATTGATTTGCTCACTATATCTGAATTTAATGAACCTGGGGGAACAAACTTCTTTAAATGTTGTGACATTGAAATAGTACCAGCTGCAGGTCTAACACAACTTATAAGCAATGAAACAAAATCAAGAGCTAATGATGATTCATTGAGAGCAGTTGATATGAATCGAAGTGATTCGTTTTTATTCTTGAAGAATTCTTCATTTGTATTAGTAGTTGGTTCATCAGTTTCTTCGAGACCACCAACTTCTGCATTAGCACCTGTATCGTCTTGTATTTCAACACCTGTAGCTTCGGCAGTTAAAGCATCAATTTCTTTCTTCAATTCGTCCTCTGATAGATTAACAAATGGTCCTCTTTCATGAATAATTCTGGGTACCAATTGTGATAGTGTAAGTTTTTGTCTTGAAGAACTGGTCAGTAAAAATGTTATTAGATATGCAATCAGTCGGCACTTACTCATCTCTCACAAACACATCAACGTGCTCATCAATAAGCTTGGAATCTAGCGTTATTTGTATATCAGCTAGCTCTTCTTCTCCCATCTTGCTGTTCGAATTCGATCTTAATCAAGGTCAATACGATTTGTTGATGTTTCCCAAATTTCTACAATATTACTGAAAACAATTCGCGAATTATTCAAGATCGTGGTTTGAAGCCCTGTCCCCGAAACTACCGGTTATAGACGGCCTTTTCATGGTTTGAACATCTGCACCCAAAAAACATACAAAATACACTTAAAACCAAAAAAACACATTTCATATTCAACTGAAGATCTCAATAATTACACAAATAGATGTTGTAATACACCATAGTCCAACCATAAACCATCCAGTGACTTTGTTCATCTCAAATCTGTTGAGTGGAACAGCTATCAACAAGAATAACAAATTGATAAATAACCCAATACCACTGACAATTAATGTTTTGGAAAGTTTTAACTCAATTGGACCATTAATCGGAATAATGAGTAGTCCGCTACCACCGATACCTAGCAAAATGTTCAATAATGGTCCACCAAAGCATGCTGAGAGTGCCATCATTGGGAATCCCATTCTTGCAATGGTAAAATTTGAAATGAAATCACCTAATGAATTACCAATGGCAAAGATAGTTATACCTAATATAGCGTCTGAAAGATTCAAGAGTAGTGCAAAAAATTTGATGATTGAAATCAATTCTGCAGCTATTGTAGAAATCCAAGAAACCGATATACCAAACCCAAGTAATGCGCAACATATTTTGAAAACTTTGGATGAAAGTTCACTTCCTTTTTCAACAGCAGCTTTGGTGACAAATGACAAGCATAAAAATGTAGCTGATATGATTGAAGGGAATAAAATTAACTTGATATTGAACCCATCATTTGAAAAATTTAAGAAAGCTGTAACAAATGGGGCAAAAATGCATTGCAAAACAAGTAATTTGAAGCCCTTCTCCTTGATTGTGAAATCCTCATCAACGACTGGTACTGTAAGTCTCAATATAGCGACCAATGGTAAACAAATTATACTGAAAAATTTATCAAAAAATGATTTAGATTTGAAATTTTTCAAAGTTGGGAATAGAGTGAATAAAAAACTTGATTCTCCATTGAAAAGTTTTGTTTTTTCAAAAACTTCTTTCAATTTATTTTTCAAAATATCATGAACATCACCATAGTCTGCATGAAGGTGCTCTGCATTGTATAAATCAAGACCCGAAGGGTTATCATACAATGAATCAAAATTATAATCTGCTGGTGCAGTGTATATTTGACCATTTGATACCACTTCATTTTCATCTCTTAAAAGTGGTTCACTTCTCAGTCTTGGAGGTTGTGTAATGTTTGATGTATTTCCACCCATTGTATTCAATAAAATATTACCATGATCTTCAACATCATCACTCAGCTTGATTGCACCTTCTCGTCCTTCATAAAAATCTTGCATTTTAGTGTTGAATTCAATAGCACCCAAAAGTGAAGTTCTCATCATGGTTTGAGATTGTTTATTCCAATCATCAAAGTTGTTGACAGTTTCTGATTCAAGTTCTTGGCCCAATTCCTCAATATCAGGCGTGGCCAAGTTACCCAGTATATCATCATCATTTGTTTCTTGATTTGTGTCAACTTGATACGGCGTCATACCTTCTGATTTGTTATAATAGTGATTTCTAATTTTTTGATCCATCAGTTGAATTCTTCTATTCTTGGTAGTTATCCAATCCCAAAATACAACAAACACAACATAAACAACATAAAGTAACATCATTACCAATGCTTCCCAGACTGTTATTTTCTCATCACTTAAAAACACAGTTGTGATGATCAATGCAAATATTAAAAACAATAAATCTCTAATGAATGGTTTTTTAGCAACTTTGAAAGGACGAACAATAGACATACTCCCCACGACAACACCTGTGATGAATAAAGCAGCACCACAAAGTTCACCAATTGCTAAATTCGCAGAATTTATTTTCATAGCTTCCAAAGTTGAAAAAACATCAGGACTTCCATTACCCAAGGCTAATAATGTAACACCTGCTAAACTTTCACTCATTTTGAAAAATTTCGATATTGTTTCAAGGTTTGGACATAGGAAATCAGATGCAGTTATCCCTAAAGTTGTGAATAAGATAATCAGAATGAATGCAAATGAAATCAATTTGAGTATTTTAGCACCATGACAGTAATATAACGAGACATAATTAATGAGACCAATTTTATAATCACCACAGTATGTGTTTATGAATTGACACTGTTGATCTTTGGGTATGGTATGGATTTCATGACATTCATGAGAGGTGTTATGGGAATGTAATGATGTTATATTATTGGCGTTTATTTGTTTTGTACTTGACAACGTATCATCAAGATTCACAACGTTCTTAGCAGTAACAGCCACCACCACCAAGCTGAGCGTCAAGATTGTGAGTGTTGATATTGTCCTGAGTGATTTCATATTATATCCCCATTTCTCATCAAGTTGGAATAAACGTTTTGAATTGGTTGTTTCTTCGTTGATTTAACGATGAGCTTTGCCTCGAATTGTTTTAACGTAAATTATCGGCCAAAGAAAAATTGTGTTTCGCGAAACCAAAACCATAAACTGAAATGGTTCCAATTCATAATTACAGAAGTAAAAAAATATATGTTCTTTTTAACGTTCAAATTAATGCCATCTATGTTGAGATAAAAAAGCCATGGGGGAGAGTTCCAGAATTGAAATAACAAAATACTATGATTGGAGAAAATTTACCTGTTGAATGTATGTAATTAATCCAATTAATTACCTGAAGTGTATGGTTGTTTTGGGTAAGGGAATGAAGGACCAACTTCTTGGATAGATAATTTAGCTAACCATTGACCTTTATCAATTGATGAAGCTAAATCATCACCATTGACTAAACCAGCTAAGAACCCACCGGCAAAGGCATCACCAGCACCGTTGGTATCTTCAATTTTTGAAGAATCTAATGGATGAACTGGGAATTCTTTGATATCGAAAGAATCAGCTGATTTGTTGTAAGTAACGGTGATAGTTGGTTCTAAACCATGGGTGATCACAACAGTTCTGTTTTGTTTTTCATTAACTTTTGGTTCTTTAGCAATGTATTTAGCAATTTCTTTCAAGTCAGTAGTTTCCAAGTTATGAGATCTAGCGTAAGCTTCAGCTTCAGTTTCGTTACCAATAACGTAATCAGCAAAAGTGACTGATTTATCTAAAACATCTTTGAAAAATTCTGGAATGAATGGAGCTGATAAGTTTAATGAGAAAACTTTGTTGGTTTCAGCAGCATGTTGACCTAAAGTGTAAATAGCTTCTGGAGAAACAGTTAAATGGAAACCACCAATGTAAAAAACTTTAGCTTTTTCAACATATTCCCAGTTTTCAGCTTTTTTCAAATGGTCTGGGGTGAAATGGTTGGCAGCAGCTAAATCAGTGGCCAAAGATCTGTTATGACCAGTGATTAAAGCAGCACATTTACCAGTTTCATGTTCAGTTTGGAATTGATATAAAGATTTAACACCAGCTTTAGCATTAGCTTCTAATAACAATTCAGAATATTTATCTTTACCAACAGACCCGAAATAAGCAACAGAGTTTTCTGGTAAGATGTAGGCAGCACCTCTAGCAGCGTTTTGAGCAGCACCACCAGCGACGAATTGAACAGAAGGGTCATTGATACATTCACCAAAGATTGGTAAATGTTTTTCTTCAACCAAGATGGCATCGTTGGCTTTTAATTCATATTTTTCCAAATATGAAGGTTCAACGTTGACTTGGAAGTCTAATAATGGGTTACCTAAGGCGACTAATGGGTATGACATTTTGTTATTCTTTGAACTGAAAGCTCTTGATGATATTCTTGTAATCAAATTCTTGGTTAAAAGTTGACGTTGAGCAAAACGTTTATAGGATTGAAAAAAAATTGGCTGCATTATATAATCAGCATGTGACCTTTAAACGAGGTGTTGATGATTTCGAAGGGTAATTAACAGAATAAATAGCACGGGTGTTTATAATGGAATGTAGTTTTATGGAATAAGCCCCTGTGTTCAAATTTTCATCACCATTGTCCAACTCTTGGATGTTTGAAATGACCAGAAACTTTCTGAACAAAGAAGCATTCGATTTAATTCAGGCTAATTGATTCGCGAGATTGGGAAAAAACCTTTTTAGATCAAATCAAATCAACAAAGCTTTTGCCAAAGAGAGCACACGATTGATAGGAAAGATGGTGGCAAGAGACATCTTTTTGCAGTACAGACCTTTCATAACAGAGCCAAAAAACTACTACGAGGCTCACTACCATGAAATATTGGCTTCAGCACTTTTTTACCATGTGCTATATCTATCCAGTCCCGTGATATCCAAGGCTTTGTTTGGAGACAACTACAGATCCTTGTCAAGGAAGGGAAAGAAGAATTTTGATATCCACATTGTCTCCATGGTGCAATGCTTGATCTCAATAGCTGTGATTATTCCATTATACGGTAATGAATACTTAGCAGAAGACCCGATATTCCACTACTTGCCTTATGCCGGGTTTGTCAGCGCAATTACAATTGGTTATTTCATTTGGGATTTATATATCTGCTTGAGATATTTCAAAATGTTTGGTATTGGCTTCTTGATTCATGCTTTTGCCTCATTATTTGTGTTTTGTCAAACTTTAAGACCTTTTTGTTTAGCTTGGGTTGCCGGTTTCTTAAGTTTTGAGCTATCAACTCCATTTGTTAATGTCAATTGGTTCGTTAGTAAATTACCAGCTGGCACTGTTCCATTTTATATCCAAGCTATCAATGGATTATTATTAATGATAACTTTTTTCATTGTTAGAATCATTTGGGGGTTCTATGCTATTTATAAAGTTAGCGGACAATTATATGCAGTGAAAGATCGATTACCATTATGGTTACCACTTATTATTGTTGGATTAAACTTTGGATTAGATGCTTTGAATGTTTATTGGTTCAAAAAGATGGTTGCAATTGCTGCAAAGAAGTTTTCTGGTTCTTCATCTCAAAAGAAGGTTGAATAGAACTAGAACCACTAATCCTCTCTACAATATTCAAGATAAAAAATTACCATATTACGGCAAGGAAGAATGCCACCTGTACAAACTAAACAACTTGCTAATGAAATGCAGAATTGATATTAATGTATTTCAATGTACTGTAGTAGCTTATACTTCCGAGGCATGTTACATAATCTATATCACGTGAAATTCACATGATCTCATTTAAGCCCTCGGGTTTATGTGTTTGTGTGTGAATTTTTCAGCTTTTTTTGAGAACACGAAAGCCTCATGAAACTTGAGTTGGTCGTCTGCTATTTCGTCAACAATTGCTGCAAATTAAAGGGGCCAAAATCACCACAATTACCGTTCAGTTAGCACACAATTATGTCACTGATCCAATCTTTTGCTGCTGCAATTGACCAACCTTCAATCAATTGGAAAAACATCATCTTGGGGTTTACAACCTTTCAGTTTCTATTTGAAACATATCTAACATATCGTCAATATAAAGTTTTACAAAAAGATGAATTACCTCCAACTTTGAAGAATGAAATTGACAATGAAACTTTCAAAAAGTCTCAAGATTATTCAAGAGCCAAGGCTAAATTTTCAATTTTCAATCAAGTTTTCTCATATATTCAAAATGTTTCATTTATTGCTTTAGATTTATTACCAAAATTATGGTCATTCGGTAAAACACTTTTGACAAAATCATCCGGGTTCTTACCAGCTTTTACTCAATCATCAATCATTGTTCACTCATTATCCTTTTTGTTTCTTTTACAAATTATCTCTACTGTTATTTCATTACCAATCTCTTATTATCAAACATTTGTCTTGGAGGAAAAATACGGATTTAATAAATCAACAATAAGCTTATGGATTGGTGATACTATTAAATCAATTGTCTTGACCGTGTTATTAGGATTCCCAATCTTGGCTGGTTTCTTGAAAATTATTGATTATTTTGGTGATAACTTTATTTTCTACGTCTGGGTCTTTTTAATGTCTGTTCAAGTCATTGCCATTGCAATTTATCCAACTGTCATTCAACCTTTATTCAATAAATTAACTCCATTAGAAGAAGGTGAATTGAAAACTTCAATTGAAAACTTGGCCTCTAAAAACAAATTCCCATTGAGTAAATTGTATGTCATTGATGGTTCAAAAAGATCAAGTCATTCAAATGCTTACTTCTATGGTTTACCATGGTCAAAACAAATTGTCATTTATGATACTTTAATCAACACATCTACAACAAGTGAGACTACTGCTGTTTTAGCTCATGAAATTGGTCACTGGGCTTTATCTCATACTTCAAAAACTTTAGTTATTGCTCAAGCTCATATCTTGTTCATTTTTACTCTGTTCACAGGTTTCATTCACAACACTTCATTGTTTGAAAGTTTTGGGTTCTTTGGCCAACAACCTGTCATTATTGGATTCCTATTATTTAATGATATCTTGCAGCCATTAGATAACATTTTAACATTCTTCATGAACTTGTTATCAAGAAAGCATGAATATGAAGCTGATGAATATGCCGTCAAATTAGGTTATTCAAAAGAATTGTCAAAATCTTTAGTTAACTTGAACATCAAGAATTTAAGCTCTCCAGATGCTGATTGGTTATATTCAAGTTATCATTACTCTCATCCAATTTTGGCTGAAAGATTAGATGCGATCAACAAAAAAGCTGCAATCTATGAAGTCAAAGAGAAATGAGGAGTTTTAATAGACGGCATATACAATTTATACTTATATACAACAACACCCAAAAATATAAACAGACCTCTATGGGAAATTTCTACATGTAATTAATCTAAATTAATCTATTAATAAATTGGAAATAAATAACAAAATGAAAGTGGAATATACACGAAATAAATTAGTACTGGCCGTTTACCAAACTTGAAGTTCTTCGAAATAATCGACTCTGCCTTTAGCAACATTCAAATTATTAGAAACAGCTTGTCTAATATCATCAACCATAGTATTATGAGCAGCAGTCCAAACACCAATAGTTCCAGTAGCTTCAGCAAAATCATTATGAACTAATTCATCAATTGATGGTCTACCATATCTAAATTCAACAAAATCAAGACCTTTAGTAATGACAGAATGATTATCAGAAACTTGTTTCTTTTCATCACTTGATATATCTTTTTCACTTTTTTGTTCAGAATCAGAATTTGAACTTTCACCACCACTACTATTAAATCTTGAACCAACTGCAGAATCTGGTTGTGAGATATAAATAACAACCTTAACTGCACTTTCTTTCAATTTCAATAATTCATCATAAAACCAGTCAATTGAAGACCAATGTCTAATAACCCAGTATAATTTGATATGTTGGTTTTTACCACTTTGAACTGATTTTAAAGCATGAGCAAATGGTCCAGCAATACCTGTACTACCGGAATATAACAATGCAGTATCATATCTTTGAATAGAGTTTGGATTACCATATGGTCCTTCCACGGAAATTTTGATAGTACCTGTTTGATTTGGTTGTTTTCTTAAATAGTTATGAATTTGTGAAGTAACACCACCTTTAATCTTGGTAACGAATGTGATTTCGGAATCTGAAGTTTCAATAATTGTGAATGGATGTGATTGGAAGAATGTTGTTGGTTTCAAATAATGTAAATAACCATAAGAACCCGGGAACGCCCTCCACATACCATGTCTTGGGACAACAACTTTCAAGATTTCATCAGAAACAACAGTGACTTTAGCATCTCTTGCACCAAATGAAATCAATCTAACAATTCTAACAAATCTATCAAAACACCAAATAGCAGCAAGGGCATAAGTAAATTGTTGATAACCGAATTTTTCAGCATGGATCCAACTTGCAGCTAAAAAGATTGCAGCACAGACAATATGTGTCATTAAGAAAACTTCATAATAAGATTTTCTAACTGCATAAGCAGCACTGAAAACTAAAACACCACCAAAAGTGGCAGCAACTATACCCCATCTATACCAATAAGAATCTAATCTTGTCAAGAATTTTGAATAACCCATACCAACAGATTGCATATGCATTGAACCAGCATGAATCAAAATTAAAATGAAATTAAATCTTGAAACCCATTTATGATAAGTGTAAAAAGTTGATTGTTTCCAACCAGTTAACCAAATCAAGAAATTATTACGACCAGCAAATAAGAAAGTTAGTTGCAAACTGTATAATGCTAAAACACCAGTTCTATCACCAGGGTATCTGGCGGCTTGGGCATCTCTTGTGGTCCAAATGGTATCGTTTTCAACATAGGTATATCTAACACCACTAAAGATGAAGATTAATGCAAAGTAAAAAAATAAAACTATTGTTTCCACTCTAGTTGGTAAATAACCACCAAAGACTTTCCAAAAGCTAATTGGGGTGACATGTCTCTTGTTGGCAAATAATGATGGTAATGAAATAGTGCTTCTAACTTTGTTAACAGCTGCTGATTTGAATAATTTGTTGATGAAACCAACTCTGTTTAAGAAGTTATAAACTGTAGCAACAAGGAAAATAACAGCCCAATATCCTAGTAAACCAGCACCTAAAAACATTGTATCTGAGACGTTTCTCCATCTTGCTTTATAAGAGTTGTAATAATTTTTATAAGCTTTTTTGTTGTAATAAACTGGAGAATCAAAGATGGCAGATTTATTGAAACCATCAATTTTACTTGGATCAAGAATATAATTTGTTGCATTTGAGTAAGCTTTTCTGATTTTTTCAGAGTCTAAGGTAACATTAAAACTCGAGCAGTACTCTTCCACGATCTCTTCACCCTTTTCATTATTTTCACCTAATTGATCATAAATACAGTATAACCATGACCCCATTGCTGGTTTATTCTTACAATCACATTTATAGGTTTTTGTAGTATCCTTTTCACAAAAAGTTGCGACTTTAAGGAAAGCACCTTTACATGACATAACCACAAGTTCTTCATCAGAATAGTAGTGATAACCTTCATCAGCTAAGACTGTAGTGGCACTTAGCGCCATCAAAGCACCAATGATGGAACTAGCTTGAAACTTCATAATGGATTGATCAAACAAGGAAGAAGAAACCTCACAGCATTTTGAGAGCACATTTCAAAGATTTCACCTCGATTAAATACTATTGACAATCCTCTCCTTAGTTTATGCTGCTACGCTCTTTAATTGCAAGATGCGCAGTACCCTATGAAAAGATTTTTCAGATTAGCCAATCTAAAGCAGGAAATACAACATCAGCCAGTCTGGCCTATTGTGAACAAATGCATGTTGAATGTACAAAAGCAACATATAACACCGCCAGGCACTTGTGAAAGGACAATTTTGGAACCTTGGACGTTTCAACTTCAGGGAGGTTGGGCGTTTTGATAGGTTTTCAGACGTTGATGCTTTTTTTCTTTTGGTCAAAATTTTAGTGGGAACGGACAAGTCTCTGGAGATGCGACAGATAAAACTGATTGGGAGCAGTTTTAATGGTGATTTTAGTTGAAAATATACTAAGAAATCCCCTGATTTTCGGATGTATATTATCTTGGACCTTGATTATCTCTTATGATTGCCTTGCTAGTCATAGTGTTTATGACTTTTTTCTCTATATTGTTTTTTGTGGTTAATCCGGTGCTTGATAGTCCCTTTTAAAAGTTGAGGCTAGTCCACCAACAGCTTTCCCTGATGCTCGTAGATAATTTAATTATTGAGCGTACACTTGTGTAAGCTAGTGAGCAACAAGTTGGACGAGAATGGCTCCTGGAAAATAATTAGCTGTAGTTTGTCCTAGTAGTGTGCCATGTTATTTTCTAGAGAGGTTGGTGGAATATTGTGGTCTTAATGAAGCCTGCGCTGTTGAGGGTGTAAGATGTAAAGAAATCAATTATAAAACCAGTAATAAGCTGAAAAGTGCAATACCTTGGAAGCTATTGAAGTTACAAATCGTGTAGAAGCTCAAACGCAGGATCTCAACCTATACTTATATATTAGCACAGCTCAGTTTTCAAGGTGTATTCCAAGAGTTCTTGGTGCTGAATCTTGATGAAGATGATTACAAGAGACGTTTTTGGTTGGCAGATTTGTTGACTCAACAGAGAAGATCGCCGTTATAGGGCCATAGAAAGGTTAGAATTCGTTTCTCTTTCTTGTTAAGCACATTTAGTCACAATTTCCCACTGTGAACTCAATCGCTAGTTAACTAGGTAATCACGAAAGGAATCCTTGGTCCATATTAACAAACGTTGCTCTGGATTTAATTGGGATTGAAATGTGTGATTCAATTTAGAGGAGGCGAAAGCTAAAAATATCATAAGCGATTTGTGTACGTTCAAGTCAATGACAGCCTCTTGATGGAAATTGGGTGTACTTTTTCTTCAAATATTCAAAAACGTTAATTGGACAAACAGAACAATAGGCCAAAGTTTATAGAAAATCTGATCAACCCATCTTTAAAGAAAACGAAGTAACAAAACCTTATTGCCTTCAGTGCCTTCTTAACTCTTTCTCTAGTTTCATAACTTCCTCATCAAGTTGCTGTTGTCTTCTGATCATATAAGTGTTCTTTTCTTGAGGTCCCTTGAAAATTGAGATGCATTTTTTTTTCACCGCGAAACGGATTTGTCCCGACGCCCAAAGATTATCTCGATAATAAAGTCGTTGTCCATCAAGTTTCAAGACAGAGAAAAGTTCAACGCCTGGGCCCTGGGGTTGCAATAACAGTTAGTTTCAAAAGCTCAACATAGGTACACTGCTCTAGTGAGCTAATGGTTTAATTCAATGCTAGTGTTATATGTTCCATAGATTTATCAACTAATTAATGTTTTGTGTGACTAGAGCTGGATCAAGCAGTTGTTTGAGATGGAGCCAAATATTTTTGGACTCTTTTTGAGCCAAGAAACCACTTTTTCTTACAGCCAATTTTCATCCAACTGGCAAGGAAGTGCTTTAGCTTAACATAGTGATGACAAGAAAAGATAACAAGCAGGTCTACAAAGTAAGATGCTCATACATAGCAAGCTTTGATCAGATTGATTAGATAGATCATACAGAGTGTTAAAGCACTCGCTTCTAAAAAGTGTACATGGACCTTCGTAATTATTGTAATCGTCTATGTGAAGAACCAGACGTACAGTGGTACACTACAAACGAGATTCTCGATCAACGCATACAACAGCTCCCCATCTGGAAAACTAATTGAAGTTTGAACCCGAAATTACCAAAAAAAATATAAGCAAATCAGTAGCTGGAGAATTAAAGATCCTTACATTTGCGAGTCCTATCCGCATGAAACCCTTTCAGCTTCACGTATGTTGAATGGTATTTCCTTGATCTTTATTCGTTCTTTTTGAAATGCAAGTTATAGCATGGTCTGGGGACACCCCGACAAATATTTCCCCTTTCAAAAAATTGGTACAAAATTATTTGAAATAAGCTTAAATTGAATTGTTCAAGGACCAATGTTTTCAACTTTCAAGTGCCTCTTGGCTTAATATTTGATCAACCGATCCCCTGAAATTGCTGTGAATATTCTATGAATGATTCTCTTCCTCTTCAAGTTGAACAATCAATTTCTTGAAGCTTCAATAATGTTCGATCTCTTTGGAAGCTCCATGAACCCTTTATGGGTTTTAACTGTTCTCATATGTTGCTGCTTCCTTCGGTAACGGGTCAGCTCTGGACTCTGGAGATCTTTCATTTTTTTTTTGTCGTCGAGCGCAGTTATCCTATACACCTGTTGCATGATCAGATAACTTTGATCATGAAAATGTCCTGAAATTCAGGGTCTTGAGACAAAAAGGGTAGGGTCTGGAAGGGACTACACGTAATAGATCCCTTCGTCTATTGAAATTCTGGATGCTGGTTGCAAGTTGCAACCAACCAAATGGCCAGGAATCTGAACTCGGGTTCGCCTTCAACAGAATTCCTACAGAAAAACTCACAATTGACTGCGAAAGATGGCATGAAAAGAGCGGAAATAAAGAGTGTTCGTTGACTTGTCATGGGTCGTGTGCCAGGTACCATTGGGATAGATCTCCCTTGAATACCACAAGAGCTTTTGGATCCCAATGCCTGATTCATCGGTAATACTGTAGACTTATCGAATAATTGATTGATTGTGTTTTTTCCTTTTTGCCTGGTGATTATTTTTTGCCCAGGCAGATTTGATCAATTTTCACAGCTCCAAAAATTGATCCCATCAGATAACTTTAAAGTGGGTGCAGCCGTTTTGGCAGGGACACTATTAATAAACCCTGAAGTTCCACGGGGATTACACAGAAGTACAACTACACAATTTAGCAGAACCTATTCAATTGTATAGGTGTGCAAAATATTGTTAACGAAGTAGTACAGTTTGCAAGGCTCACTAAACTCACAATCCCACATTCTTTGAAGCATTCAAAGGCTTGGGCTCCACGCGTGTACTCTTTTGTTACAGCTTCTAAACAATATTGGACAACGAAACCAGTAGAACATGGTCGTAAAGACTCATAAACAGCTTCTATTAAAGTACATGACACCTACGGATAAATGATATGACTCGAATATCTTGAGAGATTGAAATTGAGAAAGGCAAGGTGTTATATACTGCGTATACGAAGCCGTAGTTGTAAGATCATGATCGGCTACTTGACTCACAAATTGTCAATATGAAAGCGCTTGTTTTAACACAAAGTAAGAACGGTTTCTGTTAGATCTTTGTTAGATCAGCCATCAGAACCACAGTTGATGGTTCAGGTAAGATAGCAGAGCTGCTCTTTGGCTCTTTGATATTGTTCATGATCACATTAGTCTCTTCTCTAACGTCATGCAAATCCAATTGGCTAACATAATAACTAGAAATAGCAGATATAGGAAGCAGTTGTACTTCTAACGTCACCCAAGATAAATGATTTATTCACAAACAATCTATCAGCTTAAAAATATCCGTGGGCTTACTTTGAAGATGCTGAAAAAATGAATCTATTCAAGATTCCTGGTTCTAATACTTACACTTACTTCAGCAAATCAGAGATTTTTGATCTTGAAGCATCTGCATTCAATTGTAATTAAAAGCTTGGTTGCTGGTTGATTTTCTTTTTGGCTTTGTCCTTTCGGGGTGTAAATTGACGTTTCTTGGTGATTGAACGTTGAGACTAAAAGGTTCTGTTAGACCCTAGATGGTGCTTAAAGTAGGGCATAATGGAACGATAATAAGCTCCCAGATAAGCAAAAGCAGTATATAAAATATGATAAGTACCTGGGAAAGGTATTTTGTGAAGTTTGTGATGATTCTGACTTCTTTGGTGGTGTTTTCAAGAAAGTGTACCTCAAATTTCTAAACTCAATTTTTAGCGAAAAAAAATATTCAGGGTCTAATGGTTTCAAAACTGTTGAACCTAAAGACGCACATCATTTCAACAGAAGACAAACCAAGAACTATTCAAATGAGCTTGAGTTCAATTTAAAGCCCGATTTCATGTTGGTTTAGCGCAGATGTTTGCCTTGAGCTAGGGATAATGGCGTTGTTTTCATAGTTATCAATTTGATCGAGAAATACGATACACAGTGTCCACGGTTGATGCTGCTCTTTCGTTATACAGATATGCATACGTGCCTTTTGTTTTAAAAGTCTGTGGAAATTTTTCTTTATATAAAAGAGATTTGAAATCACCATGTATCGGTTGGCCTGAAGCCTACAAGAGTTTTGTTCAAAGTTACAAGCTCAAAATCAAGATGAAGGTCGGCTCTGTTTTGATAACTTCAGCATTTTTACTATGCGTTGCCAATGCATTGGATCGTGTTAAGTATTCCCATGAAGAACTGGTGGTAATGGGATGTAAATATGCTGTCACAAATACTGCTGTGTTCTGTAAGAAAGATACCAGTAAATCTTACAAATGTCAATGTTCAAATAAACCAGCCTTAGGATCATGGTTGAATTGTATTTATGAACAAGCAGGTGAAGCAAACTCAAAAGCTGAACATTTCGTTCAAGAATATTGTGAAAAATTAAACAAAACTTATACCAATGATCAATTAAGAAAAGCTTATAAAAATGCCACAGAGTATCTTACAACCGTTGATAAAATTGAAGGATTCAATAAGACTATTCCAATTGATACACCAATCAAATATAAACAGAAAGTCTTCAAAAAAAGTTATGAGTCTTACAAGTTGAGATATGATAATGTTGCAGATAGTATTGATTTTGGGTCAGGTCTTTTAGCATATTGGGCTTTGATCTTACTTGCTGCCACCATTGTTAATTTTGCATCCAAAATTTCAGTTATTGGGGCAAAATTCAATTCAAAACCATTCAATAAAGTTAGACAATATGTTAGTATGCCATCTTTATTTTCAAACAAGAAACATACAGAAGCTGTTTACCCATTGAGTAAGAAGATCCCTTTTGTTTCAGGTCTTTTACCAACTAGAGTTGAATCCATTGTTCTGTTTTTCTTCTTTGCATTGATGGTTATATTTCAAGCTGTCAGATTTAGATGGATTGAAGGAAACACTATTTGGAAGTCTGAGGTTTCCCAAATTAGTAGATATGTCGGTGATAGATCTGGTATTTTGTGTCTATATGGTTTCCAATTAACCTTTCTATTCGCTGGTCGTAATAATTTGATGTTATGGTTGACTGGTTGGAAGCAAGCAACTTTTGTTACTTATCATAAATGGATTTCAAGATTCAATTTTTTATTGTTAGTTGTTCATGCTGCTTCAATGCATATTCAGTCAGAATCAATTGGTAAATTTCAAACAAGAATTTTAACATACTGGTATAGATGGGGTATTATTGCCGGTGTCACTGGTGGTGTTATGTTATTAACAGGTTCTCACTGGGTCAGAAAGAACTACTATGAGACCTTTTTACTAACACATATTGTTATGGGAGTCTTCTTCTTGATTGGTACTTGGTTACACGCTGATAAATTCCATTATGAAGAATATGCTTATGCCATGGCTGCTATTTGGTGTTTTGATAGAGCAATCAGAATTGGTAGATTGGTGTCATTTGGTGTTAGAACAGCTACTGCAACTGTTGTTTCTGATGAAACTTTGAAAATCACTATTCCAAAGCATAAATTTTGGAAGGCATACCCAGGTGCTTTTGGTTACGTCCATTTCTTAAGACCAACGACTTTCTTCCAATCACATCCATTCACTATTGTTTCTGATGATGATGATAAAATTGTTTTTTACACAAAGATTAAAGGTGGTGTTACCTCACAAATCCATCGTTATTTAAGAAAACAACCAAATCAAACTGGAACCTTGAAAGTCACGGTTGAAGGACCATATGGTGATCCAAAACCATTGAAAAGATATGATACTGCATTATTGTATGCTGGTGGTAACGGTATCCCTGGTTTATACGCTTATGCGAAGAAACTTGCTGAAAAGACTGATAAAAGAATCAAATTATATTGGGTTATTAGAAACTGGCATTCCATTGATTGGTTTTATGAAGAATTATTGAAACTGAAAGGTGCTCCACTAGATGTGATATTATACGTGACCAAGCCAGACTCAGCTCTTGGTTCCAAATTTGATTCAAGCTCATCATCTTCAGATTCAGATTCTAAACACAGTAGCGAAAAAGATGAAAAGAACCAATTATCAGCTCATGAAGTTATGGCACAACATTTGGACTTTGTTGAATTTAGATTTGGAAGACCAAATATTGATGAATTGATCAAATCAGACTTACAAGAATCTACCGGTAACGTTGGTGTCATGTCTTGTGCTCATAATGCTATGGTTGATAGCATCAGATATGCTGTTAGTCAAAACTTGGAGACTCCGCAAGGAAGAGTTGACTACTTCGAAGAACTTCAACAATGGTGAGCAAACTTGATATCAATAATGATACATATTTTAGCTCAATCATGTCTTGGATTTCTTTCTATTTAATTGTAAACATATATATTTATCCACTAATGTCGTTTGTAGAATTTAAAGTTGTTTGTTCCCCTATAGCACAGATTCCAGAACGAATTCGCGAAGCTAATAAGCAGAGTGCGCTAACCGCCTAAACTTCAATTTTATGAGCGCGTCTTGGAAGTAATAACAAAGTGTTTTGATTTGGTAAAAACATACCAAAGTTGACCTTCAAATCCTTCTAATTGGAGCTCAAATTTCACCATCTTCATCATCCTAAATAGGAGACTCTCTAGGACCACCAAGAAATGTCTCCAAATCCCAAACTAGAAGAAATTGACGCGACCGCCGAAGATTCAGAAGCCTCAACAGTCACAATGGGCGATGACAACTCCAATGCTTCCTCATACTTTGATGCTACAAACATTGATACAAACCATGATAGCTTTATAATCAGTGATATTGATGACAGCGACATAGTGAACTCAAACGGTCACAAGGATGATGAATCAAAATCCCCTATTGAGGTGCAAAAGAATCCAAAAGTCAACGTGCTGGATATTTTCAACAAGTTTAAGCCATCTAAAATAAGGAAAGAAGCCGAAGATTTGGTAGTAACAGAAGAGAAGCCGGTGAATTCAGTTGAAGAGACTATAGTTGAAGCCCCACCAGCTAAGAAATCTGGGATCACAGCAAAGGATATATTAACTGGAAAACCTCCCCCAAAGCAGAGTAAAAAAGAAGAGAAGGGTGATATAGTACATGTTTCCAGTGATGATGAAAGTGAACCGACAGTTGTGAAAGAAATTATCAAGTCAGGTATCACAGCAAGAGATATTTTGACAGGTTCCAAAAAATCAAATACTGCTTCCTCAGTTCCACAAGATGTTGAAACTATTGAAGTCATATCGTCCGACGAAGAATCAACAGCCCAAGCCACTAAAAAGCCAAAAAAGAAGAAATCCAAAAAGTCAAAGCCTGCCAAAGAAACAATGATTATTAAGCTGAAGTACAAACCTCGTCGTGATAGAATTGCTGATTTAGAAAGTAAGATAAGGAATTCTATGGCTTCTTCAGTTTCAGCAAAAGATTTATTCAAAAAATTTGACAAAAAGCAAGAGATGGTGGTGAATCTGAGTATCGCTCCAGAAAAGCTGAAAGAATTTGAAAAAGTTGACAACTCGTTCTTCACTAAAGGATCATCCACTGTACCTGGTGCAAAATCTTATCTTGATATGTTGTCATATAAACCAGTTACGGTCAAAAATTCAATATCCAAACTGAAGGAACTTCCGACTCCCACCCCAACTAAAGATCAGCTTCATGTTACGTATGATAGTGATCCAATCCAACACAGAGAAATCTCACTTGAAATGAAAAGTGAACGAATTATAGAGGATATAGATTATTCATCATTTGTCAACCCTCCAACAACCCATAAACTCAGTGAGATTGATTATTCCTTAAAAATCATTCAAGATTATGATTTGGTTTCAATTGCTAAAACATTCGTGCCAGCTATTGAATCAGATTATAGATACTCAAGGTTTCTTCATATGTTATCTAATCCAAATGAACTAGAGAACACCACTAATGACCTATGGACCAATTTTTTTAAACCAAAAACTTCAAAAGAGGTTTTGTTTGATGTTAGAAAGACCAAGGCTATGAGGCAATGGCTCAAGAATTCTTTCAAAATATTGAAGAAGAAGACTAAAAGACCAAACTTTAGGAAGCTTCGAAAAGGTGATGTTGATGAATTTGACGATTTTATTACTGATGAACTTGATGATGACACGGAAGACGAAGAATACGTCCCTATAATGATTTTATGTGGTCCCGAAGGTGTTGGTAAAAGCAGTGCTGTGTACACTCTTGTTGAAGAACTTTCAGGTTATGTTTATGAAATCAATGCAAGTCAAGCTAGAGGACGGAAAGATATCATGACCACGTTGAAAGAATTGAGTACTACCCAGTTGGTTCATCAAAACCAGGACACGAAGGATAACGAATTTCAAAAAGGTGTTATTTTATTTGAAGATGTTGATATTTTATTTGAGTCTGATAGAGGGTTCTGGTCTGTCATGGAACACGTCTTGTCAATTTCAAGAAGACCAATCATTTTGACATGTAAAGATATTAGCGTCATTCCATCTCATATTCTTGAGTGTGCATTGAACGAAAAGACACTACACGATATACGAAAACAACCATTAGAAGTTATTTCAGAATATTTATTTTTAATGACCTTGACAAAAAATGTTGAAATTGACCGAGAGATACTTGAACAGATCATCAAAGATAACTCCAATGATTTGAGGAAATGTATTTGTGCTCTTCAGGTCTATTGTGAAATTGATAACCCCCATGGTGATCTCATTAAAATAAGTCATAAACCACTACCATCACCTACTTCCATATTAGAAGAAACAGATTTCAACAAATTGATTGGAGAAATTGATGCTTATTCCGTCTCAGATCTATATGAAAGAGCTTCAAAGTCGTTGGTGAATCATGAATTAATTGAGAATGAGGTGCTTTCAAATGAAGCCTTCGTCAACGAGGAAGAACTGAGGACCTCTCCTCTACCATTTGAGCTCAATATCGGAAAAGAAATCCAAAACTTATTACCTCAATACCCATATGATGACAGTACATTATCTATAGGGAAAATCAAGGACTTGGATAAGTCTTTTTTGAAATCCAAACTAAAATTTGTCAAAAGAATTACAAGAAATTCAGCCATGTCTATGTTTGACTTTGATGAAAATATGGATTCCAAAAACATTTTTGCATTACCAAACTCCACTTACACTACTGATGTCTCACCATTCTTTAGAGTTTTTTCAAGAGAAGAGCTAAGAACAGATATTTATAATTCTAAAGTTTTGAGAGAAACTGAAAAGTCAGCCGAAGAGTTATTCAGAGAAGGATTACTGATAAAGAAAAAATTCAAAGCACAAAGTGATATGCTGCTTCAAGGACCTTTTAGATATTGGAACGTTTAGTTACGCGTTCCATTGCATTATTATTATTCACTTCATTAAATTGCATTAAATTATATAACATTTGCTGTAGATAAAAGTCTTCCACCAGCGAAATTACGCAAAGCCTTGTGTTTCGGTTTGATTTTCTGTAATCTTCTCCATGCTTCCAATATATGCTCTGGAGATAAGGGTTTTGCAGCTTCATCAGGACCATCAAACAAGTGTTTTCTCTTCTTTTCTCTGTCGCTGGTTTGTTTTGCAGAGACTGATAGCTTATTTAAGCTTTCTTCCTCTTGTTTCACAATCAGTGCTTCCTCGGTCAATGAACAAACAATTTCAAAAGTTAAAAACCCTAAAATATCAATAACATCATCACTTGGCTTACCATCACTTAATGCAGAAAACCCAGCCCAATCTTTGAATCTTCTACCTTTACGGAATGTAAATGAAGCTTGACGACATTCTGACCAGTGCACATATTCATCCTTTGTCATATTTTTAGTTCTATCGTCTGCAGTTTTTAATCTTTTCAAAGAAACTAATGTTGCTTCTCTCTCAGCATCGTCAGGTTCTTCATTTTCATCATCTAAAGGTTGTTCAGAAAACATGAACTGTAATTCCCAGGGTAGCCTTATCTTTGATTTTTTCAGTTTCATCATATCATTAGCATTTTTACCACCTTGTCCCATCGAATCATCTATAAGATCAGTTCCTTCAACACCACCGGATTCTTGGTCTTTGGCATTTTTACGAACATCTTTCCATGATAAATAAGTTCTCAATCTGTTAACTTTAGCCTTGTCGCTTCTGATCAGAAAGATGATATCTTCAGGTAAAACTGATTTACTTCCCCTAGCATTTGCTGTCTTTGTTGATTGAACAATAATCTCAACAACTTGTCCTTTCACGATATCTTCAATTAATGATGTTGTCTCTATAGGTGGGTCATTTGTTTCACCACTGACAAACATCATCTGTTGAATCTCTATTCTATATTTGTACTTCTCTGGATTATTCCCGTTCATCTTGATGTCGTAATTCCCTTTGTTGATGTTTTGTGTAGTGAAGTGGAAGCTCATCTTCAAGTTATCTTCTCGATTGCGTTAAAACATCCGGACATTACAAAATGCATTCGCGATTCGCGAATATAAACTACACTGGTGTTGATCTTGAAAGCGTATTTATTTAGTTCTGAAAAAGGGTTTCTGACTTCTATCTTTATACAATCAGCAGTCCAGCACTTCAAAGTAGTCCGATAGCCAGTCTACCACACCTTGAGGTGAATCAGTCACCTTGAAACTATTGGAACAACCAACGTAACCATCTGGGCGAAGAATAATGATTCCAACCTCTGATTCATTTTTATTCTTAAACCAAGTTTGAAAGGCACTTCTTGAATTTTGAAGGTCAAGATATACTGACCATCTGTATGGTTGGAAGAAATTAGGCAATTCCTCCAATTCAAATTCATTATTGTGCTTTTCAGGTGCAGTAACAAATGAGATGGTGAATAGGCTTGAGACTGGTGTATATCTCTTGTGATTCAATGAATCGAGTTTAGTCTTAGATTCATTCACATTGGTTTGATGGTAAATTTTTGAAAACTTGGTTTGATTTTGTTCCACAATAGCACTAAAATTTTGTAAGAACTCTTGAGACTTTGCAAAATTCTTTGCCCCAAAACAAATATGGAATTGACCAAAGACTGGAGTAACAGTTTCCAATTGGACAGGGTTTGAATCAACATATCTCAAAACGTTGACTGGAGGAGGTAGAACACCAGGTTCTAAAATTTCATTGCGAGTACCCTTGTTGAAAACATTGTAACTATAACTAGCACCAACACCAGCAATAAATTTGACATTTTGTTCAAAATTTTTAGATAAAGCAACAGAGTCACCAACTTTATAAGCACTTGTATGGATTTTATCAAAATCAATCAAGTCTTGCCCAACTTTTTGTCTTTCAGATTGGTAAGTAAACAATGAGTCTGGTGATCCAAAACCTTTCACTGCCAGTGCCAATTTCCATGCCAAATTCCAACTATCGTGCATCGAAACGTTCATACCTTGAGCAGCATTTGCAGAATGAGTATGTGAAGCATCACCGGCAATGAATGCTCTGCCTCTATCGACAAATGAAGTTGCAACACCTTGACGAACTCTATAAATGGTAAACCACTCAACAGATTCCCACTCAAGTGTGAATGGACTAACAATTCTCTTTGCCATATCTTTGATAATTGGTTGAACTGATTCTAAATCCTCATATTGGAACTCTGGTGGAAGCTCGATATAGAGTCTAGTCATACCTCGTTCACGAGGGATACCTAATATACTTCCATTTGATTTTGATTTGATAATAGTTTTATTCCAAAAATCGGGAAAGTCTGATTTTAAAACACCATCAATGACAGCCCACCTCAGAGTTGTGACATCTGCATTGAATTCACTATTTGGCATAGCATTGCGAACAGCTGAACGAGCACCATCACCACCAACGATATATTTAGATCCAACAACATAGTGTTCCCCAGTGGTAATATCTTTGAATTCTGATTGGACAGGGTATTCATTACCTTGATCAATGGTGTAGGTGATAAACTTCTGGGATCTTTTAACATCAACATCTCTTGTTGCCAAATCATCAATTAAAGTTTTCTCAATGACACCTTGATTAACAAGCAAAATATATGGATTTCTGACATCAACAATATCTGAAGGATAATGTGAAGCTCTTCCAGTTCTAACCAAGGTTGAATTGGGACCTGGTTTCCAGTACGTAATATCATAAACTTTCACAGCTTGTGCTTCAATAGTTCTGAACAATCCCAGTTGAGTTAAAGTTTCTGAAGTTTTTGGTTGTAATCCATCAGCTCTTCCATTTGCAGTTGACTCAGTTCTTTCATCATAGACGTGAACATTCACACCACAACGAGCCAAGACAACCGCTTGCATCAATCCAGCAGGACCAGCACCGACAACCAATACATCAACATTGTCTTTGGTGGATGGTTTGGCTTGTGAATCTGCATTGACTGATGGCATTTTGATACTAGTTGTTTAGCAAAAAGTTCAGAGCCGACGTTGAACCAACAGAGAATTCAATCAACTTTTATAGCTGAAGCTGAACTATTGATTCATACCAATTGACGAGTCAGCTTCCCCTTTACATCTATTACTTGAGCATCAGTCATGAATTACCACCAGCAGTACTAACAACCCGATCAGGTACTGTATTCATAACCTTCACCGATTGAAAGCCTGGGATAATGGTTTAACCAAATACTCCATGATGGCAACTGGACTAAAATGGTCCTTGATTTAGTTTGTGTCAGTCAAGTTTTGGAGAAAGCTAGGTTGCAAATCTTTTGAGCGACTTCTCCAACATAGGGACTTTTCCGCCCTCAAAACAAGCTTTAAAATCAAGATAACAACAAACTGGACATCCAAATCATCAACAAATTGCCTGTAACCAGCTTGCTTTAATGCTTGATTATCTTTTGAAATGTAGAAGGCCTCGACAAGTTGGTTGTCCGTTAAAAGTATCGAAAGCGAATAAACCCAGACACCACGGCTCTGACAGCCATCATGAGGAAGAGGTCAACATTGACTAGTGAAAAGTTCATCTTTTGCACAAAATAAAGCACTTTTTATTCCAAATGGCCAATCATGTCAGAGAATACTGTCCCACTTGAGGAGATGACAAACATTACAGAGAACCCAGAGTCAATTGAGGTGAGCTGTCCAGCTGGAGCCAACATCATCAGTTTAACATCAGCGTTGAAGCCAACCAGTCGAAGTGCTCTCTTGATTTTGAACCAACCGATAGTGATACCCAGGTTTAAAGCTCTCTGGGATAATTTCCAACTGAAAATCTGTGGAGACGGAGGAGCTAACCAGTTGTTTAGGCTATTCACAACCGATGAAGAGAGAAAGCTTTATTTACCACACTACATTATCGGGGATTTAGACTCTTTGGAGAATGATGTTAGAAGCTGGTACGAAAGTCACGGTGTTGAAGTGATACCCCAAACTACTCAATATGCTACTGATCTAAACAAATGCTTAGATGCAGTAGAGGTCTATTACAATTTAAAAGATTTGAATCAAGAATTTGTTGCTAAAGAGATTGACCATTATGATGGATTGATCAAACTACATTCTAATATAAAGAGTCACAACGCTATACAGTGTGTATTACTTGGTGCCATTGATGGGAGATTTGATCATACTATTCAATCAATTTCACTTTTGTTCAACTTATCCAAGACAAATCCAAACCTAAGACTATACTATCTATCACCAACTGATTTGATCTTTATGATTCCAAAAGGGGTCAATCATCTAGAGTATGAGAACTTGAGTGCTATTCATGGATCAAACTGTGGATTACTACCCCTTGGTGGGCCAGTGAAGCTGACAACTCATGGGTTCAAATGGGATGTTGCTAATTGGGAAAGTTCAATAAAAGGTAGTGTGAGTAGTAGTAATAGATTGGTTGGTGTGAATGGTGCAACTATAGAAAGTGACGATGACTTGATTTTGAATATTCAAGTTAATCACCAAGAATTAAGCTTATGAAATAATGAAATGCAGTAATGACTTTCAATTTCTTGATCTGTAGGAATTTGAACTACTCGATCTTACAGGACTTCTTTCCCTATTTCTAGAATTTGGTCTTTTCTCTTCCTCAGTGTGAACTTCACCAGTTTTACGATTGATCATCTTCACAGGGACATAAGTCTTATCAATTGGCTTTAAACCTCCATCTGATTTGTTGTCTTTAGCACCAAGCCCTAGATATAAAGTTCTTTGAGCAACAGGTATCACAGCTTTCTTATTTTCGTCTTTCTCTTCATTTTGTTCACCTTTCCATCCCATTCCTCGAAGCATTGCTGCACCAAAACTTTCAACTGGTATTCTTTCGTAATCTTCCATGGTGGCCATCTCGGGACGTGATTTAACGTCTTCTTTGAACGAAAGTGTTTCTTGTTCATGTGAGTGTATTGGAGTTGAAGGGTTGCCACTATCATCTGTGGCCTTTGAATCTGCAGATTTCTCTAGGTAGTTTATACCATACTCTAGCTTTGAATTTTCACTCTCTTGTGTAGTGGGTTTAGCAGTCGGGTTGAATCTTTGTTGTGCTTTGTTTCTCCATTGATGGTTTCCTTCATTCTCAATAACAAGTGGACCCTCTTTAGTTATAGGACCTTCTTCTTTGTTGAATGCACCTCCTTCATTAGTATCAAATGTATCAATTTTTTGTTCTTTAACTTCTTCATCTTCCTCTTTAGCAAAACCAAATGGTTTATTTGACTTTTTAGGCAGATTGTTTGTGTCTTTCTTTAGCTTGAACCCTGAAAAACCTTGCTTTGAACCTTCATCTTTCTTCTTTAAAGAGAAACCAACCATTTTCAGGCTTAATCTAATTCAGTTCTTGATGTTTGGATTGTGATGTTGTGAAGAGAAATTGATTTTGAGAAAAACTGTTTGAACAGGGACACACTGGCACCGTTAAGATCCAAATTTCCTTAAACTTGACACAACTATCGTTAAAGTCACTCCTCAAAGGTTTGAGCTGTTATGTTTTAGATTAAAAGTGAAAAGTAATGCCCTAAATTGCTTTATAACAAAAAAAATGGCCTCGATCTACACGATTTTGGTGTCAAATAAGGTTTGTATAAAGATTTCGCGACTAGATTTTTTCAGGTTCGCCAATGAAAGCTCAAGAGACACCATTTAATTTCAACACTCTACTAAGATCCAACCGTCATTGTCCATTTCATACTCTCAATTTGCTCAATAAGTTCGAGTTGCCTCACTGCCTGTCTTTCATGAGCCTCAATTACTTGCTGAAAAGGCGTCTACCCATACAAAAGTCACCATTTGTTTATATCAGGGTGCATAGGCACCTATCCTATACGTCAGTTTCGAGGTACTCTCAAGAAGGTTCAACTAAAGATAAACCCTCCAATAAACCCCCAAGTGAACCAGAGAGCCCCGATCCCACGGATCCTAAGAAACAGAAGACCACTGTGGATAATTTTCTAGAATCAATACGACCCCATTTAAATACTGCACATCAACAATACAACAAAACAAAGACTCAAATCAACAGTGTTATTGTCCCATTTAAATTCCATTTCAACAAGGCAAAAGATGCTATCAAAGAAGCCAATGAGAAACTTGCACAACAAGAACAAGAGAGTCAGAATTATGATTTCAATCAAGATCTAACTAAAAATGGAACAAATGGGAAAACTATTCAAGGTTTACCATCTGAAAGAGAAAGAAAAAGAAGGAAGTGGGCAAAAAAACTGGAGCTATATATTGATTCACTACAAGAAACTATATTCACTGCAACTAGAGCTTTGAATGATGTCACTGGTTATTCTGCAATTCAAAAATTGAGAGAATCTATTGAGATTCTAGAGAAAGATCTTGAGAAAACAAAAGAGGATGCAAGAAATACAAAAGAAGTTTATAGTGATGCAATTGCCAAAAGATTACAGACTCAAAAGGAAGTTAATGAGCTTTTGCAAAGACAGCATTCATGGTCCCCTTCTGATTTAGAGAGATTTACAAAGCTTTACAAAGATGATCATGAAACTGCAGCTTATGAGAAACAAGCTAAAGAAGATATGGAAGCTGCTGATGCGAAAGAAGAAGACATACAAAATAAACTATCCAAAGCTATATTAACACGTTATCATGAAGAGCAGATTTGGTCTGATAAAATTAGAAGAACATCAACCTGGGGAACTTTTGGTCTTATGGGAATTAACATATTGTTATTTCTAGTTTTCCAATTAGCTTTGGAACCTTGGAAAAGAAGAAGATTGGTTGGAAACTTTGAGCAAAAAGTTCAACAAGTGTTGGAGGAGAATGCATATTTACAAAATGAAAAGTTGGATGTTATGAGTAAAAAAGTCGAAGAATTGCAAGAAAGTGATAGGTTGCCTATTCTCAATGAAAGTCTTCGAGCTGAAGTTATAGAAGATCCAATTGAGCCACCAGCGATCCATGGATTACCTTTACCTCCACATCAACCATCATTATTTGGCTATGTATCTTCAGGAGCACACAGCTTCATGAAACATTTCAAACCATCTTACAATTTGATAACTCAAGCTGGTCCAGCAGAGGCTACCATCAAGAAGGAAGATTTGATAACATTTACAACTGCAGCACTGGTTCTTGGTATCTCTATCGGCACATTACTTTCTGGAATTTTCAATTAACACAAATTTACAAGCACATTTGTATATAGTTTAAGAAATCAATTTTGCATACTATAAACTATCTGTCATCTCTTGTAGTGCAAATATGGTGGAAATTTACCCGCAAATCAGCATTTGTCTGATACGCCCACTCTTAAGGCTTGTCAAAAGTTTCGCGAATTCCTTTGAAATCGATCGAAATCGAAACATTTGAGCTTTTGGGTGGCCAACTATATCAACAACAGTCAGTAAAACAACAACATTAACACATTGAAAGACTTATTTTTTGATTCAATTGGTTACTTAAAGGTGTTTCAATAACTATACATAATGGAAGAACTAGGTATACAACCAACAGCAGCACCAAGCTTCGATAAATCCAAAATTGAAAACTTATTCATCAACACTACAAACCAATCTTCAAACAATGCTGATATATATTTGAAATTGAAAAAACTGGAAAAAGAATATGAACTATTGACATTACAAGAAGATTATATAAAAGATGAACAACGTCATTTGAAAAGAGAACTAGTAAGAGCACAAGAAGAAGTTAAAAGAATTCAATCAGTGCCGCTTGTTATTGGGCAATTTTTGGAACCAATAGATCAAAATGTTGGTATAGTATCTTCAACTACAGGTTCCAACTATGTTGTTAGAATCTTGTCAACATTGGATAGAGAACTATTGAAAGCTTCTGCTTCAGTTGCCCTACATCGTCATTCAAATGCTCTTGTGGATATTTTACCTCCAGAAGCTGATTCGAGTATTGCCATTTTGGGTGATGGTGAAAAACCAGACGTTACTTATGCAGATGTTGGTGGTTTAGATATGCAAAAGCAAGAAATTAGAGAAGCTGTTGAACTACCATTGACACAAGGGGATTTATATGAACAAATTGGTATTGACCCACCAAGAGGTGTCTTGTTATATGGTCCTCCAGGTACTGGTAAAACCATGTTAGTTAAAGCTGTTGCCAACAGTTCAACTGCCTCTTTCATTAGAGTCAATGGTTCAGAATTTGTCCAAAAATATCTTGGTGAAGGTCCTCGTATGGTGCGTGATGTTTTCAGATTAGCTAGAGAAAATTCACCATCTATTATTTTCATTGATGAAATTGATGCTATTGCCACTAAGCGTTTTGATGCTCAAACTGGTGCTGATCGTGAAGTTCAACGTATCTTGTTGGAATTGTTGAATCAAATGGATGGTTTCGATCAAACTTCAAGTGTCAAAGTTATTATGGCAACAAACAGAGCTGATACATTAGATCCTGCATTATTAAGACCAGGTCGTTTAGATAGAAAAATTGAATTCCCATCATTAAGAGATAGAAGAGAACGTCGTTTGATCTTTTCCACTATTGCTTCAAACATGTCACTATCTCCAGAAGTTGATTTAGATTCATTGATTATTAGAAATGACCCACTATCAGGTGCAATCATTGCTGCTATTATGCAAGAAGCTGGGTTGCGTGCTGTCAGAAAGAACAGATATGTTATTTTACAAAGTGATTTAGAAGAAGCTTATACTGCACAAGTCAAGACTGATAGTGAAGTTGATAAATTCGAGTTCTATAAATAGTCTAAACAAATACAACTCATCAAGATCCATTCAATTAAATGTAGATATTATATCAGTTGTGTGATATTGTAAACATCAATACCTGGTCTGAGAGTTCTAAAATCTTCAAAATCAAGATGGTCCAGGTCCAAGTGATAGTCATAGCTCCATATTTTTTCAATTGAGAATGTATTGTTTAATCTTTCAAGTAATGGTATTGAAGAGCGAGGTGTAATTAAGAGTGATTGATCAAATTTCTCGAGAACCACAGCTAAACTATTAACATCTGCACCCATCAAATCAATCATATGATTACTATCAGTATTGTGAATCACATCCTTTTCAGATATTGTCAAGTTCTGATTAGCCAAAATATAAGCTGGAGGTTTGTAAGTTTTCCACCAAATTTGAACACCACCATATTGAACCTCTCTTAAATGATCCAAAGTTACTAGGACACCTCTTTGGTGTAATGATCCCATGATGACACCAAAAACAAGATTGAAAACACACCATAATCTCATTGTCCATACAATTATAGCTGGACTAATGTTTTGGAAGTCAATACACATACAAATCAATGGAACTAATGGTGTTAGGAATCTGAGCTCTTGATGAGGAATAACTGATAATATGAACAGTCCAGACACTATTGAAAGAAATGGAATGCTGGTCGTATATCTGTTTTTGTATAACAGTGGGATCAATACAGGACCAGCAAGCTGTGGTAGGTTGATCAGAAGGTGTGTGTAGTAAGGGTGAAGACCATGTTGAGCAAGATTTGATGAATCTTTGTTATAAAGAAAGTTGTTCAATGGTGTGATTAAAATATGATCTGAGCCAAATAATTTGGTATCAAGTAATATGAGGATCAATGAAGTTATGGTGAAAAACACCGTGAATGTGATTGCTGTTGACTTGAACCTTTGGAAATGTTTTAGTAAGAAGAATGATGGAATGAACAAAAATGCCACAAATGTGATCCTGTTAAATATACCCAGACTCATCACAATACCCAATAAGGCTATCAACCCATTGGATCTTGTTGGGTTTTTCAAGTTGGATTGAAGTTTCAAGATATGCAAAATTGATAACGCAATAAGCAAAATTTGAGTCTCTATGCTATTCGAAAATGTATGAGATTGGTAAGTCCATGTGACATATGATGAAAAAATGAAATAGATTGTTTTGGAACCTTCTTGTTTGGATTGAGTGATGATCCTTGTACTCCATTGTGCAATGAATATGTATGAAACAACTAATTGTAGTCTAGCTATGTACAACAAAGCCAATGGATTGAACTTGAACAGTTTATTGATGTAAAGAAGAGGACCATAAATTAAGTATAAAACTGCATAACTTCTGCTTGGATTTGAAGAAAACTCCCAAGGAATATTTGTTTTATAGTTGTAAAATTTATCTTCAAAAGGTTAATACTTATTAATATCTTTGGTATGGTTTTTTTCAACTCACTTGTTAATACTTCAAAACTTTGGAAATGCTCATCTGGGTGGATATATGACGGTTCCAGGGCAAAGTAAAACAGCAAAGCATAGCTGATATAATGGAAAGTTTTCCAGTCTGCCATTCTAATAGTATTCAACACTGGCTATTTAGCTTTTTTAACCACTTTAGCTCAGTTTCTACTTCATTTATACCCAAAAATCCACGTATTGAAAAAGCTGATTCGCTCTATAATTTCAAAGTTGTAGTGGCCGTATCCAATTCTGGCCCACCAGCAAAAAAAAACTTCAAAACAAACAACATGGAAGAAAAAAAGCCCTATACAAAATTCAAAGCGTTAGAGCCATAACCCAGAAGCAACCCTCAGAGACAAGCTGGACACTTTACAATGGAGGCACAACTCATCTCAAATGCATTGCAGGCCACCTTGGACCCGGTACCTGAGGCCAGAAAGCAGGCCGAGCAGCAATTGGCCGAGTTCGAGAAACAGCCAGGTTTCACTGTTTACTGTCTTGATCTAGCTGTTGATCCATCATCGTCAAATACCGTGAAAAGTTCAGCTGCAGTTTACTTTAAAAACAGAATCTCAAAATACTGGAAAGATGAGAGTGATAGAGCCATCAAGCCTGAAGAACAAGAAACAATCAAAACCAAGTTGATAGAGTCCTTGGTGAAGTGTTATGATGATAGCCACATTAGACCACAATTGGGCCTAGCTGTCAGAAACGTTTTACTACGCGGTGCTTGGTCGTTAAATGAACCAATACACCAGTTATTGAATTCAAAGTCAGATATTGCACATGTATACACCGGGTTGCTATTGCTGTTTGAAGCTACAAGATCTCAAAGATGGGCTTTCACTGATAGAACATTGATTGATACTTACATTGAACAAACATTCCCAATTTTAGAAGTCCTTGCTTCTGAAATTTTGAATAATACTGATTATCGCTCTGGTGATATGTTATACTTGATCTTGAAAATCTTTAGATATTCAACAATATCTGCCTTACCAAAATATTTTTATGATGTTAATAAGCTTTCCACATGGATTTCATTACATTTAGCTGTTGTTCAAAGAGACTTACCCAAAGAAATTCTTGATCTTGAACCTGCTGATAGATCATTTGATAAAAGAGTCAAGGCATTTAAATGGGGGTTTGGTAATTTGCACAAGTTTTACACAAGATATGGTTTACCAACAAGTAAAAACACTAGTCCTGAATTTATCAATTTTTTCAATGCTAGTATTGTTCCAGAAGTTTTGAAAGTTTATTTTGGTATTATAGAGAAATGGAGTGGTGGTTTATGGTTGAGTGATAATTCATTATATCATTTGATTTCATTTTTGGAGAAGTGTGTTATGACAACTTCTTGGAGTTTGATAGAACCACATTTTGAAATCATACTGAGACATTTAGTCTATCCTGCGTTATGTCAAGACAATTTGGAATTATTCGAAGATGATCCGGAAGAGTACATTAGAAGATATTTTGATATTTATAGAGAGTCAAGCACCGCTGACGTTGCAGCTACTGATTTCCTATTTGTCACTTCTCATCACAGAACTGAAAAATTGTCTGTGGTTTTGAATCTTTTGAATGAAATTTTCAGTAGCTTCAGTCAAGATCAATCAGAAGTGAATGCATTGAAAGCTGAAGGAGGTTTAAGAATTTTGAGTTCAGTTTCTATGCAATTATCAAATGAAAAATCACCAGTCAAAGATCAAGTTGACCAAGTTATTGATGGATTTGTTGTCCCACTACTTACAAACAAACACCAATTTTTGAGAGCAAGAGCATGTGAAACCATATCCATTGTTACATGCAGCTATAAAAACACATCAATTTTATCAAGAGTCTTTGAAGGTGTTTACAACAATTTCAAAGATGATTCAAGTTTGGCCATTCAAGTTGAAGCTGCTGCTGCATTGAAAGTGTTGATTGTTGAACCACCTGTTGTTGAACAAATCTCACAAGATGTACCAACTATCATGCAAAAATTGTTGCATCTTTCAAGATCGTATGAATTAGATATGATTGGTGAAGTTATGGAATCATTTGTTGAAGAATTCTCCACCCAGTTAGAACCATTTGCTCATGATTTGGGTTCAACATTATGTGATCAATTCATTCGCACAGCTACCGAGTTATTAGAGCTACAATCAACACATTCAAATGGTGGTGGTAGTGATGGTGAAACTGAAAAAGAATACCAAGCTGTCGGTTATATCAATACAATGACCACAATGACAATTTCAATGGGTAAAGTTGACCTTGAAGAAGTTTTTGCTCCAGCTATCAAATTTGTTTTGCATAATGCAGCAATTTCATTCTTAGGCGAAGCTTTAGAATTAGCTGAAAGTTTAGCAATGGCTAGAAAGACAATCTCACCAGTCCTATGGGACTTATACAAAGAGGCAATTGATTGAAAGGAAGAATAATAAGTTTCAAAACTCTGGTTATACAGAGGAAGAATTATTGAAACAACAAGAGGAATTGTTTCGTCAATCAAGATCAAGATTACAGAATCAAGGTCCAAAAGCTGAAGATGGTGAAATTAAGAGTGAAGTTAAGGCTGAAGAAATATGATATAAAAACGGAGTTGATAATGATGATGACGATGATGATGACACCACTAGGGGTGTGTGTTATGTATATTATTAAGGAACAAGAGGTTTAGTTTTGTGTTGTGATTTTTAGTCTTTGTTATATATAAAATGGGATTCGGGAATCACATGTATTGAATAATGTAAGGATTCTACAACATTTTAGTTTCTGCATAAATCATTTTAATTTTTTCACTTCTAATAAGGCTACTTCTATATTGTATTGATGGATTGATATGTTTATTGTGATAAGTTCAACAAATTATTAGTAGCGTTGACTTTATCTGGTGTTAATGAACCCATGATTGCATTATATCTATCTGGAATTGCACTTTGAAGGCCTCCAAATTTGACCTTAAATTCCATAAATATATTGACGTCATCCAATGGAGTATCTTTGAATGAGTCTTCATCATCATCATAATCATCATCACCATCTTCGTGTTGATCACCCTTCAATAGAGCTTGTCTCTTGTGTAAAGCCTCAGGTAATTTTTCAATTGATGATATCAATTTTTGACCAAACTGTGGAATGAATGCTTCAATAGATTGTGGTAATTGAGGTGCTGATAATAACGATAATAGGGCCAAACTTTGTAGTTTCAAACCATAAACGTTATTCAATACAGTTGACAAATTGTACCATATTTCAAAGACTCTAACAGTTTCGTTATTTTGCTCCAAGATTTGCAATGTCTTTAGAGGGTCAATGAAAAGTGAAGCTAACAATACCCTAGCAAATCCTAATGGAGGTAAGTCTTGTTCTTTGAAAATCTTCAATGATAATGGGAATAAATCACCAACTTCTTTTAGAGTCAATGTCAAATATTCAACAATTTCAAAACATCCTTGATTATCAAAATCAACAGGTGAATTTAAAATTTCTGTAATAACATTTGTTAAAGGTGTGACTTGTGGAGAGCTTAAATTCAAGCCTTTAAATCCATAAACAATGATGTTTTCAAAAAATGGAACATAAACTTCAGTGAATTCAGCTGCAAACGTTTGAAATGTCTACCTTTCAAGGATTCTTTATGTTCCACTAACGCTTGTTCAATAGGCGCTATATAATCAGTAAATCCCAATTCTTGTAATGCTTTGATGACATGGTCCGAAGCAATAGTTTTCTTAGCTTCTTGTTCAGCTATTTCATTCGATTGATCTGAAAGTATCATTATGAATTCAATGCAGCATTCAATTACAACATCTCTAGCTTCTTTGGAAAACGTCAAATCATGTGGTAAAACTTCTCCTATAATCTTTTGAACAGTAGCTAATACAATTGACAGTTAGTAAAATGGTCTCAAAACACCCCCGGCAAAATCCGACATACCTTTTGGAAGCGTTAGATCCTCATTACTGGATCCACCGAAATCAGTCATCTTTCTCAATCGCTTTCAAATGGTTTCAAAGTGTCTTCAATCAACGATTCTTGCCCAAATTCCATTTGTTTTGATTGTTTATGTATAAACGTAATAATTTTTTTGGCATGAACCATTTGCCGGGTAAATTTCGCGAATTGTCAAAATCACTGGTTGGGGCACATCTTCAAGAGGTAAAAAAATTTTAAGAAGCTCATCTCTTTAATAAGGCTAGATCAAGTGCAATTCTGAGTATAGAAGACCTATAAGATCATAAGCTGTCTTTGGTATAAGCTGCTTTGAATTCATCTGTACATATTGAAACTGCATTCAAAATGGGTTCTGTTCTAGCTGCTTCAGATTTCGATCCTAGTGGGAATTACTTTGCGTCTGCTGTGACAGCATTAGATACACACAAGATTAGAGTCCAATCCACAAATTCTACTTCTACATTAGCCAATGCATTTTCATTAGATAAAGGTCATAAACTTACAAGTATATCTTGGGGTGTGTTTTCCACCGTGAATTCTTCAAAGCAACAACGTAAAAAGAGAAGACAATCTAATGGGTTCAACATTGAGAATCAATTTTTAGCTGTTGGTTTGAATAAAGGATCTATATTGATATATTCACCATTAACTAATGAAGTCATATCCAAGCTTGAAAACCCAAATGCATCTGCCATCAATGATTTCCATTATTCAAGTTTGACCAACTCAGGTTGGTCTATTGATTTGGGCCAAAATGTTGTTGAGTGGGATCTAATATCATATAAACCAAAAAGACAATTTAACATTCAAGAATCCATAAACCGTATCAGAGTTATTGAATATAATGAAAAACCACATTTATTGTTAGCATCACATAGTGTCTTGCTTGTTGATATAGAAACTCAAGAAGTGATAAAGACATTTCCTGGTCATATTTCACCTATCCATACTTTACTCCCAATAACTTCAAACTCATTCATTACTGCTGCTGAAGGTGATAGATATATAAATATATACCCATTAGAAGGAGTACCAACTGTTTTGGTCACACAGAGTAATGTTATCTATGTATCATATGGGAATAATACAGTTAGTGCTGTTACTGAAGATGGTATAGTGGAAGTTTTCAAAGACCCATTCACTAAAGCTCCTACAACTTCAAAGAGAAAAGGCCAACAGTCTAAACAATCAAATGGTAGAATTGAACTAAAACGTCCAAACTCTTCAGACTCATTGAAAATTGAACACTCGTTTATAAATGATGGATCAATCACAATAACTTGGTTAGAACAAGCTAGTATTCCATACTTTGAGAAAATCCAAATCAATGATATAACTGAAACAAAAACCGTTCTCAAGGATAAACCAACCATACAGGCTAAAGATCATAGTCTTTTCGGTCAAGATGTTGCTGCACCAAAGTCATATAATGAAAGTAATGCTGTTGTTACAAGCGGTGACAATTTGAAATTTTTAGATAATAAAGAAACACAAGAGGATGAACAAGAGGATGAAGATGAAGAAGATGGACCAACTTTGGCTGAAAAATTGGAAGCATTGAAAGTTCAACAACCAGTTTCAAAGAAAAAGCAAGGAAGAGCCACAGCTGGAAGTTTGGTTGTTGTTTTGACTCAAGCATTAAAAGCTAATGATCATTCCTTATTGGAAACTGTTTTAAGTAATAGAGATGAAAACGTTTTGAAAACTACTGTTCAACGTTTAGACACCTCGTTGGCCGTTACTCTATTAGAAAGATTAGCTGAACGTATTGCTAGACAAACACATCGTCAAGGTCAATTAAACATTTGGGTTAAATGGGTTATGGCTGTACATGGTGGTTATTTGGTTAATGTTCCGAATTTGTCTAAATCATTATCTTCATTGCACTCAACTTTATCAAGAAGAGCTTCCACTTTACCAAGGTTATTAGAACTACAAGGAAGATTAGATGTTTTATACGCTCAACAAGAAATAAGACAAGCAAATAAAGAACATGGTGAAGATGATTATCAAGGTTCTGACGAATCAGATGTTGAATATATTGAAGAATTGGAGGATGCTAACTTGATCGATGATGGTGAACAAGACTTCTATGAACAAGATGAAGAAGGATTTATGAGCATTGATGAATCAAGCGAGGATGAAGAAGCCCCAGTTGCTGATAAATTGAATGATAGTGAAGTTGATGATGAAGCAGGTTATAGTGACGTTGAAGTTAATGGTAATGGTAAAATAGAGGAGGACAGTGAAAGTGAAGATGAGCAAGAACAATTGAAGAAGAGAATTGCAAAGTTAAAGGCAAAGCAACAACGTAAGTAATGGGGTTTTACACTTTAATTCAATGTTATAAAGTAAGAAAGTGCATTAATTTATAGAAAAGTTGTATCATAAAAAATAAATAATTCAAAATTACACAACACTAGTTTGGATGAAGAATTTCATTCCCCATCGATGATAATAGTTGGCTCAATCTTTGTAAAATTATCATAAAATGATTTGAACAATGCAACTTGTTTTTCAATATCAACGGTACTTGAAGTTTCCCTAATGGAATGCATACTTAAAACACCATTACCTAAATCTAGGGTTCTAATACCTGTCTTGGAGGCTAAGATTGGACCAATTGTACTACCACATGGGGAACCATTAGCAACAACAAACAATTGTAATGGGACTTTAGCCTTCTTTGCAACTTCCTTCAACAAAACAATACCAGGACTATTTGTTACATAACGTTGATTAGCATTAACTTTAATAACTGGTCCTTCTCCTAATTTTGGTTTATGTTTAGATTCATATTTCCCGGTATAATTTGGATGTATACCATGAGCAACATCTGAAGATAAAAAGAATGACTTAGCTGATGATTCTAGAGTGAATGGTAAAGGTTTGGTGGATTCGCCTTTATCACCGGTTAATCCAGTAATTCTATCCAAAATGTTTGGTAGAAAGTTAGAATCAGCACCTTGAGCTGATGATGATCCGATTTCTTCATGATCAAACAAGGAGACTAAACGGATACCATTTTCATCTTTCAAAGATTCAGTAGTGACAGATTCCACTAAACCTTCAATAGATGTGAAGCATGAGGTCAAATTATCTAGTCTTGCACTAAAGATGAATTCATCATTTAACCCACCTAAAGTTGCTGGTTTATGATCATAGAGTACCAATTCAAAATCCTCAATATCTTCAACGGTTACCCCTGCTTCTTTGGCAATTAACTCAACCAATTGCTCATCATGTCTTTGAACAACGGTGTTTAAAGATTGGAATTCTTCAGTTGATAATTCTGAGCCTTCACAACAGCCACCTTTACTTTTAACTTTTTTATCTTCTGGGATTGCATTATCAAGACCAGCAATTGGTAATAATTGTGATTCTTTGTTAAATTCAAAAGTTTTGTTAACATCTCTGTCTAAATGAATAGCTAAAGTTGGAATTTTCAATAATGGTTTTTTGATATCAATTAATTTAGGAACAAACAACCCATCTTGTTTAACAATAACTCTACCAGCGACACTTAAATCAGAATCGAACCAACTGTGCCAGATACCACCACCATACAATTCAACACCAATTTGAATGAAGCCTTCAGCGTTTCTTTTGGAAACAGGTTTAATACGTAAACATGGAGAATCAGTATGAGCACCAACGATTGAGATACCATTACCTGGGGCCCATTTCTCACCCACTGTGAATGCGATGATTGAAGAAGCGTTTCTAGTGACAAAATATTTACCACCTTTCAACACTTTCCCAGGCCAATTGTCTCTTTCTGAAAGTTCTTGGAAGCCATTTTTAGTTAATTTAGCCTTCACATTGTGAACAGCATGATATGGAGTTGGAGATGCATTCAAGAATGACACAAAGTCTAGAGAGAATCTATTAGTATTTACTAGCAGAAAGTAACACTAGTACGTACCATTGGCATATTTAAGAGTCGTTGAAGACATTTTCCTTAGAGATGAAAAGTTCATCAATGGATTAGAACCAAAGTTTCAACCAAATTGTTATATTTCAAACTTTGTTCGCCGATCTGAAGAGTCCGAAATACAAAACGCATTCGCGGATATTTCTTTCGCGACTCATCTTCGCGAATTGGGTGTGGCCCTTGTCCAAAAGTTGACCCGCGGTCTCAAAAAAAATTTGTGTCTTATCGAAACGTTTAGCTTAAGGATATTAGAAAAAAGGGTACAACTGTGCTTCCAAGTATTTGGTGAGGTTTGCAATAACTTTGGTATCCTTGCTTGCTATCCTTTTTATTTAAATAGAAAATAATTGTTGAAGAAAAATGACTGATAATCAAGATATTGAAGACTCTAAAGTCTACATTAGTTATAACCATGTCCATCAATTGATTCAAGAAGCTGCTCCAAGATTAAAAAACTTCAACCCAGACTTAATCATTTGTGTTGCTGGTGGTGGTTTAATTCCAGCTAGACAAGTTCGTACTTTCTTGAAGGAGCCAGGCTCACCAAATGTTCGTATTATGGCTGTTGTTTTATCCTTGTATGAAGACATAGGGTCAGTTTCAACTCAAGCTGAAAAACTAGGTAAACAAGTTGTTCGTACACAATGGTTGGATTATATCAACACTGACTTCACTCTTTTGGGTAAAAACATTCTAATTGTTGATGAAGTTGATGACACTAGAACCACTTTAAATTATGCTGTCACTGAATTGAAGAAAGATGTTGAAGAACAAGCAAAGGCAAAAGGTATTGATGTTAAAGATGCTGGAACCAACTTTGGTATTTTTGTTTTACATAATAAACTAAAACCAAAGAAGGCTGATTTACCACCTGAAGTTTACAATGAAAAGAACTATATTGCTGCCAGAGATATTGAAGATGTGTGGATTGCTTACCCATGGGAATCTAATGACATTGTTTATCACACCAAAAGGGCTGTTGAACAAGGAAATGATGTTTTTTTACCATGAAATGACTAATGTAATAATAATAATTTAAAGAATATGTATATTAGGCATTAATTAATAAAGTGGAGTATATATAGTATGCATGATTGTATGTACTTAGACTTTTCTTGTTTTTGATAGTGCAAACATTTTGGAAACACCTTTCTTGAAAGGAACTTCTATATGCAGTTCACCATTATCCATATGAGTGTTCATATCTTCGGCGATTTCATCTCTAGCAATCAAGTGGGCTCTTAAAACCCATAAACTCATTGCTGCTGCAAAATAACAACATCCACACCATATTGCAGGATGTTGATACTGAATTGGTGAATATTCTTGTCCATTTGGTGGAGCTGCCCTTAGTTGAATACCAATTAATGGAGAAACTGTACCAAAAATACCTACAATAACCCAAATCATACCCAAAGTAACACTCAATTTTTTCAATCCAACAACTCTTGAGACAACAGTACCTAAGACGGCCCAAATAGTCCCCATCAAACTACCTTGGATAATAGCAAATGCAATAGCACTAGCATAATTTCGAATTGGAATCCACATTGCAAAGCAAAATAATGCAACTAAGAAATGTGCAACGATAGCAACTGAGATAGCACCAAACTTATCAGAGAAATAACCAACTGTAGGTCTTCCAAAGAAGACACCAACAGAAATCATACAAGAAACAATGGCACCTTGAGATCCAGAATAACCTAACGATTTAGTAAAATCTGCTAAATTGTATAATAAGACAACATATCCCAATAATGTAGTTGCAATCCAAAAAGAAACAATCCAAAATCCAAATTTTTTCAAAAGTGTAATATCAAATACTTCTAAAGTTGGTTTGACATGTTGATCTCTAGTTCTTGTTAATAAACATCCGAAAATTGTAACAACGGCACAAATGATTGCTTGAACAATCAATGCCCATTTAACATCTTTAACTTCAATAATCCTTTGCAATGCAAGATTGAACATGACACCACCAGCTCCAGATCCTGAAGCTGATAAACTTTGAGCTAATGATCTCTTTTCTCTAAACCATTGTGGCAATAAAGTATTTGCAGGGATACATACAAATGCTAACCCAAAACTGATCAATAAACCTTGAGTCAAATATAATTGCCAAATCTTCTTACTGAATGCAGCAAGCATTATACCACAAAATTGAAAAGCACAACCTGTCAATATACAGATTCTTGGGCCAGTTAGTGTGATATAATAAATAATTATAGGTGCTAAGAACAACCCACAACCAAACGCAATACCACCAATTGCAGCATAGTCTATCTTGGAAGCATTAGCGAATTGTTGATACTGTAAATAATGTGCTAAATAAATGGAAAAAGCAGAATTTGAAGCCCATGTTGCAACATTGAAGCAAAACACCGCAAGAACAACAAACCAACCATAACCACCATCAGGAACATCAATAATATTTGTTTGTGGTTGTGTCTCTAGTTTCTCTGGATCTTCTTGATTGTTCATGTTATCAGAACTTCCTTGATCTAATTGGGTTTCGTTTACGCTTCTTTTTTCTGGATCTTGATCTTTTTGATTGTTATCACTGAACAACATATTGTACTTCTATAGATAAGCTTCGTCAAACACTTTTGCACCCTCTTGTCCTTTGAACTTCTTGTCGTTGTGGCATGAGTGGTGTTGAATTTCACAACAGCGTCAACTTGGCAAGTATTTATATCAATCTCGTTTGCCCTGTGAATGGAAACCAGTAAAAATGACTTTATGACTGTTTTCCTGTTCTTGAAAAAAAATTACTACTAGTCCCTAATTTGAGGAGCAACGCCGGCCTAAATCCGTTATAGACCTCACTTTAAATAGCCGATAATTCATGGTTAAGTCCGCAGACCCCTTTTTCAGCCTCAGCCGGTCTGAGTCTTGGTCCTTGCCTTCCTATTTTGAACGCATTTACCGTCTAAATCCGCACTCGAGATCCAAAAAACCTCAAGCGAGTCTTATGACCTGAATAAAGGGTGCTGAAACTAATGAGAAATTAAGGTGTAACTAAACGGGCTTAACGTTTATTAGTGGAATTAGTAACCTCTAAGTGCGGTATAAATGACGGATCTAACAGTGCTGTTTTTGATGTGATCTTCAGCTAAATGGCAATACATATTGCAGTAATATAGATATTGAGTCGAGCAGTATCAGTAGTTGTACACGGCCGCTACTCAATTGTCTATTGTACTGAAAGTTGAAGCTTGTTCCATTACAGGCGGTTGCCAATAAAGAATCAGCAGTCTTATGATTGAGGCTTACATTTTTATCGGTATGAGGTTGGTTCTTCGTGAAAAGAAAATGTCTGTCAGTTCGAACGGTCACATAAGGTTTGTACGAATTGATCAAAAGGGTGAACCATTATTGTCACTAGAAGGCAATGGAATGTTCAATGAAACATTTTGCGAAATATATATAGCTAATGGAAGCTATAGGCTGGGATAAATTGTTCATGAAGTATGAGAGGTGCTGTTTATTAAGTGAGTCAACAGACAATTACACCATTAATCCAGATCATTTTAATGACTTCCCAGCTAGCTTTTAATTGAAATAGTTGCAAGAAATTCACTGTGGCTGGCTGGCTGTTGGAAGTGGAAACTTCAGGCAACACAGCTAGTTTGCGGTTGACTAGATCGAATGTAAACTGAATCGTATATTCAATATCATATTTGTGCCGGGCTGACTTCGGAGAAACAACATGTTTAACGTTATTGAACGATCGCAAAAAAATGGGATATCGCCACCTGTCTTTACCTTTCTTTCAATTAGAGTCTTTCAAAGTTACCAATTAGAAAATCAGCTTCAAAACTTCCACTAATTGATGGTTTAACTATTTTTTCATTCATACAATTTATATGACCGTCGGCCTTAACGCTGAAAGCCTTCGGGTGAAACAAAATGTTTGGATCGGCTGAAAATTCTGGAAATGTGTTAACTTGAAAAATATAAACTAGGCACAACTCTCAACAATAGAATCTTTAACAACTACTATTCAAAGACGCAACTTGGTGTTCAGAATTAGACACTGAGAACAGATCACATTATACACATACATAACAAATATGACAGTTACTCAAATCCCAATCTGGTTGGACTGTGATCCAGGCCATGATGATATGATTGCAATTTTGTTATCATGTTTCCATCCAAATTTCAAACTTTTAGGTATCTCTACAACTTTTGGTAACTCATCATGTGAGAATACAACAAACAACACATTATCAATTTTAACCAAGTTCCAAAAGACAGGTATCCCAGTGTATCAAGGATGGAAAGTTCCATTGATCAAGAAACCAAGTTTTGCTCCTAGTATTCATGGGAAATCTGGATTAGCTGGTACCGAACTTCCAACTCCTCAAACCTCAATAGAAAATCCAAGTAGAGATGATAAAGAACAAATTGAACAATTCTACTCATATTTGAAGACACAGGTGGAGAAATATGAAAATGAGATATCAATAGTTGCAACAGGTCCATTAACAAACATTGGTAATTTTTTCCAAAAATATCCAGATCTTAAAGAAAAAGTCAAATTTGTTTCAATAATGGGTGGCGGTATCGAAATATCGAATTGGAAAGCTGGTGAATTCAACATTTGGTGTGATCCTCATAGTGCAAATTTCATATTTCAAGATCCTATTATTGCACCAAAGACCATTTTATTACCTATTGATGTTACGCATACTGCAATTTTGTCAGAATCTGTGGAAAAACGAATTTTGAATGAGCCAAATACAACTCCATTGAGAAAAATGTTGTATGAATTAATGGTTTTCTTCAAAGATACGTATGTGAAAGAGCAAGGTTTTGTTGATGGTCCGCCAATTCATGATCCCTTAGCTGTTATTGTGCTACTAGAAGAATATGGTGTTGAAAACATGGGAATTGAGAGCATTAGATATCAACTAGATACAGTTGAAGAAGGTGAACTTGAAGGGAAATTGGAGTATAAACCTAATGATCGCGGTGTTAAAGTTGTTACAAAGTTGGATATTGAGAAGTTTTGGGAAATCATTCTGAAAGTAATTACCATTGCGGATGGTGACCATGCCGTTGAGTGTTGAAGATATATACCAAGCATATCAATATAGAGCAGAGGATATCAACGGGATTGACCAAGGTCCATGATATGAATTAGTAGCTTTCGGTATATCTAATGTTCCGCGAGAAGACACGATTAATTGTTGTAAAATAAAAGGGAATTGAACAATTATTCACTGTGCACCCGAAATCCAATCTCAATAAACGTCGCATTTTGTAAAATAATGTTTTTTAAACTTTACGATTCGTTAAATTGATGGGAAACGTTGCACTCATTAAAAAGATGTACCTAGAAAACACCTTAAAAAAGCACGTTCTCTGAAAGTATGGGTCTCGACTATCCATTGTTAGGAGTAGTAACGATCCGGTTGAATCACAAGTACGATTAGGCCTATAGAAGTGATCAAACTCTTTAGCTTGAGAACATGTTGTAATTACTAGCAGTAATCTCTTAGAAAATAGGGGATAAATCTCTATGTAACTTTAATGCAGCCACGTTAAACACATACGTGTATGACCACTCGTAATCCTTCGAGTCTTGACTCTGCTAATTGTGTTACATGGCTAAAAACATGTAGATCCCCATACATTCGTTATAATGTTTACGTAATACTCAGGTACAAACTTGAAAAGCGTGAGCCAAGTCAACTAGAAAGGCTCACCAAGAAATCAATCAAACTGCCTACTGATCGATCAGATAAGTTGAGATTAAATCAGCTTGGTTTTGTGTGGTACAATTGAATGTGCGCTTTATCTGAGCATTGAAATGCCTTCAAATTGGCTGCTTGAGGTGTGTTAAATGTGTGTACACGTGGGTACTATACTTATAACACAAATCCATATTAATTTAATTCAGTTACATGTCTGGTGGTTAATTGGCTGATGTACGTACTTTAAGACGAAAAGGGAAACATTTCCACATCTGTCCCTCGAGAGCTCGTTTGGTCAACTTTATCATACAATAACTACTAGTGGTCCTTGGGTATATAAAACAACCCTGTTATCCTCAATTTCAAAGCATTTCTTGATCTTGAATCTAATAATCAACCATAGTTCCCAAAATAAAAATGAAACTCTCATCAATTTTGACTGCTTTAACCACTGTCGTTTCTACAGCTTTAGCTAAAAACATTGTCTTAACCAATGATGACGGTTGGGCTTCAACTGAAATCAGAGCCACTTATAGATCTTTAACTCAAGCCGGTCATAATGTTTACTTGGTCGCTCCATTAGAACAAAGATCTGGATTCGGTGGTCAATTCGTCTTTTCATTCACAAACACCTTACTACATGATGATCAATTCCATTTCAAAAAAGCTGGTGACCCAGCTTGGGGTCATGAACCAAATGATGATCATATTTGGTACTTTAATGCTACCCCAGCTGCTTGTGTCGGTTTTGCTTTTGATTATTTATTGCCAACATACTTTTCAAATGTCTCAATTGATTTGATTGTCTCTGGTGTTAATCAAGGTTTGAACTTGGATGATTCTATGTTTACCATCTCTGGTACTATTGGTGCTACTTATAATGCCATTTACAGAGGTCATTCTGCTATTGCCTTCTCCGGTTCTACTTCAAACAACTCATTCTACAAGGATTCATTGAATGAAGATCCAAATGACCCAGCAAACATTTATGCTTCAAAAGTTGTTGAGTTAACTTCAAAAGTCTTTGAAAGTCAAGGTGAAAATGAAAGAGCTTTACCTCTTGGTGTTGGTCTTAACGTCAACTTTCCAAAAGTTACCACATTAACTAAAGATAATAGTTGTTCAAACCCACCATTTGTCTTTTCAAGATTGACTGGTAAAGATGTCGCCATTTCAGCTCTTAAATTCAATGAAACTACAGGTTTGTTCGAATATTCGTCAATTAAACATGGTACTGATGCTACTGCTACTAGATATAATGGTATTTTAAGTTTACCAAATGAAAACTCAGTCATCAATACAGGCTGCTATACTCCCGTCAGTGCCTTCTCTATTGATTACACTGCTCCAATCGAACAATCAAACGAAGTTCATGGTTTAATTTCTGACCTTTTGGTTGAATTATGAATCAATTGATACCCCCCTTCTCTTCTTTTCAACTTTCTTTAAACGTTTATGACACTCATATTGATTATGAGAGGTCTGTTTTCCTTAAATTCCAAAACTTTTCAATACAAAACTTCTTTAGAATTTTCGAGCCGAATAGGTTTTGTAGTTTTTTGTGTCAAATTTGTATGGTGATTAGGTAATTTCTGATAAATGTGGCGTCTTGAAAAAAAAATCGAGCCGAAGTTCAAACAGATCTTGGACTTATAAATCAAACAACGTTTCCAATCATAATTGGTTCTAGCTTGAATAAATATCAATTATAAGCTTAGAATTGAATTCAATAACAATGGGAGAAGATCAACACCACGCAGACTACTCAAACTTTTCCTCATCTTCAAAGAAAGAGACACTAGAACAACTAGTTCTTTCATACACTGCATTATCAACAGATTTGACAAATTGGGTTGCTAATTTATCAAATGCCTCTTCGCTAATATGGCATGCATATCACTCTTTAAACTTACCTGTGAATTGGGCTGGTTTTTATGTCGTTGATCCGAAAGATAAATCACAATTAATTTTAGGTCCATTCCAAGGCAAAGTTGCATGTCAAACAATCAAAATTGGTAAAGGTGTTTGCGGTACAGCTGCTGGTACTGAAAACACTCAAGTTGTTCCTAATGTTGATGAATTTCCTGGTCATATTGCATGTGATGGAGAAACACAAAGTGAGATTGTTGTCCCTATTGTTGGTAAAGACGGTGTGCTAAGAGGAGTTATCGATATTGATTGTTTGATTAAAGAAGGTTTTAACCAGATTGATCAAGAATTCTTAGAACAATTGGCTGGTTTGATTGCAAATGGTAATGATTGGTGAAATAAAAGAGAGAAAAGAAATAATAATGTACAATACAGAACAGATTTTGGTCCTACTTTAATGATGTAACAATTACGGACTATCAATTGAGCTATTGATAACCAAGTTTTCCTTGTCTTGATTTAGGCCCACCAGGAAATAGAGAATAATCTAATGATGTTGGCTCGTATCAATTAACCCTTGTACGTTATGAAGATCATCTATGTGCCAATTATGGAACCTTGAACTCTAAACTCTAAAGAATTGTTCTTGATTTAGCTTAATTACAGTTTTTTGACATGAAGGCCATTCTTCCAGCTCGAAATGCTATTTTGTGTCAAACAAGCGATTCTGATTCATTTTATATTTGGAAAACTTTTCACTCTGAGAAGCCAATATTGATCCTTGTGGGCCTCTTTTCTCTGAGTCCTAACTTGCCCCACTTATTGTAGTCTCTCAGGACACTCTTCAACTTCACTATGACCATCATGGTCTCAATATGACGAATATTCTTAACATGAGTATCAATTTCTCTCAATTTGACAGTCGTTTCGGTACAGAATTGTGCCCCAACCGCTTATTTTTTTAGTGTACCTCAAAAAAAAAATCAACAAAGCAATAAACTAAAAAATGAGCATTTTTATCCAACGTTTCCAGACCACGAGCAAAAAAATCTCCATATTTGGAATGGTGAATTACTGAGATCGGATGTCATTGGCTGGGGGGTGTCAAACTCAAGCAGATTCTCAAAAAACGGTGGTAATACTCGATACATATTGGGCGGTTACGATTGGTTGGTTGGCTTGTTTATCTTGGTATTTTAAAAGATTACACAATTGTTTATTCAAAAGAAAGAGTATATTTGTCATTGAACAAAGTAGTGATGAGTGAGACTCTAATACTGGCTAGATCATGGGGTTCATCGTGATGTTACAGTATGTGCTAATATGATGAGTTATAAGCTCAAATCGAAAGGGGCAGGTTTGGTTACATGATTTAGTGTTGTAAATCGTACCAATGGGGGGTTAGTCCAGTTGATCTTCAATTAAACGTTGATCTGAGTGAAAGAGGGTCTACTTCCACAATGAAGTTTAGAGAGATGGCTTATTGTGGTGGTCTTCAAGGCGTAAGGGTCGTGTTTTTACGAGAATTTTTAGGCCTTATTGTTTGGTGGAAATACTCAATAACTTTGTCATTGTCAAGTCTGAGAAATAAGAGAACCACTTGTGTGAAAAGCTTGGTTTTATAAATAAAGAGGGAAAGCAACAACTTGAAATTGTTCAAACTCAATTGTGACTAGATTGATTTCACCAAGAATTTTCTTTTGCTTTGAAAGAAGAATTATACAATAATTTTTCGTTCAGGTTGAGAATTGATAATCTATAACGCCATATTTTGCTTGTTAAATCATACGTTGAGAAGCACATATCGTCTCGTGAATAATATTTTGGTCCCTTCACTTGATCTTCTCATTGCATATAAATAAACTGATAGAATCATTATAGACTACAGGTATAGACATTTTTTTACACACTTGCATCACCAACAAACACAGACATTATATCAAACACACATACATAATGACATTGAGTGAAGAGCCAGGAACAGTTGATAACTCTACATTTAGTAAATTTTTTGCTATATATTCTAGAGATGAGAATTATAATTTATTATGTGTTGAAAACAAGGGCGGTTTTCAAATCAACAACTCATGGGCTAAAATAACTGAAAAGATGAAAAAATTGGAATTGGAAAATGAAAGTAATATGAAGGAATATGGATTTACTCAAGAAGAATTGGAACCAAACACTTTACCAAATGATTTTGATGGTAACTTGAAAACTATTGAATATAAAAAAGATGGTGAAGATTTTGTGCGTGGTGTTATCTTGAGAGATTATGACTTGAAGTCTGGTACCCACTTAAGTAAATTTCATGACTGGTTTGCCAAATTGATTGTTCAAGATACTAGAATTGAAAGAAGTGTTCTTCCAAGTTCAATGGATCCTGGTCATAAAGTTGCCAATTTAGTTGCAGACTTTTTTGCTGATCATTTGAAAAACACTACAACTCATGATCAATGGGAACAAGGTGGTAGAGATTATTTTATTGAAAGAGTTCTCTATTTTACTTCAAGAAAAGCCAAGATTGAATGTGTTTTGCCAGCTTTCCCATGTAAATCTTCAAACACTGAAAAAGTTGTTGGTGCATTCCCAGATAAAGGTGAAGAATTGGCTTTGAGAAGATTAATATATCTTTCAAAAGCTACTCAAACTATATATGAACCAGGTATGAAAATTTTTATTGTTAGTGATGGTCATGTTTTCAGTGATTGTATTGGTGTTGATGATGATGTTGTTGATAGATACACTGAAAGATTGAGATATTTTTATTCTAAAATCATTGAAAATGATAAATCAAATGAAGATTATGTTGGCTTTGTTTCCTTGAAAGATTTGTTCTTTAAAAAAGATTATGAATTTGATGAAAGTTTAATTGCTGATGTTCAATTACCACATTATACTGGCTCCAAAATTTGTGAAGACTCTGAATTGTCAAGAAGATTGTTAATTGCTGGATGTGATACTGATGCTGGTAAATTGAGAAAAGATATTGAAGAAGCTGACCATCCAAGATTACATCTTTATAGAGGTTTTTCAAGATTTATGTTGGAAGATTTAGCTTTACATCCATATTGTAAAACTTTGTCAAGAAAAACTTTTAAAAAGATTGTTTCCAAAGTTGCATTTGAAATGATTAAAAGAAATGATGCTTACTCAAATTTGGTTGAATTGTTGTTTCCATTCCATATGCGTTTTTCAATCCATGCTCATACTAATTCAGGTCCTAAATTTGGTATTAAATTGATTTCACCAGATGATTGTAAAATCATTAAAGCTTTAGATTCAACAGCTGAACCATCATTTGAAGATTTGTTGCACATTCCAACACCATGGCATAACTCTATCATCAAGGTTGAAGGACATCGATATTTTTATTTGGCCAAATCTAAAATTGTTATGGATGCTGAATCCAAAGGTCTTTATAATGGTGAATGGAGAAAAGGTGATGTTGAATCAGGTCTTGGTGGGTATTGGTATCTTACCAAAAAAGATGATGCTTGAATCAATGATTCATCCCTATAACTTTTCAAAAACTTTTCAAGTTCTATTTTATTTAACTTCCAATTCCAATGATTTAAATCCAATTTCCAAATTTTTAATGCCTTTTTCAATGAATCTTTCTGTTAGCTCAATCTCCAATTTTGTTAAAGCTGAAAGAGTATTGTTGTATAATATCACTAGCCCTTTTATAACCAAATATGACAATAATTTCTTTCAGAAGTTGTTTAAAGATAGCTAGTTTTGAACTACTTGTAGATAAACTTCATGATAAAACCCTATTTTTCATTATTATTTAGTTGATTTTCTTTTTGGTCTAAACTATTATACAGTTAATTTTTTGTTTTCTACTTTGCTTCACCCCATCATCATAGTGCACCTAAATAATCTTCCTTTATACTACCAATGGCATAGATTGCATTAACATCCGCTCTTGTACCCACTATTTTAAGTCTAACTCTACTTCCCTTCTCTATAATTTGGTCATCGGATTGGTATGCTGGGGGATTAGCAGTTGGGTTAAAGGACATATCAGAAGGAATCAAATGTGTTGAAACGAAAACTGATAATGGACCCACATCAACAAAGAACCCCAATTTACTAACTGAAGAGACAACACCATCCACAACTTCACCTTTGAAAGGCTTCCATACAACTGCTCTGTACTTCACTTCAAATTCTGCAGACCCATCACCTGGCATGATTTTACCTTTCCCAATATCAATACTCATACAATCCAACACACACATTATATACCCAAATTTACCCGTACATGACCCTTCAACTTCATTTAAAAGCTTTGTTCGTAAGAACTGGTTCATTTGTGGACCAAAATATGATGGATGTAGTGTTAATACTAGAGATAAATCTTTCTGTAAAAGAGATGGGTTAGTATAAATTAGGGGAAAATCTTCATTCAACAAAACATACTAAGAAAAACATGATCTATATGTGAGGTTTTGATGATTTCTTGATTGAAATGAATGGAAAGTGGATAATAGTAATAATACTGGAATGAACTGATCTGAATCTTGGTTCTTTTCAATGGGAATAATATAATTTTAAAACAAAAATAACAACGAAATGAACTGGATATAAAACAACAACAAGGGGATAAAAATACAACAAGAACTTTTTAGATGACGGCTGTCTGGTGGCTGGCGAGAAGGAAGGAATTGGACCTGGACTTCTGCTGTGAATTGGTGTCAACTTTACGTACTTTCCAAAGCAAAACAATATGGCGCTCTCAAAGTGTCGATTTCTGGCTTTTTTTCCAAAAACTGACAATTTTGCACAAGCGCGAAATGGCCGTTGCGACACTTGTGCTGAAAAAAGTTGGTTGGAAAAAAAAATGGATTCAAGTACTGAAATCATAAAGAGTCGAGTTTAACCAAAACGAAAATATAAAGCCATGTCCCAAAAGATCGGAAGAGTAAGTTGAGTTTTGATTGTGTTTATTCGTGGACCAAGCACTAACACCCTTTTTCCCAGACCTCTCTAGCGTTCGCCAGACTATGGCACCATGTTGATGTCGCCCAAGAAACTAGATCAGTTGGTCGTCTAGCATCCTCCATTGCCATCACATTGATGGGTAAACACAAGCCAGTATATCACAACTCCAACGACATGGGTGACTATGTTGTTGTGACAAATTGTAAAAAATTAAGAGTCACGGGTAATAAATTTGAAGATAAAGAATACTGGAAACATAGTGGTAAACCAGGTCATTTAATATTGACCCCAATGGAGAAAATTGTTGCTGATAAAGGTTTTGGTGAAGTTTTGAAAAGAGCTGTGAGTGGTATGTTACCAAAGAACAAATTACGTAAACATAGATTGGATAGATTGAAAGTATTTGATGGTTCAGATCATCCATATAAACAAAATCTATATGCTGTTCATGACCAACAACCTCTTGTTAGAGAAAAATTACAACAATTGGAAAGCAAAAATTCAAAATAAGAGAGAACCATCAAAAGACGTACCATGTAAATTAGTTATAAACCTCTAGAAGGTCAATGTATATAGGCAAATTAACAAAAATAAGAAACTTTATTCATTACAGATCAGTAATTGTCATTAAAATCTCTTTTATTATTTTCCTATTTTTCATTTTTTTCAATAATTATACAAGTCTAATAAAGTCACAACATAATTCCTTAAAATGGAACAGTACGATCAGTATATAGACGTGGTGCAATATTCATAGCCATCAATTCTTGGAATAACAATTTAGCAGCATATGGAATATGAATTTGATAAATATCAATCTTATTCTTACAACCACGACATTCAAACTGATTATGTTTCAACTTGGCAATAACTGACATCAACCCACAAACACCACAAATATGAACTCTGAAAGCATCAGAAGCTTCCATTAATCTTTCCTTCATAAATGAAGCTGCACCATGTGCAATCATACAATCACGTTCCATTTCACCAAAACGTAAACCACCATCTCTTGAACGACCTTCAACAGGTTGTCTTGTTAAGATTTGAACAGGACCTCTAGCTCTTGCATGGATCTTATCATCAACCATATGTCTTAATCTTTGATAATATGTTGGACCAAAGAAAATTTGCGCCATTAATTTCTTACCAGTATGACCATTATACATAACTTCAAACCCTCTTGATTGATAACCATGTTCTCTTAATAATTTAGAAATGGCATCAACTGTAACATCTGTGAATGGAGATGCATCACCTTCTAACCCTGATAATGCTGAAACTTTTGATAATAAACATTCAATTAAATGTGCAACAGTCATACGAGATGGAATAGCATGTGGATTAATGATTAAATCTGGAACAACACCTTCTCTTGTGAAAGGCATATCTTCACGACGATAAGTAATACCAATAGTACCTTTTTGACCATGACGAGAAGCAAATTTATCACCAATTTGTGGAACTTTTGTAGTTCTCATTCTAACTTTAACGAATTTCAAACCTTCTTGATTTGTCGTTATTAAAACTTGATCCACAATACCATTTTCTGTTGATCTTAAAGGTGTTGAAGCATCACGTTTACTATGATAAACGGTACGTTGACCCAATTCTTCAGAATCTGCTTGAATTGGTGTAGTTTTACCAATAATGATATCTTCACCTGAAACTCTAACACCTGGAGCAATTAACCCATCATCATCTAATTTCTCATAAGTACCATGTTTCAATCTTAGAGTGTTACTTCTATTTGGTTTTTCAAATTGTTCCACCACAGTCATACCAACTCTTTTTTCTTGATCCATATAAGATCTGAAAAATAATGATCTAAATAACCCACGATCTATACTTGATTGATTCATAATCATGGAATCTTCTTGGTTATAACCTGAATAACATGCAATTGCAACAATAGCATTTTGACCAGCTGGTAATTCTCTAAATTTCAAATATTCCATTGATCTTGTTGTGGCTAAAGGTTTTTGAGGATAATATAAAATATTGGCCATAGTATCCATACGAACACTATAATTTGTTAAGAAAACACCCATAGCTTGTTTACCCATAGCTGATTGATAAGTATTACGAGGAGATTGGTTATGATCTGGGAATGGGATAATTGAGGCAGCAACACCTAAAATCATTGAAGGATGAATTTCACAATGGGTAAAAGTCTGTGCAGATTTTTTAAAACTTGGTTTTAAACGTTTGTTTGAATTTACATCTTCATCTTCTAAACCTGCATAAGTATCAGGGTTTAAATCTTCTGGAGACATTGCAATCATAATTGATTCTTCTTCTTCAGCATCAACATATTCCACAATACCATTAGTTAATAAAGAATTCCAAGTGAATGGTTCTTCATCTGTATCTTGATAATCATTATATTCGGCATCATATAATCTTTCAATATGATCTCTTTTCAATTTTAATTCTTTAGCACCAGTTTCTTCATTTTCCTCCACAATGAATAAAGGTCTATAAACTCTACCAGCATCAGTGAAAACTTTAAATTCCTTTTCACGAATATCTCTAATAATTGAAACTTCTGGAGAGATTTCACCTCTTCTTCTTAAATTTCTCATTGTGGCAATTAATTTAGCAGGATCTCTATGAATACCATGCCAAACACCATTAACGAAAATTCTTGTGACATCTGGAGCTTGATGAGGTAAATAATCTTCCAAGGGTTCCATACCCCATTCTTCCAAGAAATAAATGATTGGATCAGAACCTGAACCAACAGAGATACAAGACATTAATGATAAATTTTTAACTAAACCACAAGCTTGACCTTCAGGGGTTTCAGCAGGACAAACAAGCCCCCAATGAGTATTGTGTAATTGACGAGGTTTTGCTAATTTACCATCACGACCAATTGGAGTATTAGTTCTTCTTAAATGTGATAAAGTTGAAGAATAAGTATAACGATTTAAAACTTGAGAAACACCAGCTCTTGAACTCATAGCCTTTTTCTGTTCACCCCAATTACCTGTAGCTAAAGAATATTTCAAACCTGAAGTGATTGTTGTTGCCTTAACAGCCAATTTCAAATTGAAATCAGTATCAGTTTCCACTGATCTTTGCATATAACGATAAATATCTCTTGTTAATTTCTTAAACAAGATTCTGAAAAGATTAGCTAATAAAGGACCTGCCAAATCTAATCTTTTTTTACCGAAATGATCACGATCATCTTGAGGTTTTCTTTCTAATGCACATAATAATAAACGATTAACCATATAACCCAAGAAAAATGCCTTTCTTGATTCAAAACCTTCTTGTTGAGTAATATGAGGTAGGAATTCTTTTTGTAAAATGTCTTTAGCATATTGAATACGTTTTTCTCTTCTAATACCTAAAGCATTACCACGACGACCAATAAAATCAAGAGCAACTTCACGATCTTGAATGACAAAACCTTCCTCCACACAAGGTTTCAACATTTCAAACATTTGCCAATCATTTTGATCATAACATATATGTTCCAAGATATCACCATCTGGGACAATACCTAAAGCTCTAAACACTATAACAATAGGTATATCTTGTTTAATATAAGGTAATGTAGCTTTAATAGTTCTTCCTGAACCTTTATCATCACGACCATATAATTTGATTTGCATTGAACTGATTAATCTTGAACCTTTTTCCAAAGCTGAACGGATTTCAGCAATATGAGATACAGGAGATGGAGCGGATTTTTTGAAAACTTGAACAATATTTGCAGCAGAACGTTCTTGAGCAATCAAGACTTTTTCTGAACCATTAATAACGAAATAACCACCCATATCGAAAGGACATTCTTTTAATGAATAAAATTCTTCTTCACCTAAATCTCTTAATAAACAATATTTAGATCTCAACATGATTGGCACTCTACCGATAAACACTTTTTTATCAATTTTGGAAGAGGAACCAAATTCATCATCATCATCCATATCAACTTCATCTTTTATAACTTTCCAATCGTTTTCACCATCAATACATTCATACGTTATTTTATCCATTTCCACAAATAAAGGAGCAGCATAAGTTAAATTTCTTAATCTTGCCTCTTGTGGGAACATTTGAGTAGTTGTACCATCAGATTCGGTCATTGTTGGTCTTGATAAGAAGATTTTCCCGAATTTGATTTCATATTTTCTATTGATATTATCAGTTTCAGTTATATGTTGAGCAGGTTGTTCCAATATTAAAGTTGAATCTTCCCAAACTAATTCTTGAATAGATGTATGTATAAATTCATCAAAGGAATCCAATTGTTGAGAAACCAAACCTTTTTCTCTAAAGAATGCAGAGATGACAGTCCAACAATCTTCAGATGTGATATCATCAGCCTCCACGGCATAAGGATCCACGTCGTATTCTATAAAGGATGGTTAGTAATTTGAATGGCGAAAACATCAACATCAATAACATCATCAACATACCTTCAGACATCTTGAGCAGCAAATAGCAGTGGCCACCAACGAACGCAGTCTCTGATTCTGGGTATTAGCTGATAAATCGAATCACCAGTGGAATCTAAAGCCCTTTTGCTAACAAAATTCAAAGCTTTTTGATGATTTGTTTTGGTTCCAATTTTCCAATTCAAAGAAAAAATCAACGGCCAAAAAATGAATTGCGGGTAATTTTCGCGAACGTTCATGAAAAAAAAACGAATTGAAAAATCGATTGAAATCAAACTAAAATCAATGAATTAAAGCATTTGAAGAAGGTGAAATTGAAGACATAATGCCCCGTTTAATAAATCAACTCCTGGCAAAGACCGTGTTCAGCTCCTCTGCAAAGAGATCTCTAGCCACAGTTTCTCCAAAGACAATCACCACCACCAAAAAACCAGAACAACCAAGCACTACTAAAAACCCAACATTCCCACAAAAAATATATACATTAATACAAAAATCCATTGCTAAAGGTGAAGCCCATTTCAAAGTTGGTGGCAAGAAACTATATTTCCCAACTGCTCGTGTTGTGTTATTACGTCCAAATGCTAAACATACACCATACCAAGCTAAATTTATTGTCCCCAAATCATTCAACAAGATGGATTTAAGAGATTATCTATACCATCTTTATGGGATTAGAGCTTTCAAGATAACAACCCAATTGATTGCAGGTAAATACACTAGGGAAGGTGCTATTGCGCGTTATAGAACTCCACAGATCAAGAAAATGACTGTTGATTTATTAGAACCATTTATTTGGCCAGAGGAACCTGAAAATAAAAAAGAAGAGTTTAATATTAAATTTATGGAGGAGATGAGATTGTATGGTGAAGAATCAAGAAGAATAGGTAGTGATAGATTTAAACCTGGTAAGGCATTTGATGGTGAATTGGGTCCTTATCCTCATAAACCTGAACCTTTTGTTCCTAAATTTTTAAAGAAGAATTTGATTAATGAAAGAAATAAAGATCAAGCAAAGATTGATAGAGCTGATAATGAGAAATTGGTTAGTAAATATTTGGACTTGTGAGTGTGTCGGAAGAAAGAAGAGCATCTGTATATATTATAAAAAAGGTTTTTCCAACATATCTCATGTATTCAAAATATAAAAACCTAATAAAACTGATAATAAATAAAAAAAAGAACCCCTTAACCTTATAAACCCTTTAATAAACCTGATTGTAACCCTTATTTCCCATGATATTCCTCATTACTTTGTCTTGAATGTTTCTTCTTTTGGTTGACCCCACAAATATCCAAACCAAGAAGTGTTTCTATAGTTATTTGGTTCTGAATTTTTAATGTTTTCATACTCTTCTTTCCCAACAACATCAAAATCATTATCATTTGATAAAGATGTGGTAGTGTTAGGGGTTGTAGTAGTGGTTGATGCATCCTTTGAATTATTTGTATTCATTGATTCTAAAACCCCAAACAAACTTTGGAAAATGTTGTTACTTTGTGGGATTGAATCATTCTTGGTGGAATTTTGATAAAAACTTTGAGCAAAGACATCAAAATAAGATTTATTCAACAATTGTTCATCACCATCATTACTATTCCCTTGTTCACCTCCTTTGAACATTGAAAACAAGAACCCAATTGGTGGTCTCTCACTAACCTTATTGACAAACTGATCAAGATCAACTTCATAACTGGATAAGAATGGGTTCAAATAATGATCATAAATGAATAACGAACCTTGAGTTTGTGGTAATATTAACCAAACTGATAGATAAATCTTGCCAAATGAATAGAATGGGATGTATTTCAACACGAAATACAAGTAATGTTCCAGTGTAATGAGTAATGAGTAAACGATCCAGTAGATTATCCATGGTTTCAATAAATGTTGGTTATTTGAATTGAGGGCCTTGTAAGTTGTAATCAAAGGGAGAACAAACGAGATGAGGAGACTATTTGGAGTTAGTTAAAAAGAGGTCTTAGATACGTTAATATAGAGCCATACCTGATGGAGTTGAGCAGCAATGAGAACATGATTTCAATTAATTAGCAGTGAGTTATTTGAAGTGAATATGAAATTAATTTTGTTTATGATTAAAAGTGTTTTGCAATTGAAAAGTGCCACTAAAAAACGTTATCGTGATTATGTAATACTGATATGATACATTATAATGTGAATGGTTTAAATAAAGTGATTATGGGATTAGATGATATTAGTTAATTATTAGTTATTTGATTGACTAATTATGAATTAATTAGTTATTTAATTATCTATTTAAATATCAATTAATTAATTAACCAATTCCTCCCTTTTCATGCTGTCACTTTTCATTTTGTGATCTCGAAAATCAACAATTTTAACCCATAAACTAATAATATCAATGTCAATATCAATATCACCAAATGAACCACCACCAACCAGATCACCCACTCTCTATCCAATACCTCCCAAAGTGTATCCAAGATGCCCTAGGATTCTCTATCAATTCTCGTCTAAAACAAGCCATGTCTGGTGAAGGGTTCATAAAGAATATTGGTGATCACCTTCAATTGAAAATAGATCAATCACCTCTCCAATTGGATTATGATTCAATGGATAAATCAGTCATTGCAATGCTACTTCATCTACCAAACCTCAAGACAAACAATAAGGAAAAAAACAGGAGTTTCGTCTTCAAAGAAACTGATGCTTTTTATAATAAGAATGTAACATTATTCCATTCTTATATCCAAGAAATCGCATTATCAATAATGTTTGTTAAAGGTTGTCCCATAAGGACTGGCTCAATGTTTGAAATACTATCTGGGCCTGAACATGATCTGATCATAAACTATATTCTGCAAAATTTTTATCAATTATTTTATATTCAAATTGATGATGAAATGATACTTTTACATAATTCCATAGTGGTGATATCTGGAATCCTTCAAAGATATATACTTGACATTACAAAAGAAATATGCAAAGTCCATTTAAATAAACTATATTTCCATTGTTGTGAAAGAGGTATTAATGGAAGTATTAAAAAATCATTACCCACTATAGTGAATGCTCAACATATTGAAAAAATTATCAAAATTCACAAATTACAATCACCATTCCTAGATCAAAACCTTGAGATTCTAGTGAAAAGAAAATCAGACGTTGGGGATCCCACGTTTAAGAGAAAATTTGATTATCTTTATATTGAACAAAATTATATCAAAACATCTCCAAGGTATGAATTAAGATTTAAGAATCTATATGAAGTGGAGAATTTATCAAATATTGAAATGATTCATGATGATATTGTTAAACTTTTAACAAATAATGAAGTTGTTGTTCCTTTTAAGAAATTTGATTCCAGTATTCATGAGAAAAATTTCACAATTTCAGCTCAATCTAGATCGAAAAAAAATGATTACAAGTTTATTGCTGAGTTGACAAAGATACAAGTTTTGAACGAGTTTTCAAATGAGTTTTAACTTGTTGCATTTATTTTTATACAACCTGGATTTTCAGCAGCTCAGGATGTTGGCTAGCTAGCTCTGCATCAAACCATTCGGACTTCATCAAGAACAGTATTAGGAATATCTTGGTGATTTCCACAAATTTTACAATTGCTCCAATTATAACAATGGCCAGCTTTTTTAGTTCATTCTTACTTGTTTTTATTCTGATTTATCCCTTTTATTATAAATCAGTCATAGACTGAGTCCCCAGTGATTTTGTACATTATTTTAGCATTTTATAAATACACATCAGATACATTAAAAAAAAAAATGAAGTTGATCATGCATTCATTATATACGTCGTCATATTTATATAACATATAATATATTTAATTAGCATTTTAAATGGATGTAATTAACTGTGACGTAATTACAAATAGCACTTCATCAATAATTCATTAAAAGTATCAGGAATATTATTATCTTGCAGGTGATTTTCACAAATTTTACAATTAATGTTCCAATTATAACAATGGCCAGCTTTTAATTTAGTTCATATAATTAGTTTTTACCTGTTTTAATTCAGCTGCCTGAGTTCCAACACAGCGAGATGCCTACAATCCAAGCGGTTCGTGCGTAATTGCAATATTCCTGATCATCCAAGTTTAATTCATCATATATAATTTATAAAATAACATTAATATTAATATATAACATCGACAACTATTAAAAAAAAAAAAAAATTTAATATCAACATAGCGAGAAGCCTACAATCCAAGCGGTTCGTGCGTAATTGCATTCCTCATCCAAGTTCATCAAATACATACAACTAAAAAAAAAAAAAAAAA